CCAATTGTTTGTTTTTGAAACTAGCTCCCTCGATGATTCTGTTGCCCACTGTTTCTCTTGCAGACCCCTGCCCCACCCCTTAAACAAGCTGGGGATGACAGTCTGACTGTCGCATGCACTGACTCATGTGAGGGTTAATACTACTTCCACGGTCAGTCTCAAGCCACCATTGGTTTATTCCTGGATATTTAGCCATTAGCTCTTGCTAGCTGCTAAGAGCTAGCTCTAGTATACCAGTAACCCCTACCCCTACCCTCACTTCTGCACTAGTTAAGGACCACTACAGTATAAGAAAATTTACGTGTGTGTATACATATATCCATTACATGTGTGCATATATCTGTACCTGTATCCATCTATCAAACAGAAAACCCTTAATGGTTTGTGTTGCAATAAAGGTAATTTCTCAAAAGTGCTTTGGGCAGATAATCCATAGAGAAACTATGGAAATAAACGTTGGGTGAAGAGAAACCAGGCTTACTGAACAGGCTGTGAGGGTAACAGACCTCTTGTCACGTCTAAGTACCATAGTAGGAATTCACCACTTGATGGCGCTCTAATACTTACTCATGTCTGGCAATCTCAGGCAAGACAGGATTCTGAAATTATCTTATTTGCTGCTCATTATTTGAAAGCAATTTTTGTGTATTTTTAATTGGAAAAGACATAATTTGCAGAAAGATAGGAAACAAGGGCAAAGGGCATTTGGGTATTATAAAACTTTAATTTTGCACAAGACTTTGATTTACCAGTAGGATAAACTTGGACAAGACTCTTAATCGCTCCAAGCCTCAATGTTCTCATCTACACAATGGGAAGAAATACTTGTAACTCCTTTTTTCCCCTTAGCCCACAAATCATGATGAAAACTGCAATGGAAAGTAAAACGGATAAATTTCATAAATATCTCTGTTTCTGTTTCTTTATCCCAGTTTCAATCATAAGCAGCATCACTTTTTTCTTATGTTATAAACAAAGAAAACATTGCTTGGGCTTGAAAAATGAATATATTTCAATACAATAGTAGAAAAGACTGCCTAGTTTGTTCCTCTGTTTTCACATTCTGAAAGTGTAAATGGGGAACATTGCTTCTCAAACTCTTTTTTTTTTTTTTTTTTTTCAAAATAATTTCATAGGTAAATTGCAGCAAGAATTTAAATGCTATTCATATTTGAGATCTGGCTTTTGGGCAAGATGCTTAGGCTCAAAACTCCTGAGTTTTGTTTTCCCATTTATAAAAATGGAAATAATAACAGCTTCCTCACAAGATTGTGAAATTAAATAACATCATACACGCAGAGCACCTGGCACAGTGGCAAGACCATTAAGTATGTGCTCAATAAACACAATACCCTCTTAGTTTCTTGCAAAATAGTCAACTCAGTGGTAGAAGGGCACACCTGTAATCTCAGTATTAGGGAGGCTGAGGCAGGAGGATCACTGAGAGTTCGAGGCCAGCCTGGGCTACAAAGTGAGCTCAAGTTCAGCCTGAACTGCATAGCGAGACCCTGTCTCAAAAAGACAAAACAAACAAACAAACAAACAAAAAATGGTAGAAGGTGTTAGGGATGGTTTTGTGGAAATGATAATACATATTGAAATAGGTCCTTCAGAATCAAGCCTGGATGTAAGGGGTAATAGGCAGGTGGGAGGGACGGTGTTTAACATAAATTAATGGGGTAATAGGCAGGTAATAAGACTGGGTGAGGGACGGTGTCACAAGGATGAAAAGAGACCTGAGAGGAAACAGGGAAAGATGTGTTTGGAGCACTAGTGAGGACCGGATTTAGAAAATGGTGGACATACGTGATATTTATTTATTTATTTATTTATGGTACTGGGAATCGAACTCGCTACCTCATGCTTGCCAGGCAAGTGCTTATGCTGCTGAGCTACATCCCTGGCCCCATACATGATATTGAAGTAAATGTTTAAGTCTTAATGAAATACTGTAATACTTCAATAGATAAAAATGAAATATTATGATATTTAAGTAGGTACTTAAGTATCTTAATGACATATCATGATATTTAAGTAGGATTTTTTTTTTTCGATACAGGGTTTTGCTATGTAGCTAGCATAGGCTGGCCTTGAACTCACTGTGTGACCCAGGCTGGCTTCAAACTTGTGGTAATCCTCCTGTCTCAGCCTCCCATGTACTGGAATTACAGGCCTGTCTCACCACACCTGGCCCTTAAGTAGGATCTTAATGAAATATTAAGACATTTAAGTAGAAAAAACACAAACAACAAAGTTTTACTGGGATTGTAAAAGACAGGAAGGAGAAACGTGCACAATCAGAGGTGATTCATTGATTTCCAGTTGTGGCACTGCATAGATGTCCTACAGAAAGAAAGGGAGGAGGATTAAATATTAAATTTGACAAAAGTACTCAATTAAAGACAGAGAGGAAGAAGATGTGTGGGCAAGCAAAACAAGAAAGGTTAAAAAAAAATAAAGAACAGTGGAGTGAGATCCACAGTGGGGAGTGCCAGGCTCCAGGGGCCAGCGCTTGTAACTTCTGCCCACAGACTGGGAATAAATGATCATCAGGCAAAGACTAAGTATTCACTCTGCACTGGGAATCTAAGGAAACCAAACTGAGGGAGGCACAGTCCCTGCCCTCAAGACACTCCAAATATAATCTCCCGAACCAACACTTCAGTAAATGGACAAGAGAAAGGACCAGGGATGCCTCAGGCCTGGAACCTCAGTGGCAGTGCGTTACCTGACATTCTCTGATACCTTGATAAAAATTCTACATATGTAATCACTTCTTTGCTAGGGAAAAAAATGAAGTGTTGGTCTCAGTATTTCAATTCTAAGAGGCCTCTCCAAGCCCAGACCCCCTGCCATGCAAAGCTGCTTGAGGAATGCTATCATTAAGAAGGAAAACTGAAGCTAGCTAGAACGCTCACATGCAAGTGACAAACACTTGATCTGGCTCAAGAGGTTGGGTGCACTGTCTCCGGGACCCAGTGGGGCTACTCAAAGCATGGTTTCACTCAGAGGTTCCCTTCTATTAGGATACCAGCTGGTTTCACCAAGATACTCAGCTCCACAATCCTTGGTGGGGCAGCTTTAAACTGGCTTCCTTCCTGGGACAAATGTTGTCCCAGCAGTTCTAGGACACAGCCTTTCCAAGCAAAAGGCAGGTGTGAGTCACATGTTTAGAGCCAAACAGTATGGCCAGGGAGATAGCTCGCTCTGACTGACCTAGCCTAAAACACATGTTCTGCAGTGAGAGCACATCTGATGCCCATGTAGAAAGTGGGGGCTGCTGGGAAGGAGGAAAATGCAGGTGGAGGCTTCAAGTCTTCCACCTCGGGAATATCAGCTCTCCCTGAGTATGACTCACAGTTTGCAGAAGGGACCTCGAGCTGCAGGCAGAGTTCATAATCTGCCCTTTGCTCTGCCCTCTGCCTCTTCCATCTACTAGCACCATCTTTAGAGGGAGAATTCAACTCTTCTGAGAAATGCATTTGTACGTATAGAGGTGGGTACGCTCCATATGCTTCCAAAGAGAGACCATTAATTAGCACCCCTTCTCCTGCCCATGTTCACTGTCACTTGCCTCTCCGATGTCCCTCCCTGCTGGCTTGGCTTTTCCAGGTCCCAAACCTCTCCATGCGCAGGACAGGAAGTCGCCCAGCTCTGCAGGAAGCCTTCTTCTTCACAGTTCCAGCTGCAGGCTTCCTGATCTGCTCCTTTCCTACAGGCACAGGCCTTCTTCCTGAACCAGGTGAAATCAGCCTCCTGCGGTCCCTCTGTCATCTTCATTTGCAGCTTGATCACACATTTGTGTTCTCTGTCACTTTGGTGGCATCTTATTTAGGAGGGAGGAGACGGACTCATGTGGTCAGTGGACCATCTTAGGCTGGAAGTCACTGACCCACATATTCTCATGAAAATCAAATCTCCTGCCGTGCCTGTTGGGCTTAAATAAGTTCATGCCAAGGATTGAGTCGCATGGTATGTCAGCAGCCCCTGCTGACAAAACACCACACAAGGGGTGTTTTGAGAGATTCCTGGCTAGAGAGAGTAGAAGGGACAGGGACAGACACACAGACCTGGTTTGTAGCGATCTTCAATACCATTATGCAGAAGTGGGCTCACGTGCAGCGCTTGCTCGCTGCTTGTGGTGTGAGGTGGATCACTCTCCCCTTTACAAGCCTATTTCCGCTCTGTGCTCCTGAGGTCTTTTATAATCGGTATTAGTCAAGGTCTTTGTGTTGCATGCCGCAGAATCTCACACCAGTTAAGCAAAAGTTAGGCTGAAGCAGCAGGTACTTACAAAGACATCCCTGTAGCAGGGACTTTGGGAACCTGGAGAATGTAGGCCCCCAGAAAGAATTCATATTCACCAGGAAAACGAATACCCAGGGCTGGCCAAACACATCTACGGGCCACCTCCAGTGTATTGGCCTCCTGCCTACAACCTCTGTCAGTAGAGAAGAGCCTGAGTTCTGTGCCTGGCACCTAGGCCCAGACAGTGCCAAGATACTCAAACTTCAGGCCAGAAGCCCGATTCTGGGTGACGGGGAAAGACCAGGGAGCAAGGCCTAAGGTGATATTGACTGTTCTGATTCCTCAAGTCTGCAGCCCCCAGCACTGGGCCCAGAAAGAGAACACCGAAGTCAGCATCTGGTACCGCGCCTCCTTCCACCCACAGGGGTGACCGGTGCTAGTCTGATGGGAGCCACCCCACGCCCCTTGACAGAGGGCTGAGCAAGCCATGTGGCATGTGTCGAGTCACGTTTTGCTTCCGGGAGAGGAGCTAATGGAACGGAATGCCACACTTGAAACTGCGCTCATGAAGTGGGCAGAGGAGGGAGGATCAGTGTGTGCTGGGGGGGGATTCCCTCCCCTACTCCCAACCCCAATCCCCGCCCCATCTCCCCCTGCTCCCCCACCCAGCAGAGCGAAGGCAATATACTTCTAAGCCCGACTCCCCACCGCCTGCTATCGGATTAGACTAAAGAAATACAGAGCAGACAAAAGACACTGCACAATAAAATTTTATGTGAAATTCTGCAAATGCACAGGGAGGCCCTGGCGGGCCTGTTGGGGGCCCGCCCCTCAGCATTTGGTGTAGATGGCTGCACCGCCCCGCTCCTCGAACTCTTCCTTGCTGACCCAGAGCTGCTGGAAGGCCTCCAGTGAGGCCAGGATGGAGCCGCCGGTCCACACGGAGGTCTTCCTCTCGGGGCCAGCGGCCACTATGGGGCTGTCCTCGGGGCAGAGGAGGCTCAGCTCCCTCTGGAAGCGCTCGGGGAAGCCGTCCAGCGTGGTGCAGCCGCCGCACAGCAGCACGTTGGTGGCCATCTCCTCCTTGAAGCCCGCCTCCTCGCAGCGGTCCAGGCAGGCAGCCGTGAACGCAGGGAGGCCGAGCTGGGGGCAGCCCACCAGGGAGGGCTTAAAGAGCATCTCGGCGCAGCGAAAGCGCTCCTTGCTGATGGTGATGACCTTGCCGTCTGGAAGTTCGTAGTCCAAGCGCAGCTCCTCCAGGCCCAGCTGCTCCTCTTCCGGCAGGAGGGCCGCGTAGCAGCATTTCTTCTTGATGTGCTCTATGATGTGCAGGTGGTCATCCGTGAACCTGTGGCCGGCCTCGTTGAGCATCTGCATCAGATAGTTGGTGAGGTCGCTGCCCGCGTAGTCAGCGCGGCTGGCGAGGCCCGGGAGGATGTCGCCCTGGGAGATGGGCACCACGTGCGAGACGCTGTGCCCGCTCTCCACCACCAGCCCCGTGGTCCTGCCATAGGAGTAGATGGAGAGCAGGGCCTGGGACGTCACGTGCATGGCCGGGATGCTGAAGGTCTCGAACAGGAGCTCCGCGTACTTCTCCCTGCTGCTGCTGGAGCTGAGCGGGGAGTCGGAGACCAGCACGGGGTGCTCCTCGGGGCAGATCTTCATGGCCGTGTGGAAGATGTACTCCCAGATGCTCTGGACGCAGTCCCAATCCACCACGACGCCGTGCTTCAGAGGGTTGACCAGCTTCAGAGGCGCCTCTATGTTGAGCAGCTCATGGCCCACGTAGGTCTCCTTGCGGGTGTCGCCAGCATCGGCGGTCACCTCGGGACTGCGCTTGCCCACCGTGGAGGAGATGAAGTAAGTGGGCCGCGGCTCTCCCCCATACCCACACTTACAGTACTGGGAGCCCAGGTCAATGATGACCGCCTTGTTGTTGTGCCCCTTCCAGGGCTTCACCTGATGAGTGGTCGAAACTGTGTTCCTAATGCCAGCATTGGGCCCTGGCAGTGTCCCTACCTCGCCCGGGTCCCCCTGAGCTGTGCCCATGGGCGCGGGGCTAGGGTTACTCTTTGTCGCCATCTGCCTTCCTTTTCTACCTACTCACATCCACATCCTAGAGCTCCAGGGGGGGAAATGAGCTTCTCCCAACAGTGCCTTGGCAACCACCTAGGATTGTGATGTCACTGGGGCTGGTCCAATCGTTCAGGCAGCTCAGGGAGGGCTGGATCTTGTCACTGCCCCCCTCCTCCTTCTACTATAGTTTGTTCCAGGGTGGCCAGCAGTTTTAGAAATCCCACCGCAGTGGGGTCTCAGAGGTTTCTGCCCCCGCCCCTTACAGTTCCAAGCCTAAATCCTTGTTCCCTGGCAACACTTTCTCCCTTGCTGCTTGACAGTGATAAACATTTCAGCACTGTAGTAGGTGCTTCCATTAACTTCACTACCGTGAAAGCCCCTCATTGTAGTGACTGCCTTTTATGAAGCGCACTGGGCACTCCAAGGTGCTGCATTTGGATTCTGACACCCTGAGTGTGGCAGCTGTCAACACCAGTGTGTCCAGCTAGAGAAGAGACACAAGTGTCCAGGCAGCCTCAGAGACTCACGTGAGTGTCATTGTTGCGGGAAAAACTGAATCCACAGTAGCCAGGAGCTCAGGAGAAGAATGGAAATTTTATTAATGCTGGCCGACCCCAGAGTAAGAGTAACCTCCAAAGTCTGAGGTGGGGAATACAGATAGCTTGTCTTACTTATAGGGTGGTGAACAGAAGTTACAAGAACGAGATAAGCTTTTGCTGGAGGCCAGGATACAATCTGAATCTTGTGATGACCATAGTGATGAGTATAGTTGTGCAGGTAGCGAGTTGGTTTGAGCACATGCACAGAAGTTTCAGTTTGATGACAAATTACATAATTTAGCTGAGTTCAGTGGCAGAGAACAGAGTGACTGCAGCTTTAACAAAATGGCTGTAGTTGGGCTAGGATTTTTGCTTCATTACGAAGGTGTGTCACAGCACGCCCCAGGGGGGGCTGTAGGACAGCCTGGACACTCCTGCCTGGATGTCCTTGAAGGAGCTATGCACTATGAGCCATTCTGTTCTCATTAGTGGGACTCTGTAGCATCTGCCTATCCTAGGGCCTTAATGAAGGACAGGCAGGTATACTAAATGTATGTCCAGAAATAATTCCTCGTAAGATTGTCCAAGTGTCAGCCTTAGCATCGAAGTAAGCAGAGCTTGGCATCGTCTCTACAGCGACAATGGATCCTATGAAAATCTGTCGGGTGGTGTCAGTTGTCTGCTCAAAAGCCTGGGCTTTCTAATCTCACCCAGGTAGGCCCAAAGTCCTTGCACTGGCCCGCAAGGCCTGATGGGAACTGCTTGGCGCCCCCCTCCCTCCCATGGCATCTTCCAACTTTTTTCTGGCTCCTCCCACCTGCCATACTGGCTTTCTTGCCAGTTCTTTAACTCAGAGTCACTGTGCACTGCGAAGTGCCAGTCATTATTGTCATTTGGCATTTTGGGGTACAGTTTCTGTTGCAATGACTGCTGCTGTTGTACAAAAACAGCCATAGGTAACATGAAAGCAAAGGGGCGTGGCTGTGTTCCGCTGAGTTTACCTACAACCAAGAGCTGCAGGCTGGGTCTGGCTGCATTCAGATGGTCTCCGGCCTAGCTCATCAGCCACTCCGGGCTTTGTACTCGCTGCTCCCTCAGCAGCATGTGGCTGTCTCCTTCGCCTCTTCTAGGTTTTCACACGACTGCCGCTGTTCTCTCAGAGGGCCTTGGCAGGCCACACTAGCACTGCCACCCTGCCTATCCGCCTCCTCTATCTTTCTCACGCTAAAACTTTCCAGCATGTATTTCCTTTGTTTCACATACATTTATTGTCTGTCTTCCTCCTGTCCCACCAGCCAGAATATAAGCTTTACATGGGCAGATTTTTTTCCCATTGCTGTATTCCCATTGCTTTGCATGTCACAGGCCCTCAATATATACTGAATGGATATGTAGTTCTAATTCATAATTAGAATTCTAATGTATAATTTCTACTTATAAAATTTGGAGAAAAAAATAGAATTTGGAGAAAAGGGGAGTCATTTTAGAAACAGTACTCCCAAACACACACTATCCCAGGACAAAGGTTTCTGGCATCCAGGAAGCCCTGGTCACTGGATTATGTCATAATCAGTGATGTCACTGTTGGGGAATTCTCAAGTTGTCCTATGATTTAGGCCTTACAGGCCTTGAAGCCACTGGGGCTGAAGAACTTTCTGAGAGCATATGGCTCTTGACAGCATGTGGGCACCACAGGCAGCAAACACCAGGGATAGGCTCGCCAAGAAAGCAGATGAGCAGGCCTCCCCACAGACTCAGGCCTTCCAGACTGCCTCCATAAAGGACGGCCCTGCCAAGCTGGCCGTGCGGGTCGGCTGTAATGATGCAGAGCCAGAGGATCCTGTCAAGTCAGCAGAGCCCAGGCAGAGGTCCAAGCTAGAAGAAACCAAAGCAGTGGTTGTGGACCTTGGCACTGGTTACTGTAAATGTGGTTTTGCTGGCCTGCCAAGGCCCAGCCACAAGATCTCAACCACAGTGGGCAAGCCCTACATGGAGACCACCAAAACTGGGAATAATCGCAAGGAGACATTTGTGGGGCAGGAGCTCCTCAACCCACAGGTTCGTCTCAAGATAGTTAATCCTCTGCGACATGGGATCATCGTGGACTGGGATACGGTGCAGGATATCTGGGAGTATCTCTTCCGAAAAGAGATGAAGATCGCCCCCGAGGAGCACGCAGTCTTGGTTTCAGACCCACCCCTGAGCCCACACACCAACAGAGAGAAGTATGCCGAGATGCTGTTTGAGAGTTTCAGCACGCCTGCTATGCACATTGCCTACCAGTCCCGCCTGTCCATGTACTCCTATGGGAGGACCTCCGGCCTGGTAGTGGAGGTGGGCCATGGTGTGTCCTACGTGGTCCCCATCTACGAGGGTTACCCGCTGCCCAGCATCACCGGAAGGCTGGACTATGCGGGCTCGGACCTGACTGCCTACCTGATGAGCCTGTTGAACAATGGGGGACAACACTTCACTGAGGACCAGATGAGCATCGTGGAGGACATCAAGCAGAAATGCTGCTTTGTGGCCATGGATCCCAATGAGGAGAAGAAAGTCCCTCCCAGCGAGCATGACACCCAATACACTCTCCCTGACGGGAAGGAGATCTGCCTGGGCCAGGAGAGGTTCCTCTGCTCCGAGATGTTCTTTAAACCGTCTCTAATCAAGTCCATGCAGCTGGGCCTCCACACCCAGACAGTGTCCTGCCTCAACAAGTGTGACATCGCCCTCAAGCGAGACCTCATGGGAAACATCCTGCTCTGTGGGGGCAGCACCATGCTCACAGGTTTCCCCAACCGTCTGCAGAAGGAGCTGAGCAGCATGTGTCCCAATGACTCCCCACACATAAACGTGCTGCCTGAGAGAGACACCTCGGTGTGGACTGGCGGCTCTATTCTGGCCTCCCTGCAAGGTTTCCAGCCACTGTGGGTACACCGCTCTGAGTACGAGGAACACGGGCCCTTCTTCCTCTTCAGAAGGTGCTTCTGACTATGAGGCATGACTGCTGTGGTGGCCAGGGCACCAACTTTGTGAGCTGGGTGTATATCCTACACACAGGGAATTGAGCCAGCACATTTGTTCCGGTAGCATTAAACACCCTGCATATCCCCCTCCACTGTGTGTCTACTTACTGACTGAACAATAACCACTTTGCAGATGAAGTACCTGCCTTAGAAATTGTATATATATGCAAAAAAAAGGAAGGTTGTAGGGGAACAAAATACACAATCAGCTGGGCACGGTGGTGCACACATGTAATCCCAGCCCTTGGGAGGCTGAGGCAGGAGGATCGTTGCAAGTTGGAGACGAGCCTGGGCTACAAAGCAAGCTCAAGGCCAGCTTCAACCACAAAGTGACCCTGTCTCAAAAAGACAACAAACAAAACATACATTTTGTTAATTACTTCAACACCTTTCCTTGGGAAAAACTAGCTCTAAAATGATTGTCTTTTATGTATACTTCCCACTATAGGAGCTACTACATTATTTTTTTCCTGCTGATGGCTCCTTCCCTCCCACCCCATTTACTTGTTTGCCTTGTCTGGTGGGTTCATTCTTTTGGGGTTCACGGAGTTGTAGTATTTGTTATCTCTTTCTAGAGTGTCCTTCAGAACATTCTGGAGTGGGCATGAATTTCCTCAGGTGTTCTTTGTCATGGAAGTATCTTATTTCTCCATTAATTTTTAAAGTTTTGCAGGGTACACCAATCTGGACTGGAGATTTGGTTTCTTTTAGGGCTTGAAATACTCTACTCCAAGCTCTATTTGACTTGAGGGTTTCTGTTGAAAAGTCAGCTTTCTGTTGAAAAGGGTTTTCCTTTATTGGTGGTTTGGTTTCTTTTCTACGACAGCCTTTAATATTGTTTTTGTGTTGAATTTCTGGAATTTTGACTATTAGATGCCTTGGCGTACATCCTTTTAATCATGGCTAATTGGAGTTCTATATGCCTCACTTACTGTATGTCAAATTCTTTTTCCCTGCCAGAGGTTTTTGCCATGACATCTGTAAACAGTTTTTAAAAAATATCATCTGTGCTATCTCCTGCTTTTTTCATTGACTCTAATCAATCTTGTTATTCTTTGCATCATCTAGCAGCTGCTGGATTGATTTCTCATGGTACCTTGCTATTTTTTTTTTTTTTTTAATACCAGGAATTGAACTCAGGATCTTACACTTGCCAGGTAGGCAGGCACTGTGCCACTGAGCTGTATCTCCAGTCTTTACCTTGCTAAGCAGAAGCCTATCTTCTGAGATTCTGTCCTTACAATGGAATTTTTAGTCTCCTGGACACCTGCTTGAATCTGCTTTATGGATTCCATTTCACTCTTATGTTGGGCATTCATGGTTTCCATCATTTTCCTTTTTTTTTTTTTTTTTTTTAATTTATATCTACTCTAGGGTCACTAAGCATGTTTTTCATTGTGGTCACTATTCTTATCTGATAAATTATTTCTGATCTGATTTTTTTCTAGAGCCCCATTCATCTGCTTGTTGTTAGAGAGACTGGGTGTAAGGCTTTCAGATATTCCTACTTCATTAACCCCTGGGTTTGCCTTTGGTGTACTGGATATCTGGGGGTGCATCTTGCTTAAACGTCTTCTCATCTTTTTTTTATTTATTTCCTGGGTTGATACTTGTAAATTGCCTATGGTGAGTTGTTTCATTGCTAGTATTCAGAATGCTTAGGAAATGACTACTTCTCAGAGGTGTTTTCCAGGTGTACCTGGCTTTTTGGTTTTGAGTCAGCTGCAAGATCTCTTCAATTCAATGGGGATAAGAAATTGCCACCTATATGGCCCACCACCTGGGTCTTCAGCACTGGACCCACAGTGTTTTCTATGACCCTTAGGTATACCTTCCTGGTATACCAGGAAGATCAGATGCCAGTTAGAACAGTTATGTCACTTTGGCTAAAGTGGTATAATCAGTAATAACTATAGCATCAAACACAGCCTTGAGATGATAAACTAAGGTAACCATTCATTTGCCACCTTTAACTGTATGAACTAAATTTGTGGTTATACAACAAAAATCTACAACCAGAAAATTGTATGCAGTAAATAAGCTCCCAATATGCTAATTTTACCCTGGGGAGAGAAAATTTAAAATTGGGGAGAAAATAGAGAAATAGAAGAGGAAGAGGTTAGAGCAAGGTTGGAAGATAAAGGAGGATCATACAAACTTTGGGAAACTGGTGAAGAAGATTAAGAGGGAAACAGAAGGAAGAAATAAAAGAACAAAACAGAACCACAAAAAGAAACTAGAAACCAGGTTCACACTCTGATAAAAAAATCAAGTAATTAAAAAAGTTACAAATTAAAAGGAAGAGAGAGAAAAAAAAGTCTGCCATCACTGGCAGAAAACGTGGAGACAGAGTCCATATCCATGTTGATTTATCCCAGCAAGCCAGCATTAGCTTTATGGCAGGGTAGTGTATAATCTCAGTGAGTCTGTACCTTTATTTACCCTGAAGTTCAGGCTGGTTTCTGGCCATGAGGCTGGGACCAGACCTGTTCAGCTTGCCGAAGTCTGTGTACCTTCTGTGGGCTTGAACTGAGGTGGGAGCTGCTGAATGGAGCCAGCAGTTTTTCTGAGTTCTGAGCTCAGTTGGCCCCTCTCCAAGATGGCTCCCAGCCTATCATCCTCTCCAGTGGGATGGCCAGATCTGCTCCACTCATCAGCCAGTGCATTCCATGGGGTCCACACCTCTGCTGTACTGCTGCATCTTTTGGTGGAGGCCTCTGGGGTTGCCAGCAGTCACCGTGTGTGCAGGTTTGAACCTCTCCTCAGATGCAGTGAGTTGGAACTACTATATTGTTAAAGTCAATTTAGAAGAGGAGTGTGGTAAGATATAGAAACTATAAATGTTGGGACATGTAAGAAGCTCCCTTCTGTCAATACAAGTAGTTCCATATCCCACAAAGCACCAAGGCACATTTCATATATTACCTGCAACTCTGAAAGTTTACAAATCACTCGCAAAGATGTCTGACCCCTGCTTAAATTGTACCTTTAAAAAATTCTGATAGTCATTTATATCTCAATAATAGTCTTATAAGGTCATTGTGACCAGCCATTGAAGGCTAGCACTGAAGAAGGGCAACTCTTCTGAGAACAAGTGCTACCCAGACTTCCTGTTTTTAGTAACTGGGGTAAGATTTAGCTTCAGTTATCAGTACTGAGATCAAGGATGGAAGTCCTGGTCATTCTCTACTTCATGTAATTTCCATCTCCTTACAGACTAGATTCTCCATCAGCTTGCACAGTACATAGTTGGCATCTGGGTGGGACAGGATGGAGCTGTAGGTCCTGAGGCTGATGGTGTGAGTTTGTGGGAGGCCCTATGCTAGTCCAGCTAAGGAACCCTAAAGTGTATACAGAACCTAAGTAGTTAGGGAGGCCCTTCCAGGACCCAGCAGGTTCTGTAATATTCCTGGGTGAGGGGGTTATAAATTGGAGCTCATGAAATCAGAAATTCTTGAGAACATTTCCCAGTATATTCTCTGTTGTGTTTAAGATTCAGACTCTTAATATTACTAGGTAGCATACAACAATGGAAAGTACATGTGCTTTTGATTATGTGATTTGAAACTCTACTTTGCCATCCCCTAGCTATGTGACCTGAGTTTCTTTGCATACTTATGATACTGAATACGAATGCCTAACTCACACAGCCAATGTAAAGCCAGAAGTAAAGTGCCTCAATATTAGGATTTGACCTCAAGAAAGTGCTCACAGCAGCAAGCTAGTATCATGTACACTTCTACCTCTTATAGAAGCATCAAAGTCTCTTACTATGGTCCTTTAGCTATCTAGGCACACAGTTCGGCACTCAAAGGAGACCTGGCATCTTCACCATGTGAAGCCTTCCACAATCCCACTCATGCCCTCCAGATCTGCCTAGACAGCACTGATCAGCCTAACCTAGAGACTCTAGATCCAGGTCCAGTGCACAAGCACATCTGCTTGACACCAGCAAGTGCAGCAGGGAAGCAGACATGGAAAGTGACAGAGGAACATTTTAAGGTCCTTACTTCAGCAAGGATGACCAAACTTCACCCCAGAGTATCAAGCGATCATCCAGATTCTGTCCCAACCATTTTGTCAGTGCTCCATGAGCACGCACTGAGAGGCAAGCTGGGGTATGATTAGTTCTTAACCGGGCTGGGGATATAGCTCAGTGGCACAAGAGCCTGCCTGGCAAGTGCAAGGTCCTGAGTTGGATTCCCAGTACCAAAAAAGAAACTAGACTTTGACTGATTAGTTCTTAACCTTTAAACATCTTTAGCTGGGTGGTCAAAACCTTCTCAATGTTTTTATACATAAAATATTGAAATGTAAAGGATTTCATAAAATGTATAGGATTACAGAGGAAACCAATCATACAGTAATATTCTACTATCTTCAGAGCCTTTAGGAGTCTATGAATTCTAAGTCAAAGACCCTCCCACAAAAGGCTGTGGGTCTTGATGGAAGAGGGGTAGGTGGTTCTGAAGGGTAAGCATCTCAGGATATTCAAGGCCTAAATGTTTACTTAAAGAGAGCAATGTAAAGCTTACCAATTGCAGTCTTTCTCAAAGTGCTCCCCCCACCCCGGTTCCTCTCTTCTTCCTTCCCTTACTTCCTATCCATAGTGGGGATTGAACCCAGGGCTTTCACACTGGCTACATCCCCAATCCTTTTCATTATTTTTTATTTTTGAGAGCGTCTCAGTAAGTTACTATGCTGTGCTTGAATGTGATTCTCCTGCCTCTGCCTCCTGAGTTGCGGGGATCACAGGTATACATCATCACAGTAGGCTCAAAGAACTTCAATTCTCTCACTTGATTCTCACAATTCCCTGGTAGGGGGAAAAAAAAGTCCTCCTCACAAAAAAGATAAACAGTAAGAGTATTTTGAAATCATCTAAGCTTAGTAATTTATAACTGGGGGGCAAGCCTGACACACTGTCAAAGATATTTTTGGTTAATGGTGATGAGAATGTATACTACTGTTATCTAGAGGGCGGAGGTGACTCAGAGCAGGCATTCAGTGCTCATGTGACAACATATGAGGCTGGGCTTGTCTACAGCTCTTTGGATATTTACAGTTGTCCAGCTCCTAAGATCTCCATACTCATCCCAGGTACTAACAAACATGACAGAGAAGAATGCCCAAAGAGTCCTAAGGGCTTCTACAGGACACAGCTATGTATGGACTGGCACAGGTGAGGTAAGAAGATGCTGTCTGAACTTGCAGTCACCTGAAGTTTCTAAGAACAGTTGGCTTTATCTTTTTTAAAACAGCATCTTGAGTTATGCCTATGACAAATTACATGTTTGTACATGTCTGTATACATGTGTGGATGTGTATATAGAAGTAATTCTTATAAAGCTTTAATCATAAAACATAAAAAAAAAATTCCTGCCTCAGTTTTTAAAAACATGAATCTGAAGTTACTTTAATTAAAGAAAATAGTCCTCCAAAAGTTCCCTGCTGATATTTAGAGCATTTAGGCAAAACTACCTGACTCAACAAGCCAAAAACGAGCTTTTAGCTTGTTAACAGCATGAACTTGCTCTGAAATATAGTCCAAATTTTTGGTCAGAGTATATAATCTTTTTAAAAACTTGACACACTTTTTCCCCAAATTCAGCATTCATCACCCACAGGAGTTTCTCCTCTCCCAATATGTTCCATTTCTTCTCCCATGAATTCTTTTTTGTCTTTACCGTTAATTTGGAAGGTCTACCTGCTTCTCAAAATGAACAAAATTCAATCTTGCTCAGATGAGAGATTGTAGCTGACAGCAGTTTGCAGTCATCAAATCTTGCTACTACATTATTTTAAGTCAACAGAGTATCTGTGAAAATTCACACTATTTTCACATATTTAGTTCTATTTCCGGTCTACTGGCATAGGACCCTTTATTATGATTCAAAGCAGAAGAACTATAATATGTTAAATGCCATATAAGTTACCATGTTCACTTATCCATGTCAAATAGAAGTCAGGAAGTACTTCCAACATTTCACAGTTGGACATCTAATTACAGCAAATTCATTATGGGTATGAATTAAAAGATTTCCCCAAAGCACAATGTATTGTCTTTTTTTCTCTATTATTTATGAAATTTTTCAAATACACATAAAAGGTGAGTTAGATTCTATAGTCAACACCGTAGTATAATAAGAAAATTCTTCTGAAATTATAATTTTGAGTAGATTTATACTCTGGGGATCAAAAGCAGCACTTCCTGTTTACATACAGTAGTGAAGGTCTGGTTTTGTATTAAAAACAGGAGAGAAATTTCTAACTTTACCAAAGGATTTTTGTCAAAATAAACTGGGCTTTTTCTAGACTCAGGAAAAAAAAAAAACCTTCTCATCTTTCAAAACAACCCCCCCATCCCCCACCAAAAAAACCCCAAAACTGAAAGTTCTTTTAAGAAGCTGGATGAAAGAGAGGTCAATTAACTACTATAAAAAAAACAAGCAAACAAAAAACCGTATGAAATGGCCTAGACACGGACAAAAACATTCTGGTTAGGGAAACAGTATTTGGACAACAAAGAATAACTTCCAACTATGAACAGCATACAACATGCACTGCTCACCTGCACCAAATATGCCTGTAGTGTTTCAAAAGTTCTAACCTGTTCCAGCTCTAACACAGATAAGTTGTAGCAGAAAATACACAGGCAATAAGACAATCCCTGTAACACTGATGGCACTAATAGCCTACTGTTTATAATGCTCTCTGATCCAGTAACATGAAACAATTTAGAAACATTGTTTTACTTGTCTTCACATTTCCAAGATAGAAACCATGAAACATTATTCCCTCTTAACAGACAAGAACTAAGGCACAAATCAGTTAAGTGGCTTATCCACAGTCCTAATGCGAATCAGACCTGTAGCAGGGAATTAATTACAGTAATCACACTCTCAAACAGCATTAAATACAAGAACAATAATTCTTTAAAAATTATGATACAGTCATTGGCTAAAGCTTCAAGTTTTGCTAGTGATTGAGATGTACACCGAAGTACGAATAGAACTGCCTGGGGTCTGCTGAGGCCTGGTGCACACCGTGGCGGTAGGCAATGCTTATCATCACACTTCCCAGTTCTCAGCTGCCAGGCTTCCAGGAGCAAAGATGGAAGGACAACTAGGAACAAGAAGGAACAGGTCTTTGCTGGAGCCTTTCTACTGCACTGGTCACTCCAGCAGGCTCAGTTTCCACTGTGTTCTTCTGTCCACCTTTGGTGGTATGAAAAGCTCAGCATCTTTAAAAGAGAAGGAAAATTATGATTAGACACATGTATCTTGCTGGTGAGAGCTGGGGCAATAACTCTATGCCAAACGAAGTAGGTGACTAGGTTATACAGCTGTAAGATGACCATCACAGAATTACTGTGCTTGCTATCCTTATAACTCTTGAGTTAGAGCCTGGAGTCCCGACCCAGAAAGAAGAGACTGCACTGAACTCCAGCCATGCTCACTAAGTGACTCAAAGTAGAGGAATACTCTACATTTCAACTGGAAAGGAGCGGTAGTGGTTACATGCAGAATACAATTATAAAAATTCATCAAATTACATATCTAAAATCTGTGCATCTTATATGTCAAATTTATTTCACTTTTTTAAAGGGTAAAAGAACGTGACATTTGCACTGCAAGAGAATGGACAGAAAACATACTAGGGTAAAATTCTACAAACATGACGGTTAATAAAGATGCCTCTTTTAAAAAAAAGGTAAAAGTACAGGAGGAGTGTTGGAGAAAAATTCCGTCATTGTAATCTAAAACTTCTAGGCAGTCTTTCAGTTACAGTTGTGGAGTCCCTAACAAGGAATTGTATAAAGGAAGCAGAGATATGAAAAAGTACGTATAGATAAAGATTCTTTCTTGGTATAATAGCACAACATCCGTACATATATAGTATATGGATATTGAAAAATGATTCTTAAAGAGTATCTAGCATTATGAGCAAAAATCCTCAAGAAAGTTTTTTTAAATCATTATTTTCATATTATACATAAATACATGCACATATACACACATATACAGAACTGTCAAATTTTAATTTACTTTGACATACTTTACATCACATTTTCTGATTGTTACCAGTTTTATAGTTATGCATAAAATTAATTACTCTCTACCTCCATTATCTCCCTCCACAAAAAAACTATATAGACAAAAGCCCACCAGATATTTTGGTCATATAAGTACACTGACACTAAAAAAAGACTACATAAATAAATTCATTGTCAACAAGGGCCATAAAATTTCATAGTTTTGCAGGGCATGGTGGCACACGCCTGTAATTCCAGCACTCTGGAGGCTGAGGTAGGATGGTTGCAAGTTCGAGACCAGTCAGGGCTACAAACTGAGCTCAAGGCCAGCCTCAACCACAAAGTGACCCTGTCTCAAAAAAAAAAAGAAAAAAAAAAACTCAGTTTTTAATCTTAAGAAACAAGTTAGGTACCTTTCAGATTGTATTTACTCTTTCCCTTACACTAGGGAGACAATACAATGTTTACACATGTGGGTCCGATTTATTTCACTTATGAATATGGTCTCTAGTTGCATCCATTTATCTACAGAATCTTCAATTTTATCTTTCTTTACAGCTGAGTAATGCTTCACTGTATAAAAATACCACATCTTTTTTATCCATTCCTCAGTTGATGGGCATTTGGGTTGTTTCCAAGATTCAGCTATGACAAATTGAGCTGCTATAAACTTGGGTGCACATATGTCTCTGTGGCATAATAGATACTGTGAAAGGGAAAGAAACTACTCAAAAGGAAAGAACAACTGGGATGAGGGAAAGGAGAAAAGAAAAAAAGACGGGAAAAAAATATATATATACATAAGATAGCTAAGATAATTGTACTGCTAGTTTCTATTGGTTTATTAAGCTTCATTTTTTTTTTAACGATTTTGCATCCTTATAGCTGGTAATCTGAACTACTTTGAAGACAACAATATGCAATATAACAACCACTGTTGAATTCATATCATCTTGTTTTTTGAAATTCTGTATTGTTTCTAATGTTATTTTTCACTCTTTTAAAAATAAACAGTGCTTACTTTGAAAACAAAAGAAACATTATGAAAATACTCTCACATTTTAAAAATTAGATTAAAAAATAAATAAAATTAGAGACAACTACAATTCTATCTGAGTCTAAACTTAACTAGGAATAAATACCAACTATTGATTTTTTGGTGAGAAAGTAATTATTCTGACAAACTGTGTGACATTAGCATGTGACATCTTTCACATTTCCATGTTTGAATTTCTTGTACAAAAAGAATCATTTTTATAAAAATACTTAGGGCGTTTCAGCTTTTCCAAGGAACTCTCAATCTTTTAAAGTCAATTGAAGCACTTATTTTGCTAACTACTGATTCCAAGAAATCCAACTTGGCTATGATTCAAGCATTTTTCTAGTGTCACTTTAATCCACTTTATGAAAATGCACACTTTTGCAAGAGTCAACCAATCTGCACGGTACTGCACTGCACTATAAAGCATGAAATAGTCACAGCCAATGGCTCACCCTACTGCTGATCCTGCTGAGGGATGGAGGTGTTCGCCTAACCACCGTTAGCGGGGCAAGGACAGCTGAGGAGTATTTCAGTGGGACTCATCTTGTGAGTAGTATCAATGCCAACTTTTTAACAATGAGACCTCCCTTTTCCTATACAATCTGCAGCCGTGAGACATTGATAATAAACTCTCAAGTGAGGGATCCTCATATATTAGTCTTTAAGGCTTAGAGAGAAATGGAAATGTCTTTTGACATGAAGTCATCTAGAAAAAAAGGGAAAGATATGACTGGACCTGTCTTGAAGGCCATCATCAGGCTAGTGACAAGGAGCACAAAAGTCAGGTATCTAACAACAAACTAAACAACTGCCAAATTGCCTCAGGTCCAAGATGAATTTTTAGCACCTCAGAAATAAATATATGCACTGAAATTGATACCAAAAGAACTAGCAAACTCTAGGAGGAAAGGGACCTACGGCCACAGTAGTTACTGTGAGATGAATGAATTTAGTTGGGGTAGAAGCAATTCAATCTGTTAAACTTAATTTTAAATTCCAAATGTGATCAAAATGCTATTATGATGAAGTATTTAAATGAAAAAGTTTCAGAATATTGCCTATCACATGCTAGAAAATGCGAACAATAGCTGTAAAACTGCCAATTATTTTAGAAGGTATCACTGACTTTTCAAAGCCAAGACAGCTGGCATACCTGAGTGACCAACCTGAAGAGCAAGCACTGAGGCGCCAAAGTGTCAACCAACTTTTAAAACAAAGCCTTTAATAACGATGACGGAAAATTTTTTATTTTAAAAAGAACAAAAAATAATTAAAAAAATAGAAACAATACAGAACTTCACAAAACAAGATGACAGGAATTCAATAATGGTTGTATCTGGTAATCTGAACAACTAATTTGAAGACAACCATATGCAATATAACAACTATGGCTGAAACCTTTAAGAACACATAATCTATCTATGAAACATCAACAAACATTTGAGGTAGTGATAACTACACAGAAAATTAAGCTGGGCACGGTGGTGCACACCTATAACCCCAACACTTGGGAGGCTGAGGCAGAAGGACTGCTGCAAGTTTGAGGGCAGCCTGGGCTACAAAATGAGTTCAAGGCCAGCCTAAACTGCACAGTGAAACCCTGTCTCAAAAAGACCAAAAAAAAAAAAGAAAAGAAAATTCAGATAAAATGCTGATAGTCTTTGGATTTGCCTTCAAGTTACATTCTCAATCATAAAGGTCATAGAAAGGTCCCGGTCACAAGCAACAATTATGAAAATGTCTCCAAGATGTAATGTATAACTGCCAAAAGCCAAAATGATTCAGAAGAATTTTCCAGATGTATCCGTAAAAGCAGACCTTTCAGACTCAAATTGTGATGTGTATGGTATGGACATGTGCATGCCAGTTTTACTCAAAAATTTAACTACACATTTTAATGTCACTTTGGATTCCTCTCTCAGACCCCCACCATTAGAAACATTAAACTTAGCTACTAAAAACAGAGTCTCAGAATTGAGGAAGAATCATAGTCAATACTCAGTCTCTCCTGGTACTGCTACCTTGTCAATACCTATAGCTATTCCTTCTGCTCAGTATCATGACCATTTATTTATAGGGAAAAGATACTAACCAAGAACAGGAACTGAAGTCTTCTGCTGTTGATAAGAGGCCATGATACTATTTGCAGTAGAACTGGGACCCAAAACCTAAGCAAAAAAGAGTCTGTGTTAGCAACAATTATCTTATACTTCTGATGACTGTACAAACCAAAGGCCAAACCTCTATTTTTAATTTTGGTACTCAGGATCAAACCAAACATCACACTACCACTGAGCTATTAAACACCCCCATCCTGTCCTTTTTATTTTATTCTGAGATACTCTTGCTAACTGCCAGTCTGGCCTTGAACTTGCAATCATCCTGCCCCGGCCTCCCAAGCAGCTGGGACTATAGGAACCCATCACAGTGCACGGCCCAGCCTATCATTTCTAGTAGTATGATACTGACATTAATTCTCTTTTCCTATATGATTTTAATCTGCCACTTTCTAGAGTTTTAACTCAGAACTCCAAACCTCCTTTCTCACTGTGGGTGCAAGTCCTATGTTCTACAATGATATATCCCTGACCTCTTCCAAATGAGCAAGCCATTTGGAAGAGAAAATAAAAGCGACCAGAGAACAGAGTATCAATTATATTCAGAGTTGTGGAAAATAGTCATTTTTATATTAAATATAAATATGGGCATCTCACATGTGGAATGTAAACTCTTGCACCTGTGTTAAGGGTAAAGCACAAAACTTCACAAGGTGTCCTGCGCCTGCAGCAGGCCTCTACGCAGATGCCAATTCTCACTGGCCCTCACGCATCTTTGCAAGCAGCCCAAGGTGGAGCACTCTTAACTGTAATGCCATATAGCAAAAGCATGGGGTCGTGAACATACTGCAGGACCACACTCTGCCAAGCAAAACAAACCACGGGTTTCTTGGGTCATTTTACCTAGAAGATTCACAAAGCTGGGCTTTAGATGTTAATATGATGCAAAAAGAAGGGAGGAAGGAGGCATTCTAAGTTGTTAGCTTGAAAACCACTGCAGTTTTGAATAGGATGATCTTGTTTCTTCTAAGAAATATCTATTATAGTAAATTCAAGCATTTGTGGGGTCTTGATTCTTAGTTGCTTTTCTATGGTTTGCAAAGTGCTTCTACATCCACCCTCTTATCTAACCATCAAAACATTCCAATGAGGCACTCAGGGAAGTCTCCCCATTTCTGAGACTCAACAAGCTGATGTGAGATACCACTGATGGGTTTCTGCCCATACAAAATTCTGCCAAGCCATCAAGGTGGCGATCCAGCATGGCGTGGGGCCCAAAAAGACATGTACCATCCACACTGGCTTCCGCCTTCTTCCTCTCCCCACCTGACCACTAGTTCCCATTTTCTTTTGTGCGTGGGTGTCCACCCTTTCCAATCAGTGCCTGTAACATCACCTAAACCGGTCTCATCAACCCCACCCCCAACCTAGCCCAATACATTTTTTGTTCCTGGCTCCCTCCCTCCGAGGGTCCTTGCATCTCTTTAGCAGCCCTCCCATGCCCTGCAATAAAGGCTTTCTTTACTTTAGTTCCGTCTCTCACTTGAGCCAAACCTAACAATCACAACCTTCTTTCTCTAAGCACCCAACCCCAAACCCACTCTTCTGTACATAGTATGTGAAGCTGGGACTGGGCCTGAAAGAACATTCCTGTTTGTCGGCTGACTCCTGTTATGTTCCACCAATAAGGGACAGCAGGATGGTGCAAGGCTGGAGGTTGAAGGCATTTGTGTGCTTTAACCTCAGCATCAGCTGTTCATTCCACTTTTGCTTTATTCCTATACATGTAGAACCAGCCTTATCATGCACCCCAGATTTCAGGACCAGCTGGCTGGCACCTTCTTCTCAGAGGGTCAAGAACCAGTTCTTAGTAGGCTCACTTCCAGGTCTCTAAACTGCAATAATCACAAACACTTCCCGTGTTCCCTCAGCCAGGGCGTAGAAGCTGCTTCTCTTACTCTGTGACGCTCACTCGTCTGTGCCTCCTGCTCGTCCATGCCCCAGTTTCACCTTTTCAGTGCCCAGATGCTTGCTTACTCAATCCATGTATTAAATTTAGTGTAAGAAACGAACAGCTGTGACTCTTCTTCCTTTGTGGACCCCAACCAGTCTACCAGCCTTTCTGAATCCAAATCACAATGTTCACAATAGACTTCAAGGGGTGAGAGAGCAAGTAGAGGTAGAGGACACCAAGCTGTTACTGTCCTATCCACGATTTCTGATTTTGAAGTGACAGGTCAACTATAGTCCTAGCTTTCCCTTCCCTGCCCTCTACCCTTGCGGAAAACTTCCCCATTTGAGATTTGGGCAGCCCAAAGAACTGACGCAGAGCTGTGGACTCATTTAGACATCTTTATTCTCAGGTGCTGCTCAGCTGCATGCACTCACGGGGCAGTCTTCAGGCCCCTAGCCCTTGCAGCCACTTAGCCACAGTCTAACTGTCCAGCCTCTCCTATGGTCTCCAGCCACTGCACACTCACAATGTACTAGGAAATTTTAGAACGAGCAGTTTCGTAGTTGAGCCATCAGACTCAGTCAGCCTTGACTGACTACGCCAGTTGCAATTCAGAGATGATTTGGCCTGGCTCAATCTAACTGCATCCAACTGCACTACAGCCTACAGACATATCCTGTTTTGCTGGCCTGTTTCAAGGTCTTTCTATGTGGGACAGACTAGCCCAGTCAAAAACATGCTTGACTGTACTTGCTTGCTCTGCCCCAGCCCCCAGACTACCCTGATTTTCCACCATATGATAAATGGCCCTCTCGAACTAAAACCTTCCCAGAACAGATCTGCCTAATAATGTATGACCAAGCATATGTAACCAATTATATATATATATATAAAATTTTTTTTTTTGGTCTTTTGAGACAGGGTCTCGCTATGCAGTTCAGGCTGATCTAGAGCTCACTTTGTAGCCCAGGATGGTATCAAACTCGCCAGGATCCTTCTGCCTCAGCCTCCTGAGGGCTGGGATTACAGGTGTACGCCACCACACCTGGCTGTAACTAATTATAGAATAATTTGCTATCAGCTTCTGTACCTCCTGCTTGCAAACTGTATGTAAGTTTCTGCCAGGGCTGGTGATTAGAACTGATTCCCACCAGCCCGCCAACGTAATAAAGTTGTTGCCTTCCAAGTACCTTGGTGCCAGGCCTCCCTCTCAGTTTGCTCTCAGATTCTGCAACAGCAGCAGTCCTCAGGCACCCACCCAACGAGCCCTTGTGGCAGTCCAGATATATATATACGAGTCTGCTTAACAGTGGTCATGTACATTAACCTTGGTTATATCAGTTATTTATACCAGGGCACTGGGAAGTGCACCTGCACTGGAATTCCACTGACTCTGGATGTACTCTCCATGGGAAACCACACACCCACATCTGAACCATAGTGCAGCCATCTTAGGCTTCATTTTTCCCTATATCCAACTTGTCTAGATTTCTTTACCTAGAAAGGAAAAACAACACCCTACTTAACCTATGCCAAACTCTACTAGCCACTGGACAGACAAATATGAAATAATCTTACTAATGGCTTAAACATAAACCTAAAACCATGGCAAATGATGTTTTAAGAACAAGTACGTTTTTGCTTTGATTTTTAAGGAAATGTGAAGACAATTCTCTGAGAAAATGACAGAAAACAGCACTGTCTTTGAGAAAACTTACGGGTATGGCTGGATTCTGCTGGTAGGTGAGAGTCCAAATTTCTGGAAGTGACCTTTCCATCAGCTGTAAAGTACCGTCAAAGGCCTCCTGCAACTCCCTGCCTTGCTCATCAAACTCAAAGAGGAAGAGTACCTTTAAAATACGGTGTATTTCATCTAGGGAGAAGAAATGGTAGTGGTGGTTAAGCTGTGTCTCCAGACCCACTGGAAGAATCACGCCATAGTTCCTTTCTTGCAAAAACCTTCTACTATCACCTTACAGTTGCTTCCTCATTTTCATCTTTTAAAATACTGGAGTAATTCAACACATTTACTGTGAGAGGAAAAACAACACATTGGGAACAACCAGAAAACAGTGCTGCCTAATCCTTTATCCTAGTTGAAATGCTATTTTTCACAGTTCAGTTAGGTGGGTGTCAGGTGGAGGGAGCTTCCAGGTTACCAGCTGAGAAGGGCTGTTTCAAAGTGCAGTCAAATAACCCTTCTTTCACCAAATTGGAAAAATTTTATCTGTTTAACTCCACCCATCTATGATGCCCACTTAGTGTTTTCTATGGTCAATCGTCAGTATTGAAAACACACCTTTTAATTTTTCAGTGCTTTGTATCACTTCATTTAATGCCTCTAAAAGGGCCAGGTCCTCCAGTGGACTCCCTTCTCTGAGGCTATGCTTTTTCCGCTCTGCTTTGCGGCGATTCTTAGATGATCTCCTGTCAGAAATTAGAGAAGTGTTTACAAAGGTGCCTTCTCTATGCTGAGCAGACAAAAATGAATAATCGTTGGCCACCAACATTCTGGGAAAGCAGTCTCTGAACAGTATTTGTATGGGGTGCTGGGGGTAATGAGATGTTAAAGCTGCATATAACATAAAGAGAGAGTGTATATATGTGTATGTATGTGTGCCTGTGTGTTTTGTAAATCTTGTAAGTAGGAAGTAATAGGGAAAACCTCAAGTGTAATTTTTATCCTTGATATTTTAATTAAAATATAGAATCAAATGAGTTTATACCTAATGATATCCTGGAACAATGAACACAACAACCAATTTGAATTTTGCAACAAGTACAATTTAAGGTAACACAATAAAATTTAAGTAAGGAAATACAGACATACCAGATTAAATATGAATAAAATGTACATTAATCCCATTCTTTCCTCCCTCTGCGATCTTTAATCTTACTATGTGTTTAATGGGATCTCAACCCAACCTTAAAAGTATAAGTCTAACTGCTTTTATTATAGTTTCTGATCACCTTAACAAAAACTTCAGACCTCCATTATAAACTACAACACAGTTCAGTTTAAATATATGATCTTGGATTGTTTTATGTCTCCCAAGCTCTTGGAACCCAAAATCTAGTTTTAAGTTTTGGTAACATTTGCTGTACTTGCATTCACAACATATGGGTATTTAATAAATACTTCTGACGACCTGCTACACTAGGCAAAAGTGTGATGACTTATTTTATGTTTATAATCTCTTTATATCTTGATTTCAAAGTGAAGAAGCCTGAATTCTTTTTTAAAACTTTTTTTCAGTGCCTATACATTATAGTCAGCATTTGTGCAATCAGTAAAAACAGATGTCATATAAACTGAGTACCCAAGAGAAGGGCCTCACTGTAACATCAAGTCTAATCTCATAGCTTGCTGGGAAATTCCTTGCCCAAGTTCCATGCGGCTTTGAGGAATACCTACCCCATTGCCACTGTGTTATCCTGGTAGAAACCAACCTCTCCGTGCTTCTACTTTCTCCACTTACCAGTGGATGACCAACGTGTTGAACAGATATGATACGTACGCTGATATCCTGGAGTTACTATGGGAGTATCTGCCACTCATGTCACCTCCACTCACAATACTGCTGGTTTCTGAGAAGAGGTCTGACTCTTGAACATGGGGCACTTCATCATCTAGAAGAGAAGAGGCACATGGAAACAATTCCTTAAGTGGACTACAGTCAACCAAGATATAAGAACAGATGAAAATTATTACAAAGTTGATCCCAAGACAAATGAAATAATATTAAATACAGTTACTACTACTTCAAATCAACAGCTTACCAAATCTCTCTTTCCTCTTCCCTCCCCTCCAGCGGGTGAAGAAACTCATTTTGTGAAACACAGAGGTAGTCACTGCTCTGGTTGGATGGCAGGAGGTGGGACTATCTGACAAAGCTCTTCTAATTTATGCTTGGTCCTGACCCCAAGCCCTTCTCCAACACATACAGATAGTCCCGAGGGTCTCAGAGATTATCATGGCACAGCAATCAAATCATAGGAGGAACAATGCTATAGTTTGAGTATAGTTTGTCCCCACTTAACAGCTCAGGTTGCGGCTTAAATCCTCAGTGAGATAGTGCTGAGAAGTACTAGGACCTTTGAATGTTGATGAGGAGGCTGAGGCAAGAGGATCCTAGGATCCTTGCGAGTTCGAGGCCAGCCTGGGCTACAAAGTGAGCTCAAGGCCAGCCTGAACTGCACATCAAGACCCCATCTCAAAAAGACAAACAAAAAAAGTTGATGAGGTCAAGAGGGATTAATGTTTTCCATGGGGAGTAAGTTCTTACAGAACCTGATTGGTTGCTGAGACTGGGCTGTTCCAAAGTGAGCTGGCTCCTCTCTGTCTCTGGCCTGCTCCCGCTTGCCTCTTGTCATGAGAACCTCACAAAAAGCTGAGCAGATGGGCACCATGCTCTTGTAACTCCACCCAGAACCTTGAATCAAAATAAGCCTCTTTTCTTCCCAAAATACCCAGTCTCAGGTATTCTGTTACAGTAACAGGAAATCAGTATCAAGCAGGTAAGACCACAAGTGGTGGTGAAAATATCCCACACCACAAGTCTCAATGGGCCTCACACAAGTACTCACCAGGATTCACCTGCTGTGCTTGTTCCTTGAGCTCTCGAACAACCAGCAAGCGTTTTTTATGGCGACTGAATGTGGTAGTCTGAGAATCCAAAAATGCCATGTAATTTTTTTGGGCTGGGATGCAGAATGGAAGATAATTTCAGTGTGACACTTAAGCAAAGAGAAAAAAACTAAGGAAGGATGCAGTGAGGACAGATTAAAATTCAACAAAAGGGAAGACTGTTTTTTTATTAATGGACTAAAGAATGCAATTCCAGATTTCAGAGTTCATCAACATTATCCCAGAATACTCTCTACTGGTAAGGTATGGTGGCACATATAATAATCTCAGCAAAATTAAGCCCAGCCTGGACTACGTAAGACCCTGCCTCAAAGCAAAAACAAAACTTCAGCATACTCTACTACTACACTTATGAAATCATCTGAACAAAGACTTGGTCTCTAACCCCAGAGAAAACCAGCACATAAAAAGGGTGTACAGGAAGCTGTCAATGAAAACAAAAAGTTACTTGTTTCTTTTTAAACATCCATCAAAATGCCCATAGGTATAAATTAATAAAATGATTCCTGAAAATTATTGTCCAATGGAAAAAAAAAAGACACTTGAATACAGAAAGAAAACCCCAAATGGCACTAAGGACCTATTTTATTAATAAGTGTTTATCAGCATTTTTCCAGGTTCTCAGTAGTGAAAATGTAGTATCTGGCTAGATGAATTGTTACAGGTTCAGGAAAGATGCTTTAGTTAGGGATAACTAAAGTGGATAATACAAAACGTATCTGAACAACAGTTTAGGATGGAGGAGAAGAAGGCAGGATAAGAATATGAATAAATGGGGAAGTCAACAAGGCCAGATATTACTTAAAAAGGCAGAGCATAAAATCAACCCTTACTTTCTCAGAATTCTGTAGGTCAAATGAATACTCTCCTTTTCATTTGCTTTTAAGGGGTCCCAGTGACCAGCAGACTACTCTAGAACTGGTAACAGTCATTGGTTCTCTAGGAACTATCAACTTCACCTGCAAAGTTCTTTTTAACTTTAATACAAACTCAATATTACTTCTGTGGAAACATTTGAACTTAAGCTGTAGACAAGATCCTCCTTTATTGCCAAATGCTTCGGCACTTTTCTCCTTTTTTTTTGTACCACTGTGTATTGAACCCAAGGCCTTGCACATATTAAGCAAGTGCTCTACCTAGAAGAACCACTCCCAACCTGCCGGCCTTCCCATCCACCTGTCTGTCCATCCATCCATCCTGTTTACTTTTGAGACCAGGTCTTGCTAGGTTGCCCAGGTTGGCCTTCAACCTGTGATCTTCCTGCCTTAGCTTTCCAAGCAGCTGAGATTACAGGCATTCATTACATGGTTCAGCATTTATCTCTTAAGAATAATAAGGACATTATCTTACATAACCACAAGTGTTATTAAATATAGGAAATTTATGATTATGATTGATACAATACTATTTCTAATGTAGTTCATAGCCAAGTGTACAAACTATTCTCAAATACAAAGATTCATTTCTCTTCCCCCAACTGTGCCACTTCAGTGCCAGTCACCTATAGGTGCAGAGGCCAAGCAATGATCTGGAGGCAGTCTGCTGTCACAGGACACTGTAAGTGATCCAGGGAGATGGACCTGCCATAAAGCTATGCCTATGCATTACAAAGATTCTCAATCATACTTTATCACAGGTTTCTAACATTCACATCCTTATATGTTACCACTGAAAAGTTTAGCATATCTAAAAAACTGGGACTGAACCTATATAACATATTAAAGAATACAACAGCACACAGTGTCCTCTCTATAAATCTCTTCTCCCATTCTCTACTTCCCAATGAGGAATACTATCAATGTTACCCTTACCTTCTAAAATGGAAGGCTTTATGTTGGTTTCTATAATATCCAGTCTGTTATATTTGTATACCTGAGAAGAAAAAACACAATAGTTTTAGGCAGGAAAACTACATACTGGAGAGTTAAGATACTTTCAGAAGTGACCAGGACACCTTCCCAAGGAGCTGGAGTTGTACAAGGCCGCCAAAGAAATTCCACTCACTTCAGTAAAAAAGCAGTATTTCATAAATGAAGGATGAATTCAAACATTATGAAGGACACAATGGTATCAAAAACATTGCTGATCCTTAGACCAGAATCCGGAACTACTTGTACTTAGTTTCACTCATTCAGAAGACTAAGGATTCCAGCTGAACTTGTCTCCCTTGCATTCTCTCTGCCTCCATAGGGAAGATTTAAAAAATTCTCCTACCAGTCTCAGAGCTTCTTCCCAGGCAGCTCCTTCTAACAGCAAAAGCACAGCTTCTTCATAATCCTAACAAGGGAACAGTAAGTAAGAGAACAGGTGAGTGGAGCAACACATCAGATGTCATTATCTACTGCAAAACAGAACACAGGGCAGCCTCCACCTCCTTGGCCAGCCTAATCCCCTTCAGTTCCCGTTCTCAGCACTGAGCCTGGCCTAATATATTCTGACATTCATCTCCATAAACACTGATATAAAAGACAAAAGAGGGGTGCTACCTTCTTGAAGTGATGACAAAACACAAGTTTAAGTATCATCACGTATGTCTGCCAGAAATACATATTTGTCCAGTTTTACCACCAAGCTTGATTGAGCAGGTTCAGGCAAGCTCCAGAGACCACGGCAGACTCTGAAAACATGGCAGACTAGAATATTATCTTCTAAAGCTTTTTGCTCTTTGTAACATTCTTCTCTCCAAGGTTTTACTTTGACAAACTAGAAAACTGACAAATAATCAGTGATGGTGAACATTTTTTCACGTGCTTACTGGCTATTTATACATCATCTTTGCAGAAATGTCTACCCAAGTCCTTTGGTGTTCTTGTTTTGTTTTGTTTTGTTTTTTTGAGACAGGGCCTCACTATGTATTTCAGACAAGCCTTGAACTTACTTTGTAGCCCAGGCTGACCTTGAAACTCACAGCAATTCTCCTGCTTCAGCCTCTTGAGTTTTGGGACTAAGGCACTGTCCATGACACCCCGCTTCCTTTGCTCTTTTTAAATGACTTTTTTTGTTATTGCTGTTGAGTTATAAGAGTTCTTTATATATTCTAGATTTATGAATACTGTATTTCCTTCCATTCCATAAGCTTTCTTTTTCATATTCTTAATAATCTTCCTGGTATATAAAATTTTTAATATTTATAAAGCCTAATTTACAAGTTTTTTCTTTTGTTTTTTGTGTGTTCGGTGTTAATTCTAAGAATACACTGCCAAAGCCAACATTATAAGGATTTACCTTTTTATTTTGTTCTTAGAGTTTCATAATTTTAGCTTGTTAATTTAGGTTGTGATCTATTTTGAGTGCCTTGTATTTTTTAAAACTCAAAATATCAAATAAAACTTTATAGCCTCATTTGAAACAAGAAAACTATGAAAAATATTTTTTAACCATTTTACAATCTCTTTAAATAATATTTGATCACTTAAAGCAAACAACCTTGGGCAGCCCAAGGCTTTAGATCAAAAAGAGCATTTGATTACAAAAGCAGTCACAAGTTATGGAGTTTAAAATTATATAGAATTAAAATGTTGTAAACCTGTATAGAACCAGGGGAGAATGGAAGCATACTCTTGTAAGGTTCTTACACTAGTATATACAAAATGGTATATTATTATTTGAATGGGTAGTATGACAAAAGAATAGTATTTACTCTAAATCCTGGAAATACTACTTAAAAACAAGTATAGACTGATTAAAAACAAACAAAGAAGATACAAATAACTCATATTTGAGATGAAAGACAGGATATCATTACAGAGCCTATGGACAACTTTGTGCCAATGTAGACTAAAAGACAAATTCTTGAAAGACACAAACTACCTAAGCTCACTGCAGAAGAAACAGTACCACTTTAGACCAAGGTGCCTTACTGACAAATTTTACTACACATTTAAGGAAAAAAAAAGTCAGAAGCTCAGCTGAGGTGGGAGATATGGGCTTTGCTGATCAAAGCAGTAAGTCAAAAATGAAAAAGGTAAGCCTTTTTTAAGAGCACTGGTATAAGCTAGAAGCTAACCCTACAAAAAGTGCCAGCTCCCTGTTTTTTCACTCTTTCCCAAGGAACACATACACTGGCCATCAGCATGGACATGGAAGTTGTATCACTGTTGAGGGAGTCTGGAATAAAAAGCTTGAGCAGTCTACAGACCCTGGGGGTGGTGCAAAGCTGCCAAGGGGGTAGTGAGAGGAGGGAAAGGTGTCCTCCCAGCTTCCCACTCTTCCCCACAGTGTAAGGTCAAGACAGAGGTGCCTGAAAACAACCTTGGGCGGCCCAAGGCTTTATATCAAAAGACCTAGAAATGAAAGCACCAGGGCTAGGGACTCAGATGTGGGAAGAACAAGACCAGCCAGGAGCCCTCGAATGCAATTCCCTGTATATCCGCATTACACTGGCTGGACAGCGTGTCCGGTGAGGGAAGAACAGCTTTTCCCCATGTGGCCTCCTAGGTAAATTTCTTATGATCAGATCCGAAAAATCACATAAAATTTTAACCAGAAGCTAGACTCTTCTACACAAACTCGTCCAGAAAACAGAAGAATAAGGAATTCCCTTCATATTATAAGAGCACCATTATCCTGATACGAAATCTCACAAAGACATAAAAAACTACAAACCCTCATAAACACAATAACCACAAAAATACTTAAGAAATTCTCTGCAGTTCTATAAGCTCCTTATTAAAGTTAAAAAGCCACTTAACGTGTGATCTAGCACTCCTACTCCTGCACCTACAAAGATTTATACCAGAGTGTTCACAGCTGCTTTATTTATCACCCCACACTGAAAAAAAATAATCCAAGGACAGTATACACCAACTTGTGACTAGGTCCACAAACTGTGATACTGTATACCCACATAATGGAAAACTGTTCAACAAAAAAAAGGAATAAATGTATACTATAAATGAATCTCAAAAGCACAATGTGAAAGAAATCAGACTAAAAAATTACATATGTACATATGTTTGGTTCTATTTGTATGAAATTCTATATAAAGCAAAATGTTAGTGAAAGAAATGGATCAGTGTTTGCCAGAGACTGGAAGTGAGGAAGAAGACTATAAAAGAGGAAGCAGGGAACTTCTGAGACGTTAGAAATGTTCTGTATCACGAGCACAGGGCTGAGTATGCAACTAGACATATGTTAAAGCTCATACAATTCATTTAAAACTGGTGAATTAACTTGGCTATATGTAAATACACAATTATAATCTTATAAACTGACCTTTATTTATAAAGAAAAGAAGATGACAACATTTTATTCATTTAACCAACCATGTGACACAGTGTATCTTTCCATTCCCACCATTCTATCCTTCTAGGCATGTTTCATTCACTGATGTTTTCAACTTAATCACCAACATATTTCCTTTATAGGATCCAATGACATAAAATTTTAGTCACCTTCTCTTACTCTTATTGCATAAGAGATACTGAGCTATGTTAAAGACAACTCTGTTAAGTAAATTTACCTACCAATAATAACTACATAGAACTCATCAAAGGTCACAGTCCTATAAAGAAGTAATCCCTGTGCCAAGTACAGACTCATGTCCTGTTACTCTGTGGCCAGTGTCAATGCAATTCTATTACTTTCATAATGAATTTTATAATTCTATTAAAAGCTCGTACAGATGCTTATCCTTATAAAGTGCTGTAAAATTGCAATCCCATAGTTTTTTTTTTGCTTTTCACTGGTATGGCACAACCAGGAAAAGCTTTTTCCTGTTGACTGGGGTTGTACAAGGGAGGATGTGAGCTTACCTGGGCATACTGTTCCAGAACTATGGCTGCCTCGTTGTGCTTTCTCTGTTCAACTAGCTTTCCTGCCAAGAAAAGAATAAGTATTTGAAAACAGAGAGATTTTTTGGTTGAAGGAATTCTACAATATTTCTTTGTTATCTATCAAACTTTGTACTTTGTGAATTTCTATGAGTGGAACAGGTATATCTTAAATGGCAGTTAGAATATACACTTAGCACACGATTTGAAAACCATATATAGTCAAAATTAGCCTTAAAAAATGCTTCCAAGGACATGCATATCGGAAACAGACCTAGCAGCTCTCACTAATCCAGTTCTTCCTCTCACTGGAAGAGACTGATGTTTCTTTGGCTGAGCACTAGGTGGAGATAGCTGAATTATGTTTGGGGCAGGGCAGTGTCTTTACTGCCTAGAATTTCTCATTAGAGCTAAGGATCTCCACTGAGTTCCAGGCCAGACTGAACTACACAGTAAGACTGTATAAAAAAACCAAAACCACAACAATAACAACCACCCCTACACACAACACTAAGAAAGGCAAACAAAACCCAAGTCTTACTAAGGGGCAGGCAGACCCATATGCTTCCCATCTCATGCTCATTCCAGGGTACTATAATTCCATTAAAAAAGCAAGTAGAATGACCTCCACTATTTAATAGTTATCTTTTGCTGCCTATATAAAATGCCTAAGTTAAATATGCATATAAAGTGAGCCCACTGTATAACATTGCTCAAAAATCTCTGGGCATTACCCTTCCTACCTTTTTTCACATCTGAAAGAACTGAGTAGACTCTATCACAAGGCATAGTACATAGCAAGTTGAGAGGTGTGAAGAATATCAGCAAAGCTACTAGATCTCCTCCAAGAAAGTGCTAGGATGTATAAACTGTCAATAACGTAAGAGTATTAGAAGTTACAACTGAGCCAGAATGAATAATTAAAAAGACTAAAAGTAAGGAATACTCAACATCTGTAAAAAGGAGTTCAGCTTGGAAACTGAGAGGAATTTATAAATCTAATAACCACAAGATGGAAAGGGTAATTTCATGTATTTTTATAATTCCACAGAAAAAAAGTAATGCAAACAATAAAAGGGGATATATACATAAATTTAGTAAGCTGTAATTTGCATTTTTTGCATAACTCCTTTTTAAAAAACCATAACAATATTTATAAAACTTAAGAAGAATGTTATAGTTTGAGTATAATTTGTCCCTTCTGAAGTGTATTTTGGAGTTTATTTCCTGTTGTGAGATATTAAGAGGATCACGTAAACTGACTAGGGTTCTAGAAATGATTAGGATTAGACAAGGTCAGCAGGATGGACCTCCCCAAGACTGAATAATGTTGGCTTTGTAAGATGAGAGTAAAAGGCCAGAGCACACACACACGTGTGCGCACACTGCATCTCTCACTGTCAACACGAAAGATGTACTGCACAAACTCTGGATGTGGCCAATAAGAAGGCTATCACCAGATGCAGGCTCTCACCCATGAGCCCAATAAACCTCTTATCTTTTAACTTAGATAGCCTGTACCCACTGTGTTATTAGCAACAGAAAATAGACTAGGAAAAAAAGGTAGAGAAAAATAACACACCAATCATTATTCATTTCTTCCCAGCACTGCTGAGGCCCAGAGCCTTACCTCACTCGCCCTCTAAGGAATCAGACCCAGGGACTAGGTCAAGGTACTAGCCTCACCTCTAGTTGTTAAGGCAATCCCTAGACCCTGAGGCTGCCAAACTGCCTTCACTTTAGAGTCCTTGTATATTCAGCCTTTTCTTCCACCCTATTCCTGGCAATTGCCATTATGGTTTTCAACAATCTGCTGCCTAAACCAAAATGGCTCTTCCTCAAATTCATATTTACCTTCTTATAGGGCACATGGCCACCTAGGTACAATGTAACCTATGACCCCAGTTTCAATGAATGAGATGGAGTAGAAATGATAGAATTTCTAGGTCATTTATAACTTAACAATTAAGTGTTTTCCCACTACTCTGGCTTTCCTTTCCTTCCAAGAACTGGAATGCAGATGCAGAGATAACCAACCTGTAACTACCTACCTAAGAGATTGCAGAGCCACACAATGGAAGAATCTATCAGTCCTTACATGAGAGAACTAAACTTTTTTCTTTGCTGTGTCATTATATTTGGTGCCTTGTTTTCTGTTTGAGTTTTTTTTCCCCTTTTTCAGAGCCAGAGATTGACTAGGACCTTGAACATGATAAGCAAGTGCTCTACCACTGAGCCACATCCCCAGTTCCCATTCTGAGGCTTTTGTAGCAGCTTAACTTTTGCCACGCTTGACAGATCACTCTAAGTGACTATAAGGATATCTCAAAATATGCTGTCCTTCATTTGCAAAATTACCAAACAAAAGACTTCTGAAGAAACAGACAAATGATCCTGCTTACCTGCCAGAGTCCTACTTAGGTCAGTCAGCTGGTTCTTGGGCAAGTGAAGCTGGGTTGCCATGCAGAGGGCTTGCTGCCAGCTGCCACAAGCCAGAAAGGCTGAGAGAGCTTCCTGGTAGGCACCACAGCGGGCAAACACAAGCCCCGCTGTCTCATGCTGGTGCTCTTGCGTCAGGTGCTCCCCATAAGCAAGGCAGACAGCCTGTGACAAGAGGACAGTGAGTATCAATAAGGAAATGTGGCAGCTGTTTCTTTAAACCTGCAGTGCAGGCTTGTAATTCAAGTCTTGAATTATTTAAGAAATTCCTGTTACTGATGAGTTAGTTCAATTCTTTCTCCATTCGAAGTCTTCCTGGGGATGTTCCATCTATTTATTCAACAATTACAAACTACTGACATATATATATATATATATTATGCACTATTTTAGGCAGTGGGAATAATACAGAGATGCAAAAATAAACCCAAACACGAACGACCAGCAAGTTTCTACTGTTACAGCAATAGAGGATGGGCTTACTGACACAATACCGGCTACAATACGACGGCTGTAAAGAGGGAAGTGAAGGACAGAGAGAGATGGGAGTGCCATCTCTGGAAGAAGGCCTGAGGAGAATGCACGTGAAGACTCAACAGGGAGGATTCCAGGCGGAGCACAGTCAAGGCTCCAGGGTCATCAGCAAGAACATGTGCTACAGGTCTAAGAGTAACCAAGGCTGCTGGGGCTGTGGCTGAGAAAGCACAGGACAGAAGAATAGAAAACAAGAACCAAGAGGCAGGAATCCCCCACATTCTGCACTCCCCAAGGGAAGAATACAACCCACAGCCTGGCTGGGGAGACAAAGCAGAAAACCAGCAGTTCGGTAAATGTGACCACCAGGCAAGAACAGGCTGCTCTGGGAGCTCAGCGTTTGCCACCTTGTCCAAGGACGGCTTTCCAGAGGACAGCGAGGGTTTCTATGAGTAGCTGGAGCCACGGGAAGGCAGGGTATAGGACTGGCAGAGGCACCACACAGCACAACATCTGTGGAGCTACACACAAATAACAGCGAGAGTGGAGAGTAGCACAAGCTGGGGCTAAAAACATCAGCAGGGACAGAATGTGTACATAATGTGGGAAAATCTGAAAATGGTGATGACAGTGGCACGATACAGCAATAGTTAATGACATGGCGTCAGGGCTCACACAGCCTGAGCTACGTATCTGCTACTGTGCAGCTCTGGAGTCTTAAGCAGACTGTGTCCCCATCTGTAAGACAGGTACCACACAGCAAGCAAAATCAGGAGAGCCTTACTTTACATACCACACACCTTGTGCTGCTGTGAGTTTGGTGGATATAACTTCAGAGCTTCCTTATACAAGTTTTTATCTTTTATTAAATTTAAGCATTCTGGGAAATATTCGGGTCCTGCAGGGATAAGATTCACACAAACAAGGGCTTAAGACTTTGGAAGTATAATGGATTTCATTTATACCAACAGTTCCCAAACAAAATTAAAGTGGGACCTTTCAAACACCTAATCATCTGAGTATCTGGTGAACGAAGTACAGGAATTTGAATTAACAAGCACCACTGTGAATTCTGAGCAAGGAGGAATACTAATTGGGACCTGCATCCTACTTAGGGACTCTCTACACTATTCAGCTGTTTTCTCAGACTCCTTGACAAGAATCATCTGGAGACATTATTAAACACATGCCTCGGTCCTCCCTCAAATCAAAATTCTTCAAGGAAGCCAAGAACAGGATGCGTAACAAGCACCCAGGTACCTGTCCTTACATCAGGCCTTGGAAAACAATCAACTTTCCACCACAGGACAGAAATGGTGTACAGGAGACAAGGAGACTAATGGGCACTGTTTTGTTTTGTTTTGTTTTGTTTTGTTCTGTTTTGTGTTTTTACTCCATGACTGCCAATTAAACCACCTTTCAGGGAACAAGATGGGAGCCTCACTACCCACTCACGTGCCAGCAGACAGTACGGAATGATTATCAAAACTTTTTATTCTGAGGCACTGAAGTGAATTCAGGTGATGCTCAATCTTAACTGAAAAAGGATCTACTCCATGCTGTCCCTTAGCTAGGGAACAGCTCCGGTTCAGTGGCAGTGATTTTGCTTTATCTTCAGCTTTTCAAAATCTATCACAAAATAAGGTAAAAATACAACATAGTTTTCAAAGCAGAAATTGAACTCAGTCCCTAAAATAATCCTTTATTTTAATTTACACACTGACTAGTTCCAAGGAAGATCTGAAGCAGAAATAAATATATTAATCCTCACACTTACCACACTTGCTGAGGTGACCAATGGCTTTTTCATATCGTTTCAAGTGTTTGTCTATAGTGAACCTCTGGTAATTAGTTTCCATTTTCTTCAGCATATTAAGAAATGGAAGATATTCTTTGGGATCCTAAAAAATGAGGGGGATTTTATTATTTTTTGATATTTGCATAAAATATATATACACACAACATTTAATTATGGCAGTAAGTCCACAGCAACATGTGTATAAGCTAATAATTATATGTTATGTAACACATAAAAAATCAAACTATATCAAGCAAATTTTGGTAGAAATGCTTCCACACATGGACATTATTAGTTAACATCTGAAATAATGACCAATCCTTAACTAAGTTTCACAGTAACTACTTATTTCACAGAGTAATAATGAAAGTCAGGTTGTAATCCAGAAGATGCTCAACAAATGCACCCACATTTCTCCTAAAAGCACAAAGCACTGCTCTTGGTGCTGGTCTCAAGACATTCCATGCTCTCTGTTTACAAACAACATGTTCAACAAATGTACAATTACAATGAGTTGGACAAAAAATTGGTAGTTATTCGCACTACCATTTCCAGCTCTGTGCTATGCCTTGTAAGCAAACTGTTTCTCTTCCTAAAGAGATGAAGCTGGGAATGGAGACACATTTCTATAATCCCAACATTCTGGGATGCTGAGGCACGAGGAGAGTAAGTTGCTCAGCCTGGCAGTTTAGCAATATAGTGAGACTCTGTCTCCAAATAAAAAGGTAAAAAAAAGGCTGGGGATGAGTTCAACGCAAAAGCCCTGGGTTCAATACACAGAACTGCAAAATCAAGACAGTAAGGAGACAGACTACGCTATGCAGCGGTAGCCCCTGCAGAGCCACATGAGAGCATCTCACCAATCACCAAAGTGCGGCAAGAATGGCTTACTGGGAAGATGCCACCTTGGCATCCTTCAACGTAGGTAAGCTAGAATTAGCCAGGCAAAAGATGAGGGTGGCAGCTGTGGAAATCCTTGGCCCCATGGAAGGCAGAAGTAATGTTACCCACAAAGGCATGTGGTAGCTGTGGTGATAAAGGGAGAGTGGAGAGGGACAAATACACTGCCTTTCCTCCAGAGGCAGAGAGAAAAAGACATGCCAAGTGATGAGATGGAAGAGATGCATATACACCAGACCACACAAGGGTTTCGAAGCAACGTTCTCTCTCCTCAACTTTATCCCAGGGACCATAGACTAACTCATGAAGGATGTTAAGCAGAGAAGGGTTACATCTTCCTTTCTGGAAAAACTGCCCTGGCAACAGCAAAGAAGACAATGAGTTTGCAAAAAAAAAAAAAAAAAAAAAGGTTAAAAAATACATAGGCCAATGGTGCTCAAATTTTCTGACTATAGTAGATGTTCCAAGGTGGGAAAAGGGACCCTGAACTTTTCCACCCCCTCCATGTTTCCACTCTGCACCAGAAAAAAGAGCTACACAATAAAGAACTCGAGCAGAACATGAAACACTTATTATATTTTCTTGATGAGAAAGAGAATAGTTCATACAGATGCCTATAATTTAAAAAATAATCACGTAATTTTATTTCACCTCATCAACCTTGTGTGTCTGGTGCTAGCAACTAAACCCAGTGTACCTTGCACATCCTATACAATCTACACTGACCAACACCCCCCAAGTTCTCCACACTTTGATAAACAGAGCCACAACAAAGAATGAAGCTCAGGAGCGTGGGTCCTGCAGGCTCAAAGATCTGCCCCCTGCTCCATACTCACAGCGTAATGTCAGACAAGACACTGTACTCTCAACACAGATGTTCCCACTACTGAGTACATAAACATAACCCACAATGATGCAAAGAACACATACCTTCTGCGACTTTTCAGCTACCATGATGACCAAATCAAAGTCATAGGTCCCAAGAGAATGATCATATAATTCATTAACATCTACCAGAAGAAGCAAATACTTCAAGGCCTCTTCTGCACTCACAGCATCAGGAACAGATGGACCACTCTCTGTTGGTGTTCAAGGAAACAAAACAGAATGATTTGAAGGAAAAGACCTCAAAAGACCTCAAAAGGCAAAGTAACAGATCTGACAGAACTTGACACCAGATCAATATATACTTTTGACTTTTTCATACAGGCTTCATAGGGCACCACTCAAACACCTGATACAGGCCTTAACATGGCAACCAAAGGGTTGCATCCTAACTGTGTAACGTGGCAATGACACAGTAATGTCACCTGCAGAGGACCAGTGATGATGAAGACCGTATTAAACATTCCGGGAGCAGGTCTCTACCTTGTAGCTCGTGTACCTTCTGCAGCACGACTTCCAGTTCGGGGGTAGTTTTCTTCACGTGAGACGTGAGTATTGATAGGCAGTACCTGAGGTAGCAAGTGAAGAGCAGCAGAATGAGAAGGGTAAGCTGGGGAAGGACAACTATCTGCTTCTGTTATTTCGAAGATGCCAAGAATGGCAGCACCCATACTTGTGAGGGTTGATGCTCTCCATGGCTGTTCTCATTGCATCACAGATAAGGTCAAGTTTTTTCCTGGCAGGATCCATGGACAGCTGGGCACTGCTGGTAACTGGAGCAGGGTACATGGTCTTTGTGACATCTTCTTCCCTAAGAAAACAAGTGTATATGAAAAAGTGTCATGAACTAGGTATGTGGCCCAGTGATCAAACTACTCCAAGTACCTAACAAGATGATGAGATAAAATAAGCAATAATAATTTCAGAAATACAGCATTCACGATTTTCTTTAAGAAATTTATTTAAGAAGATAAATGGAATGCTTTGCTGTACAATACTGAACGCATCTTTTCATGTCAGGGATCTGTGTTAGACATGCAAGTCTTTGGAAAACTCCCTGAACTTTTGAAGAGTTTAAAAACAAAAAAATATGAGAGCGAAACATGCCCACAAAAGACTTGTATAATAATATTCATAAACGGTTTACTCATATTAATCCCAATAGGGGTGCAATCAAGGTGTCTAGTAATCAAGGAATAAATAAGCAAATGGTAGTATATACACAGTGGCATATTACTAAGCAATAAAAGAACAAACTAGTGATTCGTGTAAAAGCACGGATGAACCTCAAGACAACTGGCTGGGTGAAAGCAGTTTTATTTACCCAAGAGTAAATACTGTATAACTCTATTTACATATAATTCTTCAATAGGCAAAACTGGTCCAGGGATATAGCTCAGCAGCACAGCGTCTGCCTGGCAAGCAAAGTCCTGAGTTCAATTCCCAGTACCACAAAACAACAGGCAAAACTGACCCACAGTAAAAAACTCACAACAGTACTTACCTAAGGGATGAGACATAGGCACTAAATGAAGAGGAATTTAAGGGAACTTGATAGAAACGAAATGCTCTCTAACTTAATGGGTGACTTATACATTTCACTACAGACACATTTGCCCCAAACAAAGAAAAGCCCAAACTAGTCTGTACACAAAGAATATACTTGGATTAAAGCCATGGAAGGTGAAATCTTGGGAGATTAAGTAGACTGATGTTTATAACTTACTCTGACATTTGTATAAAACAGATGGGTGGGTGGACAAATTATAAATGGTGATAAAGCACACATAGGAAAATCTGAACTGGAAATTTAGGGTCATAAGACAGGATATTTCCTAGATAATTCTTCCAATTTTTCCATATGTTAAAATATTTAACAAATTGGAAAAAAAAAATCAATGCAGATAAAGACATCATTTGATCTCAATCTCCTAAGTGAAACAGTTTTAAATGAATAGCTAAAAATCAAGGTGAATTATAACTTTGAATGACAGATTTTAAAGTCATAGCTTTAAATAGGCTGTTTTTAAAAGGAATAACAAAACATCTAGCATCAAAGAGTTACAATGATTTTTTTTCAAATGAGCAGAATTTCTCTAGTTATTTATATTTGATTTCCTTTAAGACAAAATTTATGAATTATCAAAATACTTACTTTAACTCTGTGAAAAATAAATTAATGTGATTTACAGAATCTATCTGTCTAATGAAGGTTTCCACGTTTTCAAGAAACACCTACCAAAAAAAGACAAAATATTTTGGTTGGGATCATATCAGTTGAAGTACAAAGTAAGCTAGAGTAAGTATTAGATTTTAAAAATTACCTTAGGGCTATGGTCATAAATCAGGTTGAGATTAATTCTCAGTTTTCTCATGCATTCGAATGCTTCTTTAAACATCAGCCTGTGAGGAGGCAGAATAGGTGAAAAGGGTATTTCACAAAAACTATGTTCCCTGGGCCCAGCATATTTTCACCACAAACCACTTATAATCCAGAAAATCATCGGATAACTAAGGTCTACTGTTTTAACAAAATATTAATGGAGACCTTTCTAATACAAAGTTTGCTCCAAACAGACTCAGAATTTTGATCCCTTCTTTTACAACAGTAACCTGGGCTTTTCTGGGTCACAGATTCCTCTGCAAATCTTTTGAAAGCTATGGGTAAATATATACAGTTTGCTGTATAATTTCCCTGGTTCACAGACCGCCTACAGTCCATTTGGGTCCTCTTTAGTTAAGCCCTCCTTTATATGATGAGCTTCATGATTCTTTCTGCTAGGAGTACCTACTACAACATATAGTATTAAAGTAAAATAGTAAGTGTCTGAGAATGACGTTATCTGTAATAAAAGTTTTTTGGACTGGTAAGCTGTAAACATTACATTAACTATATTAACAACTATTAATAGTTATATATTAATTTAATTATAATAATCATATACTTGCTGTCTTCAAGTTAACTGGTTGTATACATGGCACTTACTTGTCCAACCACTTCCGAATCTGAGCTAAAACCAGGGCTCGATGATGAACGACTTCTAAATTCCCCCTTGGCATCTTAACAAGAAATAAATCAAAACAACAGCATTTTCAATTAAGAGGAAAAAATCTGAATAGCAAGACACATAATTTTATTAACTCTTTATTAAGAACTACCACAATGCTGCACAAGCAATAAATACTCTTGTAGCAGAATCTAGTTGTACTCAATGTTTATCTACCTTTCAAGAAAAGCTTCCTTTTGAGCCTTACTAGTCAGAGCCTTTATCAACACTGCTTTGTATAAACCTCACAAACAACCTGGCAGGAAAAGTTTATAATAAATGATTTAAAGGATAAAGCCTAAAATAAAATCTAAAAGAACTCTGTTTGGTAGTGAGTGAATGACAATCACAAAGGCTGAAAAATCAGCTTACCTGTAATATAAGCTTTGCGTCCTGGGGCACAACTGTGACAATCCGTGAACCCCTCTCCACCTTCCGCAGAACTTCACCATTAGCCACATGACTGCTGCACAGGCCTGCCTGTAATGCTAAAAACACCAATGGCTAAGCCCTGAAAATTATGACAAGCCACTCTCCATTAACCATAGATGAAAAGGCACACATTAACTGCCAGGTTCCTATGCTCTGCCACTCAAGCTCAAAATTATTAGCCCCTTTGATGAACAATCTCACTCCTGAACTTGCCCTCTCTCTTACAGAGACATCCTACACAAATTCTCAAACAATTTGGAAGAACAGGAGTGTCAGGGAAGTTTCTCTACCTCACACCATTACCACTACTTTATAATCATATCAATAGAAGAAAGAGCCTGCTTCCAAGTTAGTAACAAAGAAAATAAGGGCACTTTTTAAAACAAAAACACACAGACACGGTGGCATGCAATGAAAGAAAAATGGAAGCCAATATCCTACAAACCATAGATAAAGTCCAAAAGAACAACGGAGAGTGGGCATAATGAAAGATTATAACCCAAGATTAGAGCATAGTGCCAGTTTGGGATCTACATGGTAACCCAAAATAAAATATTAGATCAGTTATGTAATAAGTATGCATAAAAATTTTTGTCTAATTTTAGGACATGTTATGTAAGGAAAGAATTCCATGTCTGGAAATCTTCACTAACTGGTACAGAATGATTTAACTGAGATATTATATTAAGGGTACAGACTAAGTAAATGAAACCTAAACATTTTCTCCAGCCTGTAACTCCATGGCAAAAAGTCAAAGTAGGTAAAGGAATTAAGTCTTCAAGACTCCAAACAGCAAAAGACATTGGAAGAGGGGCTATCTCCATTTGTACACTGCAAACTTACATTTAAATGAAGTATCTCTCAAGGAAAAGCACTGGCAGGTATGAGAATGGGTTGTCAACAATAAAAACTCATCATATAGTGTGAATGACGTGATATTTGATGCAACCTGCAATAAGGCAAAAGAGGTAAGGGAGATGCTCGCTGTATTATGCAGCCTAAACAGTGAAAAGGATCCTACATCCAATCAAGCCCTGATACCTCAGTGTCACTGATGAAAAAGCGACATCTATCAGTCAGGCCAAGGACATGTTCCTGCAAAGAAACAAAATACAAATTAAATGCAATTTGGTTTCAAACTAGTGAAATCTAATTTCTTTAGTACAGTTCTATTGCCCTATGACTCTCATCGAAGTCCTCCTAATACTGAATGTGGATACCCAAGACAGACTGGTCCAATATACAATGGAGTATGATGCCACCCAGTACATCAGCAAGTCCTGCTATTTCCATCTTCTATACTGATCCTGACTACATCTCCCGTCCTAAGTCACTGATTTTCTATGTTGATCTGGCATTCAACTCTCACGCCTCTCCCATCTACTTCTCTGGGCAGCCAAAGCATCTATCAATCATGAAGCAGAATACAAGACTCTGCTGATGGAGAATCATAACTAACTTTCTGTTGCTCAGGTCCAGCCACCCTACCTCCATTGAGTTGTCTGAATAAGATGAGCTCTTTCTAAGCTCAAGATGTTTCTAATTCCTTCCCCTAGGAACATTCTTTCTAGGGACAGCTTTCTTCCTTACCTTGCAGCACATACATCACTGCCTCACAGAGGTTTCCTACACCACCAAAAGATTCCCGTCTTCTCAGCTACTTTTCTATAACTGCTCCAAACATTTCATTATTCTCTTGCATTATACCGTATTAATTTCCTTCATCCCATCAGAGGGAATAATTTTACCTATGTTGATAGCAGAGGATTAACTCAGTTGTTTTAACTTATAACCACTGTATCCTACTACTCAAACAATCTAGTATTTGTTGAATGGCAACCTACTAAATATTCTTTTTGAGTTGACATCTGTTGTCCTAAAAAGCTATTTAGTAAAATTAATTTTGAATATTCTGCTAAACTTGGGATAAAGTCTGCCAATCATATACATCATCTTATTTAATTCTCACAAATCCTGAAGGAAACACACTGATTTTCTCAGAGATGAAGAAAGTGTGAATCAAGAAAGTGAGATAACTTCCTACTATTGCCTTGGGATTTACTGGAGACAACATCCAACTCCGACGCCCATACTCTTTCCACCTAATAACATCAGCCACTGGATAACTATGTCAAGTGATAAAGTTTCCAGCCTTGTTTCCACTTACCTCTCCTCCAATCACGGCCAATTCAGTCTGTGTGCATGGATAAGGAAATCGAACAGGAAATCCACCAAGGCTCTTCCATGGTTCAACAGCCAAAGAAGCTGACTCTGCAAGATTGGCAGATTTCGTTTACAAAGAGCCGACTCTTTTTTAAAAAAATAAAACTGTTGATACCAATACTTTCTAAAATACTTAACACGCAAAGTTACATCACTTGCCAAGTGTATTTTAGAAAGTCACTGGGATACTGTGTTTATCATAAGAGTGAAGATACTTGCCAATACTACTCTGCACCTTAGAGTTTCCAGAGTAATGACAAGGCTTAGCCAACAGGATGAGGGAGTAACTCAGTAGTAAAGCACTCGCTGGGCTCAATTCCCAGCACCGAGGAAAAAATAAATAAATAAAAAGACCTGACAAGATGCCGCTATGATACGGCCAGGTACAAGATACCCACAGGCACATGTTTTCAGGAAGTAAGTATTTCCTAAGAGCTGGGTACGTTGTCCTAGGACTCTGACACTCACCCCAAAGGCACTTAAGTATCTGGCCGTCAGCCAGCTGCAATGCCACTGACTTGGTCTTGGAACTGCAACACAGACTGATTACAATCCCATCCACTGTCACAGATGAGCTACAGGAAGTTTAAAAGGGGGCGGGGAAATAAAGACACTTTCAATATGAGAGACATTTCACTAATTTTGCAAAACAGAAAAAATATATATATACACACATATATACTCTGAGTACTTTAAAGATGATAATACTCAAGATATTAACTATTGCTCCTCTCCTATTATTTTTTATGAAATGTGTTTTTCCATAGAATAAATATTTAAAATTGCCTTTTGGTGCTCCCGCCAATTTCAATACAACATAGTCTGCCAAAAAAATGTATACATCAGAAAAAGAAAAATTTGTATAAATACTTTAATACTAAATTTATTGAGATATCATGAAGTTAATACAAGTTACCTTTGGCCTCTACAATTACAAGAGATCCTCAAAGCGGTGGCCAATAGCTTCCATACATTTATTAGTACAGTGAATTGCTAAAGTGTGTATTCATTTTTTGGCAGTTTCTGTACAGATACCCATATATGCACATACAATACGAAGTGTACACACATGTAGATACAGACAGACAGATGGAGAGATGAATTACTGTTAAGTCCAAGCCCAGTTAAAGCAGTTACTTGTTATAGAACACTATTTCCCACAAAGCCGAGAAGCTGTCTACACTGTAAAGTCATTATTCCTATTTTGGCAGCAACTTACTACAACTTAATGCCTTCAGTAGACATTGCATGGTACCAATACCATTTTCTAAAAAAATATAAGCTGCATGAGTAAGTGATATATGGAAAAATGGACACCTCAATTTCTCTACTGCTATCAGAATCATTCAAGGAAAACTGTACCAATGGTAAGAGGGGAATCTGTTATTGCTATTACATTTTTTTCCTCAGTCAATGAACAAAGAGAATTTAAATTTCTTAAAGGAAAAGGTAATTATAAAAGCAAATGATAGCAATGCTAACATTTAATTCAAAGAGGTTTTAAATAAATACAAAAAAAGAAAAATTGTAACCATGGTTAATTTCTGTAAATGCCTCAAATTTTGTGAGGATAAATTACTTGTCAAGAGGTTAAAAGAAGAAACTCTCAAGCTACAGTAGCTGAGATTAGATACCCCTTCATCTGTATTACCTCAAGCACGTTATCTAGCTGCTCTGTGCCTTAGTTCTGTATATAAAATGAGGGTGGGCACTCAGAGAATATACTTCAAAGAGGTACTGTGAGAAATACGTAAGTTAATATGGGTAAAGTGTTCAGAAGATTATAGCTACAATAAATGTGAGCTATTGATAGCTATAAACTGAGGAACATTCTATTCCTTAAAGACATACTTTATTTTACATGAACAAAACAGTTCTTGAGAAACACAAATCAAAGTAACAAAAAAATACTGTAAGTGATGTTACTGCCAAAGCAGATGACTACATCTAGGTTTTCCTTTGACAAGGTAATGATAAAGAATTTCAAATCTGAAGAGTAGAAACTTAGGTAATTTAAACATTTCTAATATAAGTTGTTCTGCTTTTCAAAAAGCTGGTCAATTCTGAGTGTTTATATACATCAAAATGAAACACGAGTCAAAGATGAGGAGTTAATAACTGCATTATAATGTGTCTTATGTATATAATAAGGAAAGATTCCTGATTTTGTCAACAAGGGTTGTCTAAATATAAATCTAACCAGTAAAGCTTTAATCACAAATGAATCTGGGAATTATGTACACGACTAAACTGCCACGTCTTGACTCTGCAATCCAGAGGTGTTTGGAGAATTAGCCAAAAAACGCTATCAACTGCACTACATGGTTTGTAAGATACAAGAGCATTTATTAAATGACAGAAGTTATATAAATATAATAAAGATGCAGTCAGGACAATTTTAGGTTCAAGCAACAGTGAGATTTCAGCAAAGAAAAATGGAGTAGCTTTTCTTAGTGGCAAATTCACTCAAGTGCCAAACAGGACGTACAGAAAAAGAGGTAGAAAAAGAGGTCAGATGAAGCATTTTGACATCACTAACATATATAAAACATTTGTCTCTGAATTCATATTTGCATTAGCACATGAGAATTAGCCACTCTTACAACTAAAAGTTACTAAAATCAATTGAAAGACCTAACAATACCTGCTCTGTGTGGACACATGATGAATTAAAGTATTTAACAACAAAAACAGACATGTGCACCAAAGGAACAGAACAGAGGACCAGAAATAACCCCAGGCACATTCAGCTATTTGATCTTTGACAAAGAGGCCAAAAATAGAGGAAAGAGCCTCTTTAATAAATAGTGTTGAGAAAACCAAATATCCACAAACAGGAGATTGAGCCTAGACCCACATATCTCACCATGTACTGGGCTAAAAAAAAGTGGATCAAAGATCTAAACGTTAAAACAGAAACAATCTGTGGGAAGATAAAATAGGTAAAACTCTTGAAGACATAGGTGTAGGCAAGGACTTTCTGAACAGAACCCTAATGGTACAAGAAATAGCACCAAAAATCAACAAATGTGATTATGTGAAATTAAAAAGCTTCTGAAATTAAAAAGCTTCTGAACAAAGAAAGCTAACAGAGTGAAAAGATCATGGACAGAATGGGTCAAACAACTCTGCAAGCTATTCCTCAGACAGAGGACTAACATCCAGGATACACAGAGCTCAAAGAAATTAGAGCACCAAAATAAAAGACGCACTCAAAAAATGGGCAAGTGGGGCTGGGGATTTAGCTCAGCAGCAAAGCGCCTGCCTGGCAAGCGCAAGGTCATGAGTTCGGTTCCCGGTACCAGAGAAAAACCAAAAAAATAAATAAATAAATAAAAAATGGGCAAGTGAAATGAATAGACATTTCTCAGAAAAAGTACCAGTGGTCAATAAATACATGAAAAAATATTCAAAATCACTGGTCATTAGAGAAGTGCAAACTAAAACTAAACCGAGTTTTCCATTTTATTCCAAGAAGAATGGCTACCATCAAGATATCAAACAATAACAAAAGCTGGCAAACCTGTGGCAGCAAAAAGGAACTCTCCTACACTGTTTGTGGGAATGAAAAATAGTACAACTGCACACTATGGAAATCAGAATAGAGATTCCTGAAAAAACTAAAACTAGAAATTCCATTGGAACCAGGTATTCCCCTTCTAAGTATCTTCCTGAAAGAGTTAAACACATCACATTACAGTGATACATGCATATTCATGTTTTTAGCAGCACAATTTATAATAGCTAAATGTTGGAAGCAGCCTATATGTCCATCAACAGATGAATGGATAAAGAAAATATATTATTTCTACACAGTGGAGTACTACTCTGCCATAAAAAAGAAAAAATATGATCATTCATAGGTAAATGGATGCACCTTGAGACTTTAATAATCTAAGTAAAATAAATCAGACATGTAAGCTTAAATATCATATAGTTTCAGTTATATGTGAAGCCCAAGATATAAAGAGCAAAATAAAAGGATAATAGGAAGTAAGGAAAGCTTTTTCAAATAGGAAGGAGAATAAGAGATAGAGAAAGGGGGAAAAAAAGGAAGGGAAAGATTTCAAAAAAAACTGCAAAAAATGGAGACAGAACTTTGCAAATGCAAATGGGTCAGAGAGACAGAAGGAGCAGAGAAGCTGAGGAGTGGCTGGAGACAGAAAATGAACTGAGGTGTGTTACAGACATGTAACAGCTCCCCAGGATAAATGTAATCATTATGTATTGCAAACATGTACTGTGCTAACAAAAAAACCTAAAAAAATAAAAAAGATGGAAGAAATAAGGCACTTGGGATGTCTTAAATATATTTTGCTTCATCTGTTGGTACCTGTCCCACTTTTCATTACTCCTTGATGTAATTTTGGTCTATTATTTTGATATAACTCAACAGACCTAAACCGCTTACAACATATGTCTAACATGAAAGCTACTGCTCAACTTTGCTCTCAAAAACAAAATTTTAAAAAACCGTATGCTCATAAAAGACTAAAGCATAACTTCATGTGTTTACTGAATATGTGGGACAGAGCAGACCGCTTTACCTGATGATAAGCTGTCCTTGCTCCTCAGCCGACTCAGAAGGGGCTATGGTCAAATGGTGAACAGCAGACTGTGAGCTGAACTGACTGTGGCTTACAGCCAGGAAACTGTCTTCTTCGATCCAGGTGAGAAAGGTGAGCTTCAGCGGGTTTACTTCTTGATCTTCACTACTGTCAAACTGAATTCTGTTTTAAATGTTTAAAAAAAGAAAACAAGACCTAAATAAAACTTTAAAATCACTGAACCTTTAAAATCTTTCCTGAAGAAAGAATGAACCACCTAGAACATGCTCATCTCCTAGTTACCTGAAGAAACAAAACCTGAGCTAAATACTAGACAAATCCAAAAATAATGTGTGTCTGCCTAAAGATTCTCTCTTTGTATTTATTTTAAATTAAGTTGCTCATGGCCTGAGGTCTTTTCAGGAAAGTGTACGAGGAAATTGTCCCGTGCTTCCCACTGTCACCACTTACCCGCATTCAAACCTGATGCCAATGAAACGGGCCCTTTCCTAAGGGCCTAACACCAAAGAGACCGACTAGTCTGGCAGATGGTTTGTGTATCCACTGCCTTCTTTAGGGAGCATTTACCTACCAGGGTACTGTTTTTCTCACCTCACGTATGAACCCATACAGGCTACTTCCTGCCTTTCATATCCAATGACAAATCCTCAGCTCCCACCATCATCTTCCTAGTCAACCAGCTCTTCCCAAACCTGATCTCTCTACAGAGTGTTCTCTAAACAGAATCATCCCCACCTCTGTTCTCACCAATACTCTCACGCAGTCCTGTCCAATCCCAAACCAATCCTTTCCACAAGGATCAAGGTAAGTATTCACGTCATTCCTGAAATCTTCTCTGAATGACTTATTTTCTAAATTTTTTAAAAAATAAAACTATTTTCTAAGGCTCATATTTTCTAATTTGCCTTATATTTTACCATCAAGTTTGTGCTAAAGTTTGCATCTGGACTGTTCCCCAAAGGCCCATGAGTTAAAGGGCCCCCAGCCCATAGAACTATTGGGAGGTGGTGGATCTCTTAAGAGGTGGAGCTTATTGGGTGATCTTAGGTCACTGGGATAATGTCCCTGAAGAGGACTTTGGCGCCCTGGTCCCTTCCTCTTCCACCTGGCCATAAGGTGAACATACCTCCTCCACTATGGGCTAATGCCATGATGTACCGTGCTGCCACAGCCCAAAGTAATGGGGCCAACTGAATATGGACTGAAATTCACCTCCCAGACTGTGAGCCAAAATAAACCCTTCTTCTCTGTAAGCCGACTTATGTCAGGTATTTGTTAATGTGATGGAAAGCTAACACACTGTAAGAACAAATAAGCAAGTAGGTATTCTTTTGAAAGTATTAAATATTATATAATCAGCCCGCAAAGCACACAGGCTGTGTACCTACATATTTATTTAATTCTGTTATTTGCTACACTAGACTATTTCTATTAATTTACTAATAGACACCCTCAGTAGGCAGAGTAGCTCAGTAATTAAGAACATAGACTTACCAAACAGAATAGAGTCAAATCTTGGATTCTGTAGTTATTAAGTTCACAACCTTGATCGAGTAACCTATCCTCTAACTTTGTTTTTTATGTGTAAGCACTCAATGGCTTCTGGATCATTTTGCAAATACCCACTTGTCTGTAATACTATTTTAATGAAAAACATGAAGATTTGTCTGAGAACTTCAAAATACAAGTCCAAAGCCAAACTAAGTCATTCATGTATAAGCATATGCATCTATACTTACGTAAGAGGACACAATTCTGCCTATAATCTTTACCTCTGTCTTTCCTGCGTGATTTTCTCTGCAGAGCCAAGGACTGTTGCAGCTGGGGAGTGGATTCTGACTAGCTTATGACTCCCATTTCCTTGCCACCCACTTGAATAGAGAGCACTCAGATAAACCAAGGAGCCTCCTCAATCGGGATGGAAAACCAGGGCCTGGCTGCTGTACCTACTTTTTGTTCCACTCAGCAACAGGCAGAGAAAATCAGGTGGTTGACTTTAGAAAAAAGGCTGACTCTGTTCCCATAGGGCCAAAATAATTAAGAACCTACGTGTATGTCTTTTCCAAATGAGGTGTTCTAAGAGGAACTTTAAATCCATTTCCACCCACAGCTCCCAGGTTCACTGTGGGGTCCATACTTGGACTATCACCTAGAAAATAAGAACGCAAATATTACCACTGTGAACTGTAAATCATTGTCCTGATACTAAGTGGATGGAGGTCCTGAAATTAAGAAAATAGCCACATGTCAACCTCTTTCTTAAATCTCTGTATATCTTTGAGGCTTAACCAAAACCTGTGCCCTGGTACTACCAGGTCAGGCAAATCTTTACCAATAAAGGCCACACCAACAAGGCCAGGTGAAGGGCCTACCTTCTTATTAAGTGTTATTTCTTCCTCTGCTCTACAACCATCTCTCAGTTATCTCAATCCTCTTCAATCTTTAGCACTCGTTTAAAAGATTTTTCTTTCCACTTTTGATCCAGTGTATTCACAGTGGGCAAGGCAATTCTTTAAAAAATTCTGTCATATGGGGTACTATAATCCCAGCTACCCAGGGGGTGGAGGCAGGAGATGTAAAATTTGAGGTGAGCCTGGGATACTTAGTGGGAACTCAGACCTTATCTCAAAATAAAAAACAAAACGGGCCAGGGATGTCACTCAGTGGTACGGTACCTCTCTAGCATACACAAGCCCTTGGTTACAATCCTCTGTACCAAAACCAAACAAGAATTAGTCAGGACACCGCACTTCTCTGTTCCAAGCCCTCTAGAGGCTTTCTAGCTCACCCAGAGTGAACGCCTTCAAGGCCCTGTAAAAGCTCTTCCCTGTCAGCTCTAAGACCCCAGCCACCAATCTCTCTGCATTTTCTCTGCTGCAGCCACCATGAATTCCTGGCTGTTTTGTAAATACAACAGACAACTTGATAGTTACTTTTTACTCTGTTCCGAATGGTCCCGCCCTACATGTTCACATGGCTCACACTCTGATTCTCACCAGGTCTCTGCTTAAACACTGTATTCACGGAGAGGCCTTCCCTGATCTACCTAGATATAAAAGCCATGTTCCCCTACTAGGTCCTCATCTGCAAGCTCTCCCTGTATCGTATCTTACTTAACTTTTCCCCACAGCACCTAACAAATGATTCATTATGTTCTCTTGATAATGAATACATTATCATTATTTCTAAATAAGCTATTTCTGAAAGTTTAAGAATTGTAATAGCAAATTAAAACTCAGAGAAACTGATACTGTATCTAAATAGGATTCATGTACAGTAGGCTACTGACTTAGCAGAAAAGCTGACGTAAAAGCAGGGAATGTTAGTATGAATTATTTTAATTATTCTCCCTCAGCAGCTGCCTAGGCTTTTCTGACTAAAAATTCCAAAGACATTTCAAACAAGGCTATCATTTCCATATGCCAATTTACTTTATGACATGATCACAAAGCTCACAGATAAAAAATTTCTGGTATTCCAGTACATTAAGAAAGCAAAAGGAACTAAGCAATAGGACTATGAAAAGACAACTCAAGTAGGAACTGGAGCTCCTGTGTTAGGTTCTTACCTGTTCTTGCTCAAGCACAGGGAAAACCCTCTGGCACTGTGTGGTCTCACCCACAAAGTAGGGAAAGCCATCTCTGACATGGTTTCAGCAGTAGTATTAGACCAATCAAAATCTTGTAAAGTAACGAAAACAGTAAAGCACATCAAAGATGTAACAAGATCCTATGTTATTTCCAGGGCTGAATGTTATTAAGTAACTGACCCTTCAAATTCAGTAAGGCAAAAGGAAATGCTTATAAACTAGAGCAGGATTCAGAAAAAACAAAATAATGCAAGCCAATTAAATGTCATCATAGCCAGGTGTGGTGGCGCACACCTGTAATCCCAGCACTTGGGAGGCTGAGGGTGGAGGATCATTGCAAGTTTGAGACTAGCCTGGGCTAGAATGCGAGCTCAAGGCCAGCATGAACTGCACAGGGAGACCCTGCATCAAAAAGACTAAATAAATAAATAAATAAATAAATGCCATAATACTGAAAACAATTCCAGACTTCAAAAATTTTTGAAATACTTAAAAAACAAACTGCAATTTGCTTTTGTGTAGAAGTACAATGGAATTAATTCAGAACATCTTAAAAACTATTTTAACATACCGCATTTATACACAGAAATCTGGTTACTGGCATCTAGGACAGCAAGATCGTTACTTTTCGTAGAGTGCGCAGAGAATGTGACTTGATTCACTGGATGTGGAAGCAGCAGGTAGTACGTGCACATGGGAGGTGGAATCACAGTCTGCCGGAAGACTGTCACCAACACCTTATCTGCACATGAAACAGAAAAAAATTTAGACGTCTAATGTGTAACATAGGCACAATAAATCCCCAACTTATGAGCAAGTTCCATTCTGGGAGAACATTCATAAGTCGGTTTCATTAAGTCCAACAAAGTCAATCTTATATACCTCTGACACAAACATACAATGTAAAGCATAAAAAACAAAACACACAAAGATATAGTAAGTCCCTGACTGTACTGTACTACTACACACTATCACACTGTACAGTAAGCACACAGCAGCACAACTGTGACAACACTCAGCAGAAACGTGACATACTCTGAGTATTTGCTCGCATCTACAAATGTTCTTAATTTGAGGTCCGTTTGTCTCTGTGAAAGACTGCAACTTGAGTGTTTGTATGTTGGGGATTTACTGTACCTAAATGTCACTGTACTGTTGAATAGTAATGATGGCAGAAAACATAAACTAATTCTTGAAAATAAGTTCTGGTATTTTTCTTATGAATAAGCTTAAAAATAGTATGGAGAGAGAAGGAAGTGTCACAGACAATTTATCTGGCTACTGTCACTGCCAGGCCTACAGTGGTCCATATGAGAACTTGGAAGTTTTAGGTGCAAAAAGGCCAAGAGATCAGAGCTCTGGTTTTAAACCTTGTCCTGTGGCCAACACAGACTAAAGCAAGGGAATCTATACTTTGAAAATTCCTTTTTTTATTTTTTTGAGAGAGGTCTTGCTCTGTAATTCACATTGACCTTAAAACACACTATGCAGCACCCCCAGGTTGGCCTTGAACTCAAAGCAATCCTCCTGCCTCAGCCTCCCAAGTGCTGGGATCACAGTATGCACCATCAAACCCAGCCAATACTTTAAAAATGTTTAAAGGACTTTCCTATGTGTGGATTTGATAACAGGACAGAATTAAGTTCATTATACAGAACAGATGATTGCAAAATCAGTATTACGAACACTACGTAAAACTGGAGTTACCATAACAACTCATATTATGAACTTAGAAGCAAGAGTCCTATATGCTATCAGCATAAGTAAACTATTTGGGTGACTATTGAACTCACCAATCCAGTGTGCCCCCTCCCACAAAAGAATCCCTCACCTAATCTTGAAACACTAACCAATTCAGATTTCTATAAAATAAACTGAAGATACCAGAGAGATAGTTTCAAGTGTTTATATGAAGAAACAAAGCATTGTCAGTGGAGGGTTACAAGGGTCAATGTAAGTCTGTCAGGGCAGAGACAAAGCTAACATAGCCAAACCAACAAGACTTTACTGCTGACTTCTCTATAAAAGAGCAAAGTTTTCAGTCTTCAGAGGCCAGAGGAGTAAATACATGAAGGCCATGGAGATAGGGGGCACTATGTTCTCAGGAGAATGTATGTCCCACCTGTCATTCCCAGTCAGTCAGAAACAAAACAAATAAGCAAAAATACACCAAACAATTAAAACACAGATTTCCCCACTATTCTTGTTAAATACCTATACTTGTTAAATAAATATTTAACACAGCAACTTATTTCCCCAGCAACTTACTTCCATCAATGACAGCCACATTTGCCAAGTCACTTGAATGATCTCCTGAGCTCCGGTCAGTCGTCCAGTGCCAGTCGTAGCAGAGGTAATGCCACCCCTGACAGAGAACATGCAGTCGGTATGGGATCACTGGGTCCCACGTCAGAGACACAATCCTGCTCTTCACAGTGGTACTGAAGGACAGACTTTGTTTGAGATACCAGTGATAGTTTCCAACAGTCCAGAGCTGAACTACAGAGAAAACAAAAGCAAGGTCTTCAGAGGTCAGGCCAACTGTATACACTTGCTAATGGATGTAGCAGCAATTTTGTCTTTTTTCAAATAATCTATCCTGCTTGGCCTCTTAAAATAATAATGTAATAATGATAATAACAACAATAGTAATAGTTAGAAGATAGTTTTCCTGGACATAAACCTCCAAGCATCAGTAACTTCAGAAATATATGTTTTTTACCTCTACATTCAAACTTTATGATCATGAAAGGAAGCTGCTAGAGCAAGGCCAGGTTTTAGTAGGTTTTCTTCGTGAGTGTTCAGAAAAAACTTGACAGTCAGACTGTGAGTACAGTCATGCATTATTTAACAAAAGGTATACATTCTGTAGAACACATCATTAGTTTTTATTGTTGTATGAGAATCATAAAGTATACTTACACCAAACAGATGGTTACAATGTCCTGGGTAACATAATCTTACGGGACAACCACTGAATATATGGTCTGTGCATGACTAAAATATCATTATGTGGTATATAACTGCTCTAACACTCAAGATCTGGACTAGCATCACCATGTTGAATTAGTCTTCCAGTTGCTTTTCTTCAAGATACCAGGCTATGTGGTATTAACCATGATTCAGCTGCCCAAAGAAGATTAGCATACATGCAAGGATCCTTTTTAATATGTATTGAAAGAACAAAATCTTATATGTGAAAACCAAGTTTTATTAAATGATGATACACACAAATTAAAATCATAGTAATATCCCTGCTCAATGATTCTAACTTCATGATCACAACAAATAAACCAAGCTATAACAATACTTCTATGTAGTCATGAGTTGGTAAATTAAACTGCAGGCTCATACTCCATGACGACAGAAGTTGTGCTTGTTCTTATGCAATATTTTATCCTTAGTACAACACAGTGCCATCCCTTGACATACTACTTACTGAGTCATTCTTAACTGTGGGTCTATGTTAAAATTACTATGATTTATGCTTACTTTATGTTACTATGATTTAAAATTACTATGATTTAATTTTATTACTAAAATTTTAACATAAATTACTATTTATGTTAAAATTAATTTTACCTATTAAAATTAAACATTTTTATGTTTTAATTTTGCAAGCCCCTGGGTTCAATTCCCAAAGGCATCAAAGAGAACTGATGGATTAATTACTGATATATAGCTCCTAACCTAGCACACTGAATCTAAGTCTTAAATGAAGCCTCAAAAAATAAATAAATAAATAAATAAAAAATAAAATGAAGCCTCAGTATCAATATTTTTCTAAAGGTGCAGCCAGGATTGAGAACTATTATGCTGAATGAATCAGTAAATATCTTGGTAACATTCCAGTTAAAAGGTTCTACTCATTAGAATTTGAAAGTCACTTAGAAAATACCATTAAGATTTATAAACAGAAATATTGAATATATTACAGTTGACAATAATGAGAAATTAAATGCCTAACACGAAGAGATACAATAAACTGGCACAAAAGATTATACAACAATTCAAAACAATGCAGATGTACATCTGAAATGAAAATATGCATGTCATATATTGTCGAAGTAAGTTACAAGCTGTGTTATATACATATACCAACTCCCCATGAATGCAACCATTATGTACTATAGACATAACTAATAAAAATTTTTAAAATAAAAAGTTTTAAAAAGCAAGTTATGAGCATGCATTATTATGTATACTTTTAACAAAAATGAGATCACAGCTATACTAATATACACATAAGACTAGAAAATAATAGTCTTTTAATAGTGATAAAAAAATAGTGATTACTAATGTTATGGTTTATGCTTATACGTCCTCCCAAAGCCTCATGTAGTCACAGGTGGGGCTTTTCAGAGGTGGCCCGGTATACAATGTGTGATGCTGGGATTAAGAGTGTGTGACAACTCAATTAGTCCGCTGACTGGATTGGCATAGTTTGGGTATGGATAATGGAAAGGCCCCCCTTGGGCGTGGGTGGCACCACCCAAAAGCTGGGTTGCCTGGAAGGAATAAAAGGGAGAGAGATAAGCTGCTACTGCTTCATGACTGCTGCTTGCTACCTTGCTGCCTTCTGCCTGCCATGAACTGTTTCTCCTCTGTGATGCCCTCTGCCATGTCACCTTGACTTGGAGTCAGACAACTATGAACTGAAACCTCTACAAACTGTGAGCTACAATAAACCTTTCCTCCTTTAACTTTGGGTGTCAGGTATTTTGTCTCAGTGACAAAAGTAACTAAGACAACTGAGTATTTGATTACAGGAATTTTTCCTTTTTTACTTTCCAATGTTTTAATAACATATTTAATACTTAAAACATACTTACACATTTAAAAAAGCTTTAAGAAAGACTCTTAGCCCAACCTAAATCCCTTCATTTCCACAATATTTCTTTGGCAAGCATTCTGATTGTCTCCATAAACACCATCCAAGAAGAAAAAAGCACTAATGACTTGCAATGGTTAATTTCAAGTCAGCTTGGCTAGCCTATGGTGCCTTGTTCAAGCACTAGTGCAGATGTCGCTGTGAAGGTATTTTATAGATGTGACTAACATAGTTGATTTTAAAAGAAGGGATTCTGCTTTAAAACTGTAACATAAAAATCCCACCTGGGTTTCCAGCCAGGTAGCTTGCCCTATGAATTTCACACTTGACATCTGCTTCAAGTGCATATACATCTTTCTGACCAGCTCCCACAAATATCCTACTGGTTCTGTTTCTCTACAGACCCTTGACTGATACAGGGCTGAATCCATACATGATCAAACCCATCCACTCCTCCATCTGCATCTACCCCTTTCGGCTTCTTTGAATGTACTAAGGAACTAAATAAAAGGGATGAAGGAAATCCCACACTCTTCTATTTTCAAATACATTTTATGAAGCACAAGCCAAGGTATTACAGCTGTCTTACCATAGGTTTTCAAAGCAGAATTTTCTTCCCTCTGAAGGTCTTCTAGCCAAACAGCAAGCACAGAGGAATCTGCATTCCAGAGCAAATTATTTACCTAATAGGGAAAAAAGTCATTTGGGAAAAAAGCCATTGATCTTTAGCTAGGTAATGACATGAAAATCTCTAATATAGTTGAATTTCCTGCTCTCATAAACCAAATAATCCCACACTACTTGAACTGATCCACAGGTATATTAATCTAGAGAGTTGTTAAATCTTTGAAATGTCATCATATATAAAAGACTTAAAAATGTATTATGTGTAAGGATTAAAAGACACCTAAGAAACTTTCCTTCTAAATGCAAAGAAACATTTTTATACATTCATGGAATTTGAATACCCACTGGGTTTTACATAGTACTAAAGTATGGTATAATAACGGAATCATAGTTTTGTAAGGAAAAATGTTCTTAACTGTTCAAATTTTACATAATTAAAGATTATCATTTGATAAATTTCCACTTCAGCAGGATTTCAATGGTATTCAAGCTGCTTCAGTTTTAAACATTCAAAATGAAAAATGTCTTGATCACTGAAAAAAATATAGTTGTCAAAATAAACAATAAAAACTAGTATTTTTATGTCCTTTATGTCCTTTATTTTACCTACAATGGTGAAGAAATGCCATTTCTTATCTACAAAAATCAACAAAAAACAATTCTCCTTTACTTAAGAAAAATAGGCAGTTAAAAAGGCCACCACTTTACTATCTATTCTGACACATGTATTTACACACCCACATCAAATATATACCTCTACAGCTGAGGACAGTCTTCTAACACTGATGGCAAACGACTCAGACTCCTACCTTAACTTCATCCTTGAAGAAGGGAAGCATAAAGTGACCATGAAGAAGTCCATTTTTCTCAAAAAACACAACATCCTGCTGATTTGGTTTATCTTGTGTAGATGCAATCAAACTGCCTGAGGGTCTGAAAGCAAACTCAGTGTTAAAACATCCAAAAGCTTGTCTGACTGATTGAAGAACAAAGTGAAATTTGGAAAAGATTTTTTTTCCAGCAACCATAAATTAATAAATAAACTAGTTTTTTTGAGCCAGGCATGGTGGCGCACACCTGTAACCCCAGCACTCGTGAGGCTGAGGCAGAAGGATCATTGTGAGTTCGAGACCAGCCTGGGCTACAAAGTGAGCTCAAGGCCAGCTTGAACTGCATAGCGAGACCCTGTTTCAAAAAGACTAAATAAACAAACAAACAAACAAATGGTGTTCTGAGGAATGTCCACACTGATTTCCACAGTGGTTATACCAGTACATTCCCACCAACAGTACAGAACGGGTTCCTTTTTCCTTACAGCCCTGCCAGCATTTGTTATTGGTTGAGTTTTTGATGATAGCCATTCTTTCTGGGGTGAGATGGAGTCTCAGTGTTATTTGCGTTTCTCAATGACCAACCTGTATCTTTTTTTTCTCCTTAAAATTAAAAATAAAAAATCTTCACCCAAGCAAATTTTAAGCCCCACATATCTCCTCTTTCTTGGCAAGCTGTTCATCTACGCTGGAGCTGTACCTGCTCACAGAAAAGGGTGCCTTTTCCTAATTTGTGCAAAGTCTCCACTTGCCCACAAAACCTTACAGGCTTAAATGGCACTTGGAGGACATGTTTTAAAACCAGTGAATTTTTTAAACAATCCTAAGTATAACACCCTAAAAATCATGATTTCTCCTTCAATTATTATAAACAAAAATTCTGTATTCAGGCAGGTACCTTTTTCGGTCTTTTTGAGACAGGGTTTTGCTATGACATTCAGGCTGGTCTTCAACTCACTTCGTAGCCCAGGCTGGCCTCAAACTCACAGTGATTCCCCCTGCCTCTGCCTCCCAAGTGCTGGGATTACAGCACGGGCCACATCTGGCCTGTGTCTACAATTTTAATTCAAACACATTTCTCCTTTTCCTCTGTCATTTGATGCCACTCAAATACTAGGGGAAAGTAAGATGACTGAAACCCAAAGACCTAGTAGTTTTGCATGCACCAGATGCTAAGACAGGAGGTATTTCTTTATCTGTACAGCCACACATGATAGCAGAGTAGTGATGTGCCTGCCACAGGCACCCCGGGCCAAGAGCTGAATGGATGGAGTGATTCCGAATCCCCTAAGTTCCTCAGGAGGCAGATGCTCTGCAGTAAGAATTTGTATAGAGGATGAAAGCTCTTGTCCTAGTTTTCACATAAGTTCCATTTGTCCTACAGAGCCACACAGACTAGGACTTCCTGCATAAGCACCCTTTTCTATTTTCCACAATGGCTTCATAGAGGCTCTGACTATACCCCTAACCTTTGAAGAATTAAGAATGCAAAAGATTTGAGACCTTAGAGTGATGAGAACTGTGAAGAAGACCAGAAGCTACAATTCAAATTGAAGTCATATTCCAGAAAAGGAAAGAAAGAAGGGAGAGAAAGAGAGAGGGAAGGAGACAGCCAAATGAAGCAAAGTAAACATCCTGCGTTATATAAACTTCCAAATTCAATAGTACCACAACTGCTGCCCCTCCTTCTTCCAAGATATTCTCCAAAGAAGTCCCAAGGCCTCCTCTCTCACTTACTTCCAGGCCAGGGCTGGTCCCAGTCCTGCCACAGGCTCACTGGTTGAATGCAAAGCGAACTCCCGGTTCCACACTCTGACCTTGCGAGCCCCTGTGGAGGGGGTGAATCAAATGCACTTATGACATATATTGTGAAGTCACAGCTTTTCAAGCACTTTCCTTATAAATAAAATTGTCATGAATTTACAAAGTCAACCAGATTAATCTTGTTAAAAATTTTATTCACGAAATGAGAGGCTAGACCAGAGGACCAGTAAGGACTTGTAATTCTTAACTCTAAATTCATTTATCATTTAAAGTAACACATCTTTACCTCCTCTGAGTAATTAATACTCTACTTAGAGCAAAAAAACCAACCAACCAAACGAACAAAATACAAACAAAAAAAAACTCTGCAGAACCTTAACCTGGTTTTTAAAAATTGTAATTACAATTTATTTTCATACCTGTTTCTGGACAAACAACACTCACAGCAAAAAACTGTCCATCGCCACGCCAGGTAACTTGTATTCTGTGGTCATCCCAGGGTAAAGCAAATTCAAGCTAAAGAGAGAAAGAAATACTACTATTACTTGGGAGACCTTAAGTGGCCCAGAATCAAACAAACCTCAGCCACTAAATATACAGCTTTTTAATGAAGCAAATGAAGTTGAACCTATCTAGAAAACCAGTTTCATAAAGAATGCTGAGGAACTCTATCTGGAAGAGCTCTTATAGCCAGAAATCACCAAGAAAAAAGAATGTCAAACAAACAAAAGTCTTTCTTTGGCATAAAAGAGCTACAGATCTAGGTATTAAAAATACTGAGCTAAGGAAATTATCTGGCAATTATATAAGGAAATAAACACTCTGTTCACTTAAATTTAACAGAATGGTTTGGTGTCATTATTGTTTAAGCTTCAGAAGGCACAGCAGTGTAAAGATGGGAGAGCTGGGCATGACAGTGCACACCAGTAATCTCAGCACTTTCGGAGGTTAAAGTAGGAGAATCACAAGTTCAAGACCAGCCTGGTTAACTTAACAAGACCCTGGCTCAAAATAAAAGTCCTGGCGATATAGCTCAGTGTGCAGGAGGAGATGAGAGGAAGGTGAATGTGGAAGCGCTACAGAAATAGTAAGCAAGAGCAAACAAGGATGAAAACATTCTGCATTCCACAAACCAGGAGAAATAAAGCTTTCCAGTACCTTTCACATCACAATCTGGGGGCCTTGAAGGACAGCAGCCAACTCTACAGGTGGAACACGAATAGCCACCTGAGAATCCCAGTGACAAGGATAAGCAAAATGCTGCTAGTTCTAGTTTGCGTAATAAGGAATACACAGGAAGCCTAACAAGATTCATTCTCAATGAAACTGCTCTACAGTATACAACACAAACTTCTACAAGTGAAGGGTTAAGGGTTGAAATTGGTTGTATCAAATATACTTGGAAGTAATAAAATATGCAAATGGCAAGCAGGGTATTACAAATTCATCTGTCCTAGAAGGGCAGTTTATGGAAATTTCTACATGTAGTTGTGCTTCCACTTGTTTACAAACCTCTGTATGAGCCCTACTTCCTCATTCTCTCACCTACATCTGTTCTTAATAAATCCCACACCTCTTCCTTCACAGTGCATCCTAAGCTAAACCACTTTTTACCACGTCTCCATTCTCCCCTTAAGTCACAAATGGTTTACTGAAAAACTGTCCCACATATTCCTCAGCCCAGTGAACATAACAGCCAGAACAAGCCACTGAAAAAATGAATCAGATTTGTTGCTTTGTGAAAATCCTCCAATGAAGCCCTGTGTCAACTGGAGTAAAACAGGAGTACCACTGAGCTACAGGTAAACCACCTTATCACTGACTTCATACCCTATCATTCTCCCTTCCCCAAGTATACAATGGCCTCCTTTCCATTCCCTCAACACCCAAGAAACAAATGACTTTCAGGTTGTTAGTCCTGGCTATTCCCTCTAGCTGGAATGCTCCTCCTTGGCTATACACAGAGCTCACTCTCTCATTTCCTCTGGGTTCATAATCAGACAGCACCTTCTTAGTGTGCCCATCCCTGACTTGCCGCATCTGTGTAGTCTGGCACTCTTTGTCCTGGTTTACCTTCCTCCATGGCATTTTTCACTACCTGGAATATTATACTTTGACATTATTTTAATGTTGCACATGCAAATAGAATGCACATTCTATTGTGGCAGGGATTCTGTTCCCTGCTATGTATTCAGTACCTCTAACAAAGCCTGACACAGGTAGGTACTCAATATAATGCTTTTAATTGAATCAATGATCAATCTTCTTTTTTTTAATTTTTGCTGTTCTGAAACAGTCTCACCGAATAGCCCCAGCTAGCCTCAAACTTGCAGCAATTCTCCTCCCTCAGCCTCCCAAGTGCTGGAATTACAAGCACACCAGCCCTGGCTAATTTTAGGAGAGAGTAGTTAAACAACATACAATGCAACCTCCAAATTCAGTGTTAGAGGGCACTAGAAGAGCACAGACAGACAATAATCTGAGTGTTGGAGTCATACAACTAAACCATTCCCATCAGCACTTGCATTTGACTAATTCACAGACATACTGCTTTGGAGATATAGTTTCACAACACTCCACACTCCCACCTCATCTACCAGAGTAGCTGTAACTATAAGGCAAGTGCCATAGCACCTGGCATAATCTATGGACTTCTGTTTTGTTTTCTGAAGGTAACTGAACTGCCAAACCAAGACCAAGCTCTGGAAAGCCTTTAGGAAAAAGACCATAAATAAAAGCTAGAGCAGTCTACTGGATAACACACTAGATACCAGAATGCATTTGATTTTCTCCATTATCTGAATCACTTTATTAATAAACATAATGTTGGCACTAGTGGGCAACTCTCACTCTCATGGGTGGCAGGATTAAAACATCCGCTCCAGAGTGTAACAGAGTATGACAAGTTGCCTTATCTTAAATACTATTAAAGGGTCCCTTAAAGTACTATTTTTAACAACTTCATCGGGATATAATTTATACATCGTAAGATTCACTCATTTGAAGTACACAATTCAATGTTTTTAAACTGTATTTTCAAAGCTGAGTAACTATCACCATAATCTAAATTCTGAACATTTTCATTATCTCAAGAAGAAACTCCTTACCTGATCGCAGTTCTTTCCTCCCTGCACCCACAATACCCAGTCCTAGGCAATCATTAATCTACCTTCTGTCTACAAATCTGTCTACTCTGGGCATTTTATATATATGTGATCAATTACATTAGAAAACTGAAAAGCAGTATCTTGGGCCAACAAGACACCAATATGTGAGGTTTACAATTTTCTAATCAAGAAATAAAACAAGGAGTTTCAAACAAAAGGAAACATCAGAAGAAAAAATTCATTTATTTACTTGTTTGTTTGTTTGTTTTTTGGTCTTTTTGAGACAGAGTCTCGCTATGCAGTTCAGGCTGGCCTTGAGCTCACTTTGTAGCCCAGGCTGGTCTCAAACTCACAATGATCTACCTGCCTCAGCCTCCTGAGTGCTGGGATTGCAGGCATGCGCCACCACACCTGGCCAGTACAAAAAATTTGAAAAAGAACAATACCTACAGATCTGGAGGAAAAAGTACGAATACATGCATGTGAATGATTGATCAGCAGTAAATGTAGAATAGTACCTCTTCTGGAGAAGACAAGGAAAGGCATCAGGAACCAGTACCCAGGGTATTTCATTTCTATTTGTGATACTTTATTTTCTAAACTGGGTGATGAATATTGGTTATAATTATTCTTGACACTTAAAAGAAGGTGTTTGTACAGTAACTCATTCCCCGAGGGCTCTAAACAGTTCCAGTTTTACTAAGCAGAGAGATCTGTCCATTACTGGCCTCTAACTGGTCACGAAGGCATTTCTGGGGGTGGCAGAACTTCCATGTGTTGCAACTAAGGTTCTCTGTGCATCAAACCAACCTTACCGTTTGCATCTGAAAGGCTGCTTGCCTGCCTTCTGATCCATGGAATTGTGTCTCCTTCTTGCCCCATCCCACAGTGATAAACTTGCCTAAAGAACAATTTATTAAGAACATTCAAGACAACCGGTAAGTTAAGTAAAATGAAATGGAAGCAATTTCATTGTTATTCTTCATGATGTTGGTCACTGACAATTATTTCAGTCCCTTAAGGTAAGACCTCTCACTAAATCACCCAGCAGTCACTATTTTAAAAACCTGCTTTTATGGTCTGGATCTGAAATGTCACCCCCAATTCTCATGTGTCTGGAAGGTGATTGGATAATGGAGGTGCTGTGCTCACCCATGAGTTAATTCACAGATAGATTCAGAGCTAAAGATGCTGGGGACTGGTTGGAGGTAGATCAGTAGGGGCATAACCTAGAAGGGTCTATCTTCCTCCCTAGCTCCTCTCTTAACTCTACGCTTCCTAGCTACCGTGGCACAAGGTACTTTTCCCTGTGTAGGCCTCTCCATCATGCTACTTCTGCCTTGTAGCCAGCTGACCATGGACTGTAACTATAAGCCAAAATTATTCTCTCTTCAAGTTGTGGCTTTCAGGTTTTTATCCCAGTGACAGGAAAGTAACTACCATTTTGGTACCAAGAGTTGAGTCACTGACATGACCACTTGATCATGTGGTTTAGAAGCCTTTGGAACTGGCCTGCAGGAGGAGTTTGGAAAGTTTGGAAATGCCAGCTAGAAAAGCCCTAGAATGCTATAAGCCAAGCTTGATGGAAGATCCTGGTCAGAGTTCAGAAGGCCAGAATGCTCAAAAAATGTCAGAAGTTTCAGCAGGGAACAAGGATTCCATTGGTAGCTGGAACTGAGTTCATGTATATTATACTCCAGCATAAAGTTTGTCTTTATTATACTCAAGTCCTAAAATTTTGTGGGAAACTTAGATTAAGGGCAGCAGACTACTCTGGTGGAGGAAATTTTAAGATAGTTCAATGTATGAGTTGTGGCATGGGTACTTCTTGCTGCTTTTAGCAAGATCTATAGTAAAAATAAGAAAACAGCAGACTTAAATTATTTAAAAAGGGTACAGTTTCATCAGAAAGGAAATCCTATAAAGTTCAGACCATGGAGAGTGCTTGCTAAAACGATCACTATTAACACACAACAGGACTGTAATTCATATGCTTCACTGCTGGGTGGCTCTGATTTGAATTCAGTTGTTCACTCTGTACATTCATGACTATTCCACTGGGTAGCTTGTACTTTTTTTCAGGAGGTCTTTGATTATTACAATGCAGAGAAAAGTGCTGATTTAGCATACCAGATGTAATAATATTAGAGTTCTTTAAGGAAAACATTAAGATGTAAAAAAATTGTAATCCAGCTAATTTGTGGTTCAGCAGTTGTAAATGCACATTATATGTCAGCAATGGAATACTTGTTAAGGCTTCCATGCTAAAATTTAAAGAATTATTGATAAACTACTTATGAATATAAATACATTCCTTTTAATTTAATGAAATAAATTTGTTATTAGAATAATTTTAAAAGTTGGTATGAATAATATTAAGTAATACTTATATTTGAATGGTAATTATTCAAATTCAAGCAACTAACTAGATTTGGTCCATTTATAAACTTTTTATTAATTTTATTGGCAAAATTATTTAAAAAGGGTACAATAAAAGTGATTAGATCTTTTTATACCACCAGTGATACAAGCTGCTCGATGGGATAGTCACACATGTTAAGGTGGCAGGAACATATTAAAAGGAAGCCAAGTACTTTGCATCAGGATAACAGGAAAGATGAATTGAGGGCATCTCAGGAATCAGCAAGACTCTACCCTTCACAGCTTCAATGGTACAAAAATGAAAGACTGCTTTGAAAAGTCAAGGGTACCCTACTCAAGAATGGCAGCCGAGGGAGTTGGTTCCCCAGGATTCATTTCATAGTGTTCAGCCATCTAGGCACTCAGAGGCTTCCACACAGTTATGATGCAAGGGAGCCTGGTTACTGATGGAGCTGGTAGCAGGCCCTGGCATCATCTGGGTGATGCTGGTTTTATGGGCATGCAGATATAAGAGTTGTAGAGTCAGGGAGGCTTCCACAGGGATTTCAGCAGAAGGCCTGGGAGGCTAGGCAATGTGCCCCTGAGAGGACATTGCATGAAGCTGTGACAATAAAGCTAAAAATGCAGTGCAGATCCCAGGAAAATGGAGAAGCCAGAAACATCTGCTGAGGAAACTAGTAGGCAGTGAGCAAAGCTATCCCAAGTGAGTGGTCTTAAGGGCTACAACCAATAATGCCACAACCATAGGGGCAGGGTAGCCCAAGCCATCTGGAAATCATATCCCACCGTAACTTGCCCCGCGTACTAATTTAATCAATCCCCTGCTGGGTTTTGGTCTTGCTTTGGTCCCATACCTTTCTATCCCCCTACTTCTGCCTTCTGGAATGGAAATGTTTAGCCTGCAACATTGAGTATGAGCAGCATTTAACATTTAGGGCTCACACCTAAATTGTTGCTTGAGTCTCAGAGAGGTCTTTGAATTTGGATTGTTCAATGATGCTAAAACTGTTTAAACTTTGGAGGCTCTTATTACAGCTGGACTAAATACATTTTGCATAAAAAGATGTACATGAATCTTCTGGGGACCAGAGGCAAAATGTTATGGCTGAGATCAAGAATGCCCACTAAAACACTGATGTGCTTAGACAGAGGGCTTTTGTAAGGTAACTGAACCATGAGGGCAGATATGATCTTAGGAGGTAGGGTCTGGCTAGAAGAGGGAGGTCACTGGGGGCAAGATCTCAAAGGATGTATCTCCCTCCCTAGCTCATCCCCTTGCCCTCTGCTTCGTGGCTGCCATGATCTAAGCAGCATTCCTCCACAGCAGGCCCTTCCACCATGTTGTTTTTGTGTTTGGGCTTGTCAACCATAGACTGAAACTTCTAAAACTTGAACCAAAATAAACCTTTTCCTTTAAGTTGTGTATACTGGTTATTTTGTCCCAGCATAGAGAAAGAGACTAAGACATGTATCCTCCATAGTGGTCATTTGGAAGAACCTGTAATACCCTTATTTTGGAGAGTCCTTTATGTCATATACATTCTAACTGCCCTTGACCACAAAATTCAACTTCACCCTTCCCTATAGGTAAGGAAAATGATGTATGAATAATTTACATAGTAAATGAAGGGCTGGGGATATAGCTCAGCAGCACAGCACCTGCCTAGCAAGTGCAAGGTCCTGAGTTCAATTCCCAGTACAAAAAAAAAAAAAAAAAAAACAACAACAACAACAACACACAGTAAATGAGCAACCCTCATCTGTTCAACACTGGCTGAGCTGAGATTCAGCTCAACTGAGCCTCCACTGGGATCTCCCCTCTCCAGTTACTCCTTCCCTTTCCTTATGCTAGCCTAATACCTGCATACCCTATCATTACTATATTTTGGGCACTCTTTAAAGGAAAAGCCACCTGCTTAACCATTTCTCAATTACCCACAGCACCAAACACACTACTGGGTTTATAGTACAATTAGAAGATATCTCTGAACATACTATTTTTGAATACTTGAAGTAGCAGTTTTCTAAATTATCTCAGAGTTCATAGAGCAAGAAGGCATAAAGTTATATATTAGGAAAAGTTGCACTATCTTCTTTTGCAATCCTTCTCTTCAATCAGGCCAGCTACACAGTGCCTTCCAGATGGCCAGAGCTTCTTATACTCAATAAGCATCTCGCCTCTCCTCCTATTTCAATCTCCCACAGCTCCCACAGTTATTTGTATTCAAATAACCTTGGCCAAATAGTCACAAGAAAACAATTTGATTGTTCCCAGGAAAATGCAGTCAATCTGCTTCACAGGAACAACAATCAGCTTTCTATTTCAACCCTATTCTTTCTTCCTCCTCCTAACTGTGCTCCAGAAATGTTCTTATTCTAGCATTAGAATTCAACATAAGACTTTCTCCACATTTGGGCAAAATACTATCTAAATGCCTTTGAGCACAGGTTTCTATTCACCAGGTTACTGACAAAGCTAACCCTCTGACCTGGAGAAAATCTGGCTTAAAAAATTATGCTATGTAACAATAAATGGGAATTTAAACTTCACAGTTCTTTGGTCTTCTCATGTGGATTTTGGAGCATATGGAAATGACCAAAACTAAGGAGGAACTTCATATCATAAAATGTTTCAAAGCTATACTTACTTTCACCAAAATCATCCTGGTGAATTGGCTGCTCCATGATTGGTTCAAAGTCTCTTGTCATCATAATCAGGGTCTGCTGACCTTAGAAATGCACAAATAAGAGTGACTGTAAAAATAAATCATAATGTAACGTATTTGCCATTCCATAAGCATCTATAGCACTATGAGCTACATAACCACAGGGAAGAGGGCTAGGGATTTAGCTCAGTGGCACAGCGCCTGCCTGGCAAATGCAAGATTATGAGTTCGATTCCCAGTACCAGAAAAAAAAACAAAAATAACCACAGGGGAGGAGCTATAGTCAGAAGGCACACAAAATACAAACAAAATGTTCTGGCTTTTAAAAAAAATAAAGCCTTTGACTAGGTAAGTCACCTGGTACTTATTCTTAGCAATTTATGTGTGGAAAGCAAAACATTAAAGTCCACATACCCCTGCTCTAACTCAACAGTTCTAGTTTCCAAGACACCTTTTCAAACATGTACCTCTGCAGTGGTACTGGTTTACTGAACTTATCAGGAATGAAGAGACTCAAAGGAAAAAAAAAAGGAATGCAAGAAATGTTTGTAGAATCTGTTTACACAGTAAATCCTGATCTAAGAGCAGGTTAAGACAAATACAGCTAACATTTTTAAACAGCAATTGTAGGCTTAGCAGCTTCCTTAAGTTTTATGACTTATTTTCCATTCCCCAAAACTGGAAAAGTTACATCAAACAACTTAACTGAATCATAAAAAGCATACTCTACATTATAACGCTAGTATCACCATTCAAGGAAATCTTCTGAAGCTTGAGCACACTGTAAGACATTAAGAGTACAGCTTTATGAAAGCCAAACAGGCACCAGTGACAAGCTTACCTGTGGCAAGAAGCACCAGCTCTTGGTCAGGACTCCAGCTCATGACAGAGATGCCACTGGCCACACTCCCAACACATTCTAGCTGTTACAAAGAAAATTGAAAAGGGAGGTGCAGAACAGTGTCTCGGTAAAGATTTACTATCAAAACAATCAAAAGCAAACATGCAGAAGTAAATTTACCCAACAAACACACACATTTTCAGTAACAAGGATCCAGAAAGTTTGACATTAGGCACCTGGCTTGGAACAGATACCCTATTCTTCCCAGCACTGCCTCATGAGGGAGATAAAACCACAAGTACTAGATTACAGCTCAGCGGCACGGCGCCTGCCTGGCAAGCACAAGGTCATGAGCTTGATTCCTAGTACCAAAACAAACAAACAAACAAAAAAAACCCCAGGAGTACAGCAGGAAGAGAGTTATAACTGAAGTTTCCAGGAAGTACAGTGGGTCTCACAGCAGGAAATAACACGTAGTGTGGGAAGTCCAAAAAAGTTTTTCTGTGAGGACATCTTGAAGAGTGACAACAAAGCCAGGAAAGAAGAAGATCAAGAGGAAAAACTGTTGAGGCACAAAAGCTTAAAAGTGTTTAAAATCAGCTATAACTAGCCCCCTATGTGTACGTGCACAGGAATGATAGCAGGGTGAAGCTGAAAGGGAATCTGGTGGACAGATAATTAAAGGTCTTATAAAGCACAAAGGATTGTGAACTCTGTCTTCCAAACAGCTGAGAAGCCACCAAGTGGCAGGATCAGCACCATAAGTGAAGATAAATGAACTGGAAAAGTTCAGTAACCAGGAAAGAAGTTCTACAAAATGTTTTAAAAGTAAATGCCTATCTCATAAATATTAGAAAAGTTATACATGATACCTTTTGATACTTCTCACCAATAAATAACTAAGGCTTATTAATGCATTAAATGGAATAATGATAAAAAGTGAAGGTGCCATAAGGTATGAGAATTCAAAACCTCATCTGATAACTGACTTTGCCTAGATATCTCAATTTCCTCTTCTGAAGAATGAGAAACAACAGTCTACCTCACAAGGATACAGTGAAGAATAAATAAAATTTTGCCTAAAACGCACATGAAAAAGTACCTGGCTCACTGAAAACAATAAATGGAAGCTGCTATTATGAGCCCACTATCAACACAGTCTAACTCCTATAACATAATCCATGTTAAAGTGATCACAAGGAATCAAATAATCAAAGAAGATTTTACAAGAATCAGGCAATTGCAACTTAAACCCCTGTAATCAAAAAAGTGAGGCTAGAGGTTCAGAAATTCAACCCTACACCTGAGGAAGAAAGAAGCAGGGAGCTAAAACCCATCTCGCCTGGTTGTCTTAAAATATGCTTGAAAAGACAGTGCATTACTTTTGTGCTTTTATATACTTCAGGGAATCTCATCAGTTTTGTCAGCATTCCTGACAGAAAGCATACACCATATAAACATTTCAAAGACTTCCTAAATTGAGAAATAAAGATTATAACCCAGAAATGAAGATTATTACCTGCAGATACCATGTAACACACACCACATAAGAACACAGTTTTCATTTATTTTTTAAGTTCTAATTTGCAATGTCCTAATTGGTCTGATTAATAGGGTATGGTAGACAAAACTGAGGTTTTCAAAAAATCCTGAAATATACTTAAAGCCACGCCAAAAATTTTTTATAAAAAAATACACAATACAGAGTATAATTTATAAAAGTTTAAATGCTATGACTGCAGATTAGAAAACCTCAACACAAATGAAGGACCTGTGTTGAGAATGCTTGAGATTCTCTCCTCACTGAACTCAGCTCCTCACCTGGTGTGTGCTGAGATTGCAGAGAATGACATCTCCAGAGGCCGTGGCCACACACACAGACTCTTGATCTAGCAAGTCCTGAACACCAACAATGCAGCCACTTCCATCCTCTGGAAGAAAGCCTTCCGCCACCAAAGAAATTTCATTTTTCACCTTTAACCAAAGCAAATACATAATTAAATTAACTTAGTCTACTTTAAGAACAACACTATTTCCAAAAATAACATACCTTCTGATGCTTCTTTTATAATGTAAAAGCCTTCGAAGTGTTTTTTTATAGATTAAATACCAAACTTTCATTTGAATAATATTACAACTCTCACATCTTTAACAAAAACAAGTGTTAGGTATGGTAATCTCTGTAATCTCAGCACTTGGGAGGCTGAGGCAGGAGGATCACTGTGAGTCTGAGGCCAGCCCAGACTACATAGTGAATTAAGGGCCAGTCTGAATAACATAGCAAGACCCTGTATTACAGAAAAAAACAAAACAAAACAAAACACAAACAAGTAATGTGATCTTTTTGCCAAACACAAAACAAACAAAATTTTCAACAAGTATGGTCTCTTTAAAAATATCCAGTCAGTCATACAGCTAATCACTGGTTTTACTTTGTTTTGTGGTGCTGGGGATTAAACTCAGGGACTTTACCATACTAAGTACATATTCTATTCTACCATTCTAAGTACATATTCTATATGTACTAAGTACATATTCTACTAGTACATATTCTCAGTATGTACTAAGTACATATTCTACCATACTACGTATATACTCTATACTTATTCAAAGTACATATTTTATTCTATTGTATTTTACACATACTCTATTGCTGAGCTACACCCCTAGCCTTATAACTGTCATTTCCCACAATTTCTATAATATAGAGAAAAGAAAGTAAAATGTAACCACCTAAAATACTTACTAGCAAAATATAATCAGGGGACTACGTCAAAATCAACTCACAGAACTTTTGGAAATAAAATATAATCAGATCGTATCTAAAGATTGGTTATTTAGCTAGTATGGGTCAGGGGTCCAAACATATTTAATACATATAACATCTTGAGTGCAAACCCAGCACCACAAAAAATAAAATTTTAAAAGTTCTAAGGCAATTTTCATATGCATTCCTAGTTGAGAACCACTGTTATAAACAAGACTGCATTGTAAAAAGGATAAAAGATAACCAACATAAGGTTATAGCTGGGTGTAGTGGCACACACCTTTAAGCCCAGCACTCAGAAGGTTGAGGAAAGAGGATTGCCACCAGTTTAACACAGTCTAGGCTGTATAGTGAGATCAAGGGCAATCTGAACTGCATATCAAGATCATGCCTCAAAACAACAAAATAAAATATATGCATATATTCAGAGCTGTGTCAGCTTAATAGCAGAGCTGAAGGCAGGACACTAGTTAAGCTTATATAGTAAGCCATCTATAAAGCAAAGAGAACATTAAAAAAAACATAAATTTATTAAGACATAAAGGAAGACTGCCTGGGAGGAGGAAATTTGGAAAACAAATCAAGGGTCATGCCAAGTGCTAGCATTCTCCATCAATAACTCACTTCTCGGGCTGGGGATTTAGCTCAGCAGCAAAAGCGCCTGCCTGGCAAGCGCAAGGTCGTGGGTTCGGTTCCCGGTAGCGGAGAAAAACCAAAAAAAAAAAAAAAAACTCACTTCTCTTGTGACAGGATTTACTTCTATCAGTCCACATTCTGAAGCAATGAGGACTGTATCCTGTTCAGTTCGGAGAGTGAAGCACTGAGGTTTCCCTGGTGCTGGAATATCCTTGAACTCCAGAGTCCGAACCAACTTTAGATTCCGCATGATGAAGCGATTCCTGAGAGAAAGATACAAATTTCCCTTAATGAACCATTAATACCTAAAAGAGAAAGGACAGCTTAATATTGATAAATGACTATCCTCATATAAAACAGAATTCACGGGGTTGAAAAATAATTAGAATAACCAAGACAAAACCTACTTATCTGAATACATACTCATATGCAGCTATGTGGCAGCAACCTGATGTACAGCTGTGGTCTACAAACTGGGAGTTATGCAATGTATTTTACGCTCTCAGTATTCCTTGAGAGGCACTATTCTTAAATTCAGAGTTTTTTGTGCAAAGAAGATTTATTATTGTTATTCCTCAGAAAAGTTGAAAGGCACAAAATGAATAGAAATCATTTTATTTTGGATATTCCCATGTATTTTTAAAGTGACAGGTATATAAAATCATAAGAAAAACTAAAGACACTACCCTACATACACTGGCGGTTCATAAAAACGTAGAATCAAATGACTTTCTAATCTACCAAGTACATTTTTTGAGAAACTAGTTTTATACAGTACACTCATAAAATAAAACTGAAAAAAAAAATAGAAATAAAAGTATTTATTGTTCTCAAAAGGAAAGATACTGTGAAATAGTTCACTTTAATGATGACCAATACTCTGAGAGGACTGATAACCTGATATAATTACTTCATCTCCCTGATCAGGCTGTTATACAGTAGAAAAGGTGAGAAAAGAATGTGAAGTAGAACATATACTTTGGTCTGACAAAATCAAGAGTTGCTTTTTAATGCAGAACATTATCTAAGTATGAAAAAATACTAATGTGCTACATATTTATAGTCTGATCCCTTTAAGTTCATGATGGAAGTCTCTAACTTATTTGGGCTGGCAACTACACAGGCCACAATGGCCTTACTGTCACTGTAATACAGGACAAATTCTCTCATCTTGGCAGACAGCAAAGATAATCCTTACAGTACACCAAAAATAATGTCACGTGTAATAATAATGATGCAACATAACATGGGTTAAAAGGAAGGCAAGAGGCTGGGCATGTGGTGCACACACTTACAATCTCAGTAGTTTAGAGACTAAGGCAGAAGGATCACTGTGAGTTCAAAGCCAGCCTGGACTACACAGTAAGACTCTCAGAAGGGAAGATCCTATAAGATGAAAGTAAGAAAATCAAGGCAACCAATAATTTTACTAAGTCTTGGTGACATAATATTTAAGATATTCTGGAAATTAGTTGAACCACATTATATCATGCAGGTTTTTAATTTACACCTAATTTAACATATATGGCTTGGGTTTTTCAAATCATATAGAAATTACACGTCTTTCATCTTTATAAGACCCCTGAAACAACAAAGACAGATCTGAAATGGGAGGATGGCAAAGGGAGTAAGCAAAAGAGTAGAAAAGATGAGGACAAACAGAGGGCCCCAGCTGCCTAGTTTGCTAATGATTTTTCACACTGGCTTATGTAATAAAGCTCTTAAAGGCCCCAGTTTCAACACGGTTGCACTGGGGATTAAGTTCCCAACATATAAACGTTGGGGGAGACATTCAAACCATAGCACATGCTGTCATTGTTGTGCTGTTCAGATCAGCCTAATCAGCCTCCATTTCCCTCCCTGTGAATTCTACTTACCAACCCGGGCAGCCCTGGGATGCACAGACTCCAGGATAAGAATATGGGAGGGTAAAGGCAAAAGGAGAGGCCTCATTCCTTTCCACTATCTTGCTGTTCCTGTCACTGCCTCCCTTTGTAAACAAAGGCCCTCACTCTCAGTCTGTGGTGCTTTCAGGACCACCCTCATCGCCCAGTTCCCAGTGGCAGGAGCATCAAACATGACCCATTCCAAACATCTAAAAGCCAGCCTTTGGGGTCTCATCTTCTCAGTCCCTAAGTGCTCACCCATAAATTCTGAGTCCCAGCCACACGGTCCCATCTACTCCAAGGTTTAGGTCCTGATAATCCCAACATCTTCCTTTGTTTTGTGCCCCCAACTTGAGGCACATTTTGTAGCTACTTTCAGTTTGCCTTCTATGTTATTTCAACGCCCCTTTCACCTTTGGCTCTTCCAACAGTTAAACAACCAATTCTTTATACTAAATCCTGCCGAAGTGCTGTGTGCTTTCTACTTTTCTGAGAGGACCCTGTCTGACAAACACAGAAAACAACTTGAGTTCTCAAATCACTGAGCTTTCTGAGTTCATGAGCCAGCCAAGGTGATTAATTTCTCTTGCACTCTAAAGGCTTTAGTCTGAAAACTACCTTCTCTCAATTTTCATATCCATCAGCTTTACTCCCTTAACTGCTCAGAGAAAGACTTTCCCACTCCTTTCAATAGAAAAATATCCTCCAAACACCCGCTGGACCTTGGTCTGTTAATACTCTTTGACATCTGCAATCTCCCTCTCCTACCTCCCTTAAATGTGCTGAAGATCCTCACATCGCTGGTCAAGCCTGGATCATCTCCTAATTTTCTGCCACCTCCTCCATTTCGCTCCCTTGCTCCTCATTCATCCAACTCTAGGCTAATCAGTGTGCCCAGGACAAGTACCAAGCAGATCACGTAATACGGTGACGAAACGCAATAAATGTCCAGCCCTAACTAAACGACTGTAGTCCAAAATGAACACCCCGATGTTATCACAAGCTTTTCTCACAAGCATATATCAATGCAACCTCAAATACGAAGAACTTGCTTTTCTTCCATCAAAAACAGTTCATCCTAATTTGGGACCTGCAATTTCCACTCTTTGTCCCTCAGCTAAAAACTGTCTTCGTATACTTTGTACTGGTCACTTCTGCGGCTTTCAGTATACACTGGACCCCTGCATGGAATCCCCAGGACTAACTGATTGGCCTTCGGCGGTATTATCTGCCCCGAGCCAGGAATCCGGAAGCTGGAGGAAGGGCCGCGAGGGGTGCAGCCGGTCACCGGGGGGTGCGGCGCCCAGCAGCACGCCAGCACGACTGCACGGGTCTGCAGAAAGAATTTAAGGCTCGAAGGAAGAAGTGCTCCACACCGACGGGCTACTGTGCTCTCCGCAGGCAGAGGCGCCTCGGGATCCCATGCTCCAGGACGCCCCTGCACCGCCTGGGCCCAGGTCCGCCCCCGACTCCGAGTGGCTCGCACGAAGGCTCACCAGGGCGGTGCAGCGCTCCCTGGACACCAGCACGTCCGCCGCCGCCGCCGCCGCCGCCAACGCCGCGCACAGCCGGCCTCCTGGAGCCCGCCCGAGACCGAGCCCTCGCCCCTGTCCCAGACGCCGAGGCTCTCAGAACGCACGCGTCTCCGGGCACAGAGCGCCTGGACACGCGCAAACACTCACAAGCGCCGCCGAGGGGAACGGCGCGCGCCACACGCAAGCGCGAGGCGGCGCGGCCGTGACGTCACGCAGCGCAGGGCGCGGCCGGGCGGGGCGGGCTCGCGGGACCGTCGCAGGGCCTTTTTCTGTAGCCCCGGCAGTGTGGAGGTAGAGGGACTGCGCTGACTGCTCTCTCCCGCCCCTCCGTCCTTCGCTCGCCCCGCCGTATTTGATCCCCTAATTTGCAGTGGAAAAAGCTCGGTAATTAGCGGCGGTGGGCGGAGCCTGTGGGCAGGGAGCAGCGCGCGTGCGTAGGACGCCAGCCGCGCGCCGTAAAGCTATTCTCCCAGCCGGACGCGCAGGGCGGAAGCGCTCGGGCCCTGGGGGGCACTCGGGCGGTGCGGGAGGTCTCCATGGCTACCGAGCCCGCGCCCGCGGAGCCCACGGCGCCTTCGCTAGTGGATCGTTACTTCACTCGCTGGTACAAGGCTGGTAAGTGCGGAATGATGGCGGTCCACTTGGCCGCATTGGCTTGATGATCTTGGACTACGATGGCAGAGGAAAAGCCACGCGTGCTCTTCCCCGCTCTTCTCCTTGTCAGAAGGAAGTTTACTTGATGTTACCCTCTAGTTGAGATGAATGGCATTTGCGAAGGCTTAGAGGCTTCAAATACAGCAGGGTGCCTTTTGGGGTTGGCGAGTGCAGTGAGAGCCCCGGTGTTAAACTGAGACACACAGACACACACACACACACACGAGACTGTGACCCTCCTTGAGCGCTGAGACAGACACACACACACACACAGACACACACACACACGAGACTGTGACCCTCCTTGAGCGCCTGGAAGGATTTGGTGGGCTAAATCAAATAGGGACTAGCCACTTAAAATATCAGATAGGGATAATAGGGGTAGTAGGGATGGACAGGCAGTTGCCTTTCAGGCACAGATACGGGAGAGTAGAATTTAATTTTGCTTAAAGGAAAAGCGCCGGTATTGTCCATTTGCTGTTTAGAAGTAGACACTCTTGTGTTTTGTCTATCAAAAATAGCGATGGCGGGAGCATCATTGGAGATTCCTCTAACCCCTACTCTCTCCCTTTCAGGGATAATGGCCGCACCATCTTATTTTGTAATAGTGTAGCATACGTTCTGTTGGGCACGTTTAGGCTAACCAACCATCCTGGTTCACCTAGGACTGAGGAGTTTCCCACAATGTAGGGGATATAATAATAGAATTTTTCCAGAAGAACTTCCCAGAGTATTTCCATGCTAACGTCAGAAACCATCAAAAATTGCTGTATTATAAAGACTGCAGTGCTAGTCACATTTTTCTAACAATAATATTCTCATTTTAAACTAAGGATAAAGCAAGAAGGAGCAAGAACTCAGTCACCTTAATGTTGAATAAATAAATCTGAATCTGATCTGTTTACATACTTCATAGTGAGCCTTAGGTTTTCAAGTAATGAAGGGATACCAGTGATAGCAGCATGAACTTAATCTTCGTAAGTAGTTTGTGAACCAAAGGAAGCACCACATAGTTGTAGTAAATATTCAATAACCAAGAGACTCATTTATTTTTCTAGATGTCAAAGGAAGGCCTTGTGAGGACCACTGTATACTACAACACTCTAACCGGTAAGCAAATTAGAAATTTCAGCTTATCGGGTTTTTTTTTTCTGGTACTTAGTCTCTATGGTCTCATATTGAACAGAACTTCAGTAAATCAGCATTCACTGTTATCCACTGTTCTATGGAAATGGCTTTATTATAGAAGTTTACCTGGCAGGAATGAGTCTTCCAGTGCCTAACTACTCTAACAGGTAAACTTGATTCCCAACCACGCAGATGCAGCACCATTTCCTCAGTCATCTGCTACCTAAAGCGCCAGCCTGTGCCTAACCACTGAACTACCAGAGCCTATGGAGAGGCCACAGTAGATACATTTGTGGTGTCCTATACCCACTGGCATCCGTTCCTTCCGCACCTCCTACCCCAGTGCTACCTAAAGACTTCTGGTACTCTTTCTTTTTCTGGGAAGGAAATCAATCCCATTTTCTTCTATTATTATATTCCCTATGCTACAGTTAGGCTCTGTGGAAAAAGTTAAGAGATGGTAGTTTGACTAAACAAATAGTTCAGGTATTCTTTTTTTTTTTTTTCCTCCGGTACCGGGAACCGAACTCATGACCTTGCGCTTGCCAGGCAGGCACTTCTGCCGCTGAGCTAAATCCCCAGCCCCTAGTTCAGGTATTCTTGTGCCAATAGAATACTGTGTAATAGGAGGAAGACTTCTACCAAGCAGTAACACAGGGTCATTTTCTTTCTCCTTGTAGAATATGTGTCATCACATTAGCTGAATCTCATCCAGTTCTTAAAAGTGGAAAAACAATTCAGAGTATTTCCTATCAGATCAGCACCAACTGTAGCAGACTTGAGAACAAGGTTTCGGGGAAATTTAAGCGGGTATGTACTTACAGTTCTGTGATTATCTACTAAAATCCTCTACATTCATAGATTTGATAGATCCAGTCAGCTTTAAAACCAGTAATATATATGCTCAACATAATGTCTCTAGCAGTTTTTTCAGGTATTGATTTTTTTTCATTGATTTTAAGTGTACTTTAACCCTAAAGAAATTCTTAGGCCAAAATAAAATGAGATACTTCACAAGGTAAAGACTCTGTTGTGTTAGGTTCAGCACCACCCTCAGGATGGAAGAGGTTGGGAAACCAGGCCTTTCAAAGGAGAGTTCTACCTGTATAACAAGATACTTTGTTTTTCTGGTTTTACTAAAGCGGTATCTCAAGTTCTATAAAATTTAGGTGACCAACTCTTCTTCACCACATATTTTTCACATGTAAATTAAAAAGAAAAAGAATACAGTATTTACCTTACCACTTTTCTAAAACTAAAACACTGTCGCTCTTAATGGTTTATCCATCTCTTCCACTTCCACACAGTCGTCAGTTACACAAAATGTTATCTTTACCCTCTACAATTCCAGGAGGACATGTTATCAAAAGGAGGTATCACACTGAGGTCAGTTTGGTTACATATTAAGTATCCTGTTAAACTGAGTGGGTTGGGAAAATTCCGATGGGTGATTTTGGTTCTTTATTTACTGAGTTCACCATAAGACTTTCTGTTAATCATGTTTATTATTCCAAGAGGCCCTAGTCATGTGCCTTACAATTATTGATTCTCCTCACTTAGGAAACAAGTGGATTTAGAAAAGCATGCACCTTTCTTACAAGATAAAAGTCTACAAACGATAGCAGTGATGCTGAACCTTTTGGAGCGCTCAATGATTATGAACAGCTAGCTGCAGCAGGCAAGCCATAGGTTCGCCACCACTGAATTTAGTAACTGTTAGTGCTTATGAATCTCTTGTGATAAATCAATTTTCAAAATGGTAACAGTGCGTTTACTAATGAGGAGCAGAAAGGAATCTACATATTGAGTCCACCACAGAGAAGTTTTGATAGCATGTCAGAACTGTCAGTTCTTTATTCTCCCAAGCTTAGTGATGGAAAAAAAGAATTCACAACTGTTCCTTTTTTTGGTGATGGTATGGGGGATTGACCCCAGGGAGCACTGAGGAATACCCGCTACGCATTTTGAGACAGCGTCTCACTAAGTTGCTCAAGCTGGCCCCCAACTCGTGATCCTCCTTTCTCTGCCTCCTGAGTAGCTGGGATCATAGGCATGTACTACCACCATGCCTAGTTTACCTCTGCCATTTTAACGGAGATCCAGTTGTAGATATGCTTTCTGAGACTAATCCCCTCCTTCCTTCCCAAAGCAGAGTCAGATTCTGGTATTTTGAGAGGAAGTACCAGATGCAGAAAAAAGAAGCCAAGGTAGTAACATCTGAATACCATTTCATAACGTTCTGTGTGACAAATAAAGAAGTGAAAGAATAGGATCTTAACTGCAGATGCCTATGTTTACTATAGGAAAATTGCTGGAAAAGAACAGGGGGGTGTGTAAGACATGTCTGCCTCAGCTCTCATGAGCCTTGTAGATAACTGTCAGAACCTTCCCAAATACACCCATCTAAGGGAGCACATGAAGCAATAGCCATAGCATAATATTTAAAAAGATGTATGTATCAAAATGAACAAATGGGCTACAGGATAGTGGGTGAATTATTTTCATTTTGCTACTTAAAATTTTGCTGCTTCCCAGATTTTCCCCAAGAGCATGTTTTTGTTTTTATCCTAGAAAAATATCCTTTGTTCAAAAAACTTACTGATTCAGATAAAGAAGTTCCTTTTATCTATTAAGTAAGGTAGGAATCTAATATAAAGGGAGAGAATCTTGCTGAAATTTTGTACAATGTTGTCATACCGTAATTATGAGTTTTATATTATTGCTTGTTGGTAAATTTTCCTGCACTTTAAAATCTGTATACCTAGCTATATGTAGCTTTCTCATTTACAGTTGAAAGAATGTATTACTAGTCTATAACTAAACTACCTATTATTCAGCTGTTTTTCCTATAATACAGGGTGATACTTAGTAAATGGCACTTATATAAATTTGAACATATGCACAACTTGTACATAGTCATTTTTATTTAAGACACCAGTTCCAGGATTAGATCCTATGGCTGCCTCTCAAAGGAAAGTGGAGCTGTCTGTCAATTATTTCTTCCTTCTCATTACCCAGGGGGCACAGTTTCTAACAGAACTTGCACCTTTGTGTAAGATTTACTGTTCAGATGGAGAAGAATACACCATATCTAGGTAAGTAACTTGTTAGCCGCCATTTAGGAAAATGGTATCTTAACCTCAAATGCCTGTATTCACTAAAAGAAAACTTCCTGTAAAAATGATTTTTTTTCTTAAAAATGATTCTTTTCAAATAGCTGTGTTAGAGGACGGTTGATGGAAGTAAATGAAAACATTCTCCACAAGCCATCTATTCTTCAAGAAAAGGTAAAAGAGAGGGCAAAAAGTGTGACCCCATCCTGTACCTCTTTTCAGATTTTTTGGCAACTGATAGTACTTGTCTGTTGCTTTTCCAGCCATCCACGGAGGGCTACATTGCAGTTGTGTTACCCAAATTTGAGGAAAGTAAAAGCATAACAGAAGGTTTATTGACACAAAAACAGTATGAAGAAGTCGTGGAGAAACGCAGTAATGGCACAGCGGGTACCTCATGAGGACTGAGGTTCTCACCCTGCCTGACTTAAGCCGTGAGTGAGTGCATTAATGAAGAACCAGGGTGCGTGAGGCGTACTTCACACCCAGCCATCAGCGGGGACTCATTCTGCGTTCAGCCTCGTTTCCTCCGTGTCTCATATAACAAGTCCACATTTGTCTTCAGCTCCCAGACCTACCCTGCCCAGGTGCTCCCTGTGTTCATCTCTTACCTCTGTCTAACAGTTGGCAAATAAGGGATATTTTTCTGATTAAAAACAAGCACACTTTAGCCAGGCATAGTGGTGCATGCCTGTAATCCCAGCTGCTTGGGAGGCTGAGGCAGGAGGATTACAAGTTGGAGGCCAGCTTCGGCAACTTAGCTAGGCACTGTCTCAAAATAAAAAGGGCTGGACACAGCACTCTGGGTTCAAATTCCAGTACTTCAAAGGGAAGAAAAAAAGCTAAGTGGCCTTTCTTACCCAGTGTGCTTCAGTGTAACATATGAAAAGTCTAGTGTCACTTCCACCTCAGCCCCTCTTCCTAGGTTGTAGGTCAGAGGCAGAAATGTGGCATGCGCCCTGTCTCCTGATTATGTCAACAGGACAGCCTTCCCCTCTGAAACAAAGTAGAACTGTAACACTGACTTGTTAATGAGAAGCACATGAAAAGGCTTTGAGAAAACCCAGAAGGCTTTTCTAGCAAATGTAAGTATTACAATGCAGGGTTATGCTGGTCCCAGCAAATACACTGTAGTCACTCGGTCTCATACATTGTAGTTACAGTTTACTTCTAGCAAAGCCATTACTGGAGAATATGTCACTCATGCCAGCGTGGTGGCGCACGCCTGTAATCCCAGCACTCAGGAGGCTGAGGCAGGAGGATCACTGCAAGTTCCAGACCAGCCTGGGCTACAAAGTGAGCTCAAGGCCAGCCTGAACTGCATAGCGAGACCCTGTCTCAAAAAGACCAAAAAAAAAAAAAGGTCACTCAAAGGCACAGATGCCCTGGGACAGAACAAAGATGGTCACATTTAAACTAGAAAAACACAATTTATGGTTTAAGATTACATAGTAAATACACTGAATTTCAACTAAAGGATTTTAAATCTTATTTTTTTTCCTTAAAGAGTATAACATACATAGATTTAAACATTCTTGTTACATAAAATAGCTTCATGCAGAAGAAATTATTTGATGTATAAATTCCTTTGGTCCCTTATCCTCCTGTGCTGTTGAAGTCATGTTAGCCCTTCCCTGCCTGCACACGCGCTTTCACAGGTGGATGAAAGTAAAACTTTAAAATTATTATTGGTTCACAAGAGAAAATTCTTACAGTCCAAGTGCTAGGCTGACTGTTCCCTCAGTGTACCCACCATACCTGACAGATCACACTAAACAGCGGTGGTGCTGACCTGAAAATGTACACACGAACCAGTAGATCTCCACTTCAGGTAACACAATGATTCCTGAAGACTTCGTGTAAAATGATAGGAAGTGCAGTAAAAGAACTATGTGGGGTATAACATCACCTCATATCATTCTCCTGGTATTTTTATTCTATCATTTAAGAGTATTTTGATGTCACAGAATAAAAATCATGCTTGATGATTTTTTTTATGCTTGATGGTTTTGACAGTATTTTATAAAGGTTTTAACCAAGCTGTGCGTCTAATTTTCTTCCCAAAGACAACAAAACATTGATATAGCTAAGTGGTATTACTGTCATTCTTCAAGGGACCTTTTATGAATGCTGATTGTATGGGTAGCCCAAATCATCAGAGCAGCTAACCTTTCCACTGCCATTTGGCAATTGACTGACATTACTGATTTCAAAATGAATTTCAGAGCATGAGGACACAGACACTGACATGATTCTCAAGGAAGTAAACATAAGGAGAAAACCAGTAAACCACACCCTTCTACTAAACCCTCACCCCACAAAATCAAAACCTTTAAACCATAAAGTTTAAAAGACTAAAGATGTTTATTTGTTTTATAATGAACATTCCAATGCCACATATATAAAATATAGCATCCAGAATTTAAACAGCTTCATGGTTTCAATGTTCTGTTTTTATTTGCCATTCTATCTGTCAACACTGAGGAGAGTTCAAAAGTGTTTAAAGCAGTAACGAAGACTTAGGATTTTCATAGGACTAACTAGCCAGTTATTGAAGAGTTAAAGGCAGAGATAGCCATCTTGTCTCCTCCAAGAACTGCTTCAGGGTTCCATTACCTCGCTTTAGACAGGAGGGGAGTGACACACGGAGCCTCACGCAACCCGCTGTACATGAATTGTTGCTAGAGAACAGCACTGGTACCAGCGTGGATGACTGATCCGTAATGGGGTCTGAGGAGCTCTTGTCACGTGGGCAGGGGGACTGAAGAAGAGCCCACAGGTTTAAGAAAAACCCTGTGTTCATTCCAACTTCTACATATTTTCCTCCAAAGTTAGTTTCCTAAATGATAAGCTTAAATAAAATAGTTCAGGTACAATATGCCAGAGCTGAGCATATTGAAAATAGCTTCTTTGGATGCAGCTGTCATTAACAATTAGGATATTTGGTTTATCTTTTAAAGAACAATATTAGTGCAATGTTCCATTTTAAAATCACACTGCAATTAAAATTCTAGCAATTACCAAGACATTTATTAGTTGACAACTTCACGTTCTGAAGATCAGAAAATTAAGCAGTGTTGTTTTCTTTATAAAACTGTTAAATTTCTGCCAATAGGAAAGCATTGTTTGCGTCTTTGAAATGCCGCTTTCGTCACGATGTTCCAGAGGTCTGGCCCCAAAAGCTCAAGTGTTACTGTCCGTGGTATCTTTATTTGTAACTGAGACCCACCTGCCATTTTCCATCTGAAGCTGGAAAGAGTTAAGACAATTAGCTTCTGCTTTGCTTTGAAGAAAAAGATACAAGATTAGTAAATATTTTTCTTTACACAAATAAAGAAGGAGTTTAAGATAGAAAAACCACCTCACCTTCTTCAGCAGCTTATAGCAAAGTGAGAGCAGCTGGACCAACAGAGCCATCATGGATCTTGTCTTTGTAATACACTTATCAACCTACAGTGACAGAAAGCACGCAGATCACACACTCAAAGTGGCACTTTAAAACTTTACCATTTATTTAGTTTTTAAATGAATTATTTCCCCATCATGGCACTCGAGATCATCAAAGGTAAAGATTTAGGCACCTGAGATGACTTTAACCCCAGACAGAACACAGGGACAGGTCACTGCCCAGCTGTCATGCATGTTTCATGGAACACAAGGAAGAATGGGTAGGAAAACACCTGTTCTGCTGCAGGCCATTTAGAATTCTCTCAGAACAGTCCACAGACTGGCAGTGAAACCCCTACCCTGCCGTTCCTTGCACTCTGTACATTTCCTTAGGGAAACTGGCAGCCCAGATGGAGGTGTTTGTGCCTCAGACAGGTGATGCCCTAAGGACTTCAGGGTAGCTGCTCAATGCCCTGGAATTAATCTGTGTCCAAAAAGCTCATATGGTTTGTTGTCCCTGCTGTCCCCTGCAGGCAGTTATAAAGCAGATAATAAGTGATCCTGTTGGTCAAGGCATGAAAAGTAAATTGCCCTTTGGATATTAACACTTCCCCCAAAAAAGCAGCAGGAGCTAACCTGGTAAGGACAGAAGTCTACATGCTTCTCACATGCCTACCTGAATAAGCCACCCTGTCTTTTACCTTTAGAAATACTTTATTCTGCAAAGATGTTTTAGTTACAGTCTGGAGCTGGTGGCATAGAGGAATTAGCTTGTTTATTTCCAGAAGAAGCATAAGCTTGTCATCGTCTTTCAGCTGAAAGGTAATTTAGGAAGCTATAACAACTTCAACAAAACTCCATCTTTAATACTTTAAATACCTTTATATCTTAATAATATACTAATATAATACATAGACATAACATTCCCCACCAGCCCCAGACAGGCTGACGTGTTACCTGTTTTGAAAAAGCTTGTACACTCGAAGTAAGCTTTAATCCTTCTGCAGCGAAAACCTGGTAGAAAGGGAGAACATCACTATGTTAGGTTGATGTCTTACGGGTAGGTGTTAAGAAATACACTCATAGTTTTAAAAAATTAACATTTTTAAAAAATGTGTCATAGAATTCCTGAAGTTTTTGTTGTGCCTGGAAAACACAAAGGTTTACGCGAGTCAGAAGTCTCCTTGTGACCCAATACAAAGTCAGTCCCTGGGAATGTTTCTCTGTATCTGGAGACCTCTAATACTGATACTCAGCCTGTGATACTGAACCATACAAATTCTGAAGGGATCCTGAGCTTACCTCATCACCTTTTAAAAAGGGTGATAAATCTTGGGGCAGGAGGGAAAGTTTAGAACTTTGCTGCTTCCACCTAAATAAGATTAAATCTGTCCCCTATAAACATTCCACAACCAACAAAGGTACAATTCGGATTGCTTTCTGCTGTTCCAGATTGACTGGCTGCCATGCATTTTACAGTTTAGTGAACAGAACAAGATGATGATGAGAAGCAGTGAAAAGTAAGATTGGACAGGTAAGACAGGGATATTTCAGATGTTGGAAGGACATGTAGAATATTTTATAGTGAGCAATAGCACCAGGCTAAAGGGATGAAGACAGCTTTAGGTGGGAGCCATAATAAGGAAGAGAACAGGGCAAGTCTAGGAATCATTTAGGAAGAATGATGAGTCTTGATACTAAGCTAAATAAAAAATACGGAGGAGGAAGCACTAATTCCAGGTTTTTACCCTTTATTCACCAGTCTTAACACTTTGCTGTTATGGGATGTTTCCCTATCCTTTGAAAGGGAAACCAGTGAGCTTTCTATCTAGAGTCTAACCAAGCTGGATGATCTACTTTCCCATGTGTTCACATTACTGCCTGCTGTTCTAATATATCTTCTCTTTCCTTTTTAGCCTGCAAACCCCTGGGTGCAGGGTGCAAGTTGTCTTAGAATATAATGGTTTAAAACAACCTTAAAACCAATAACTCCCATCAGCCTCAGTGATGCGCACTTGCAAACCCAGCTACTCACGAGGCTGAGGCAGGAGGATAGCAACTTCAACACCATCCTGGACATCTTAGACTCTTGCCTCAGAAAATAAAAAAGGGCCGGGTGTGTAATTCACTAGCAGAGTGCCCTGGATTTGATCTCCAGTCCTGCAGATCGAACACCAGATAACTCCCAAGTCTCCATTTCTGAACAATCCTGACATCCGTCCTGTGAGTTCTACTTGCCCTTTGTAGTCAATATGAGCAAAACAAATACTCCAAATCTTTCCATCCTCTCTGATGTCCTCCAAGCTCTGGGTGCCTTATCGGTAAATGGGACCGTCCTTTACCATGTGGTCAGCTCAGAAATCTTACAGAACATAAAATCAGTCACTGCTTCTCTGAACCCACCATAAACATCAAGCTTGGAAGAAAAGTTCTTCCCTGGCCTACAGAGTTGTCACTTTCTTCTGGCTCGCTCCACTTAGCTATGGTTGCTTCCTTACTCTTCTGTTTTATTTAGCCCCACCCTTAGATCCCAGGGCCTTTGCATTTATTCTTTCTGAAATACTGTACCCCCTCTTATCCATCCAGCTCAGTCTCTCACTTCATTAGTGTTTCTATTCTAATGTCATAACCTTAGAGAAGTCTTCTGACCTCCCGCATTACCTTTATATTCTTAGCCTACATGATTTTATCTCCAAGAACTTCAATATATGCAATAGATACTTTGTATTTTCTTTCTCTTCCCACTAGAACATAAGCTCTGGGGACTAAGCTTTGCTGAGTTCTCTTTTTCCACAGGGCTCTTACCTGACACGCAGTATAAGTTTAATAAAAAAATTTTTAATGTAAGATGCCACTTAATGGTCATCCCGGTTGGGAACAATCAGCAGGCACTGGTTTAATGAATCATCTCTTCCAGAAGAAGGTGAGTAGCACACAGCTGAGAATGGACATGAACCAAACCCAACAGAATGAATCCCAGATTCTGTCCAGCTGCTTTAAGGGAAATAGCTTTTTTATAGTCTACTTCATATAAAAATCCAGAAGAAATATTTTCTGCACTTCTTCTATGTTGACAGTCATCTGCTTAACCTGAAATTGTTTTCCCGAGGAGGTTAGGGTAGAAGTACACGGAAGCACCAAGGAAACTATACGGGAGTTACAAAGTGGTACAGATTTCAACTTCAAAATGCACAAATATCTTGGCAAACAGGTTCTTGTAGTGGTCAGGGAAAACAGGAAGGGAATTTTGCAACCTCCTTGGCAATCTAAAGACACTACCCGGAGGGAGGAGAAGTGGAGACAGTCATATGTGGGGTTCCATTAGACAGGGCCGAGAGGAGAGTGCCAGCACATCTGTCTCCCAGTAAATGCCCCACATCAGCGTAAATGTGGAAGGAGGGGACAGGAACATGTACTGAACACCCTTTAATGGTCTCCAGCCCCTGACAGCAGCTTTCATATGCACTGTCTCATTAATTCAGCATCATTCATCCAGTGTAATAATGACAAGTCAAAACCTTTCTAAACTTCCGGAAGGTACAAGGGATTGTACCTGCTCACTGGTATACAATCATCTACTTGGGAAAACCTAAAGCTCACTGCAACTATTGACTATCCATAAAGCCTATTCAACTTTATCCCCATAATACTTGTTTCTTTCTAATGAGATAACCAAGAACGCTCCATAAAATGTTACAGCAAACCTCTCTACTTTTCCTCTACTCACTATGGTACACAGGTGTGTATACATGCAAACACAGCCACATGAAATAAATCACTTAGAAAACCACTTAAAACCCACTTTTGCCCATAACTAAAGTAGTAGCATGAAGTAAAAAAGCATACCTCTAGGTGATGAATTAAATCCTGGGAAGTTTTCAGTGGCCCCTCTCCTCTAAAATAAAATGAGTTATTAAGAAAGTAAAAAAAAGTTCTTGCCAGGATACTGTTTGTATAATATTAAAGTTTTAAAGTACTTTGTATAGTAACAGTTCACAAATTTTGAATAATATGAACAGACTCATAGGGACTTTTTTTTACTTTTGTGAGTTGATTCTAAAAGTAACTTTAATATTTCTTATTTTTTAGGGTACTTCCCTCCTCCCCTGTAAACACTGTATATGTTAATTTCATAATGTAAGAAGTTTAAAACTGACAAGTTATTTTTAAGTTCTATTTGTCCTTTTTACTTTTTTTTTTTTCATTTTGTCCATGAATTAAATACAGGAGATGTCATAACCAAAAGACCTTTATTACTCAATGGAAGCAGGATCAGATCAAAAATCAGGAAGTTCTCACTTGTACTTGCAATTTAAACTCTAGTAGAAACTCACTTCGGCTTTGATAAGGCATATTATTTAACCTTTAATTCTAAATGTAGAAATTATAATAATACGTGTGTTACTAGTCTCATCAAGAGATTGGAAATACCAGATTATCAACTATCAAGAAGAATTAAAAACTAAAAAAATGAAAAGTAAATTATAAGAAAAATAATAAATGCACTAAGGGAACAGTGGAGGTTAGATGTGGTGGTAGCATGTTTGCCTAGCAAATGTAAGGTCCTGGGTTCAATCCCCAGTACCCTGCCTCATTTCCAAAAAGGAGGAGCAATGGACTGGGCATAAATCAAATCTGCACTCTGGTAGCCACCAGCTCTGCCTCTTAATAGCTGTGAGATGTGAACAAATCACTGCTGTTCCTTGTTAAACAGAGGATCAAATGAAATCATGCAGCAAAACCATTTTAAAATCTATAAGGCTTGCCGGGCATGGTGGTGCACTAGGGAGGCTGAGGTAAGAGGATCATTGCAAGTTTGAGACCAGCCTGGGCTACAAAGTGAGCTCAAGGCCAGGCTGAACTGCATAGCGAGACCCTGTCTCAAAAAAAAAACAAAAACAAAGCTGGACTCAGAGTCCAGCCCAGTGGTAGCGCACTTGCCGCTAGGCAAGTGTGTGAGGCCCTTGATTGAAGCCCTAGTAAAGCAAAAGGAAAAAAATACTATAAGGCCCTGCTTACATTTGATATTTTTTAAACTAGAAGGTACTATAGAATTGTAAACATATATATTATTAATATATATGAACTATTACATATAAATTATTCAGAAACCATGTAAGTTATTTCAGTGAACCTAAACAGTAGCCTGAAGAAGGGATGTAAAGTTGCCCAGGAAAACTGAATCTTGCTGCTGCAAAGGCCCACAATTGGTCTTAGAAATAAGTACCTAGATGAGGTTGGTGAACCACAGATTTTAAGGGAAAATGGAAAAGACTGTTAGGGAGAACAGGTATATAAACCTGTGGTAAGAAACAAAACTAATTTAAAAAAGAAAAAATAACCTGACATTTTACCACTAAGAGGCAATTACATAACCAAGATTTGCCTAAATGATACAAGGTAATCATCTATTACAGAAAATTTCCCTTTCTTGCAAGTCATCATTCCTACCCACTAGGATAAATATGGTTATATTTTAGAACAAGTCTCAATCCACGGAACTTTAGTAATCCCTACCCCTCATGGATCTTAACCTTGATAGGATGTACCTTATCTTTGACCAAAATCTACTATTTATTCTGACTTTGAAACAAAAAATGCTGACCATCTGATCCTGAAATACTCTGAAATAAGAACTAATGAATACATTGAAATAGGGCTGTAATTTGTACGTCTTGCTGCCAGGTGGCTCTGAGTGTATGGACCTGCAGTGCTACAAGCATAACTGTCCCACTGGGCAGCATGGGACAGTCCCATCCGGTGGTACAAACTGCCTGATGGAACAGTCATGCATATACCACCAGTGGTTCAAGCTGGTGGGAACGTGTTAAACAGGCAGTTAGTCTTTTAAAAAAAGCTGATGAACCCTTTGGGAAGATTTTTATATATCAAACTACATTCATTAAGTTAATGTATTTTTTCAGTTTTTATTAGTTGAAAACTTTTTAAAAGCATCATTTTCATGCCAATTAGTGATAAACTAGCACGAGTCCAGCCAAAAGTTGAAATTTTTGTTATTTCAGTAGTCTGTGGAAATTTATTGTGCATACAAGAGTTCCAGTTTGTGTTCTTTTGCAGACTTGAGGCATGAGATTTTAAAAAGGAATCCACCAGGAAAGGAAGCTGTTGTGCTGGGAAGACTCAATCACAGGAGAACCTTGCTAAAAATGATTATGAACAAAGGAAGCGAACCAACAAAGAAGAACAGTCTCTAAGTGATAAGCCATTAACAGATGACAGCTAAAGAGCAGCAAAATTACAAATGCCTATCATTTCAGCCTTCCCCCTCCAGAAAAATTATCCACCTGGAAAAAGCAGAAGGCAGAAGACATCACCAAAAGGAAAATGAAGTTTCTTAGCTAGGAAACGCTTCTTCACTGCCCCCTATCTTTTTTATGAGGGAATCTCCACAGATCTACCATCCCTCCTCGCTCCTCTGCTGCCTCACGCCTCCTGCCATTAAAAGGATAGACGCTCATCTTTTCACTCTTCCTGGTGACTTTGCAGAAATGATTTGAATATTACAGCTCTTTCTTTCTTCCATTTGCACCTGCAAGTAAAGCTGCCTCGGAGAGATACCTGCTCTTCCAACATGTTTATGGAGACAAATTCTGCCCCTATAAGGTAAGATGTCTTGATTTGGTTTGCAGTATTGGGGATGGAACCCAGAGCCATCACATTAAGCTGCATCGCCAGCCCTTTTTCTAATTTTAATTTTAAGATAGAGTCTCACTAAATGACTAAGTTGCTGTGCGGGATAGGCTTGAACTTGCAATCTTTTTGCCTTAGCCTCCCAGAGTGCTAGGATTACAGGCACACACCACATGCCCAGTGAAGGTAAGATTTCTTAAGTCTAGGGCTCATTTTTTAAAATGTACTTTGCATGTAGAGATAAACTACATTCTATAATATCAGTTTTATTAATCTTTCAAGACCAGAATGAGTAGGAAAAGGGTTAGCTAAAAGGTATCAAATATTGGTATCAGTTATCTTCCAGGTTTCCAGAAAAAGAGAAAGAGATTGCAAAAAGTAAATGAAAACTTAGAAGTTGTTTCTTTTTTTTTTTAGTACCGGAAATCAAATTCAGGACCTTGCACTTGCCAGGAAGGTGCTATGCCACTAAGCTATATCCATGGCCCCTGAATTTTTTTTTTTTTTTGGTCTTTTTGAGACAGGGTCTCACTATGCAGTTCAGGCTGGCCTTGAGCTCACTTTGTAGCCCAGCTGGTCTCGAACTTGGCAACAATCCTCCTGACTCAGCCTCCCAAGTGCTGGGATTACAGGCATGTGCTACTACACCCAGCTGAAGTTGTTTGTTGATAAAATTCTAGAACAGATCATTAAACATATAACATTATAGCTACGTGGAATTACTATACAATGTGTATAAGTTACTGTCATGAAGACTATGGAATCTGATCAATGCTAATTTCAATAAGGAATTTAAAAAAAAAAATAAGGCGTTTAAACCAGGGGTGGTGGCACACGCTTCTACTCCCAGCACTCAGATCACTGAGAGTTTGAGGCTAGCCTAAGCTACATAGTGAGTTCAGGGTTGACCTGGACTACACAGTAAGATCCTGTCTCCAAAAAAAGGCATTTAATTAAGAGCCTTGTAACATGGACAAGACAGAGAATGGAAGAAAGATAAAGTTTGAGAAATTCTCATCTCCATAATGAATGCTGACTCAGAAATTTGGCAACCTACAGAGGTAGGCCTCATAGCTCCATTCATTGGTCTATGTTTAATCAATCACTTTATAAAGTTATAAAAGGTGTGCTCAGTCAGGCGTGATGGCACACACCTATAATCCCAGTTACTCAGGAGGCTGAGGCAGGGGAATCACAAGTTACAGGCTAGCCTGGCAACTTAGTGAGACTCTGTCTCAAAAAATAAAAAGAGCTGATGATGTAGTTGGGTGTGGTGGTGTATACCTGCAGTCCCGGAATCCCAGGCTGAGGCAGGGGAATTGTTAAGTCTGAGGGCTACCTGGGCTACATAGTGAGTGTAAGGGCTCCCTAGATACATAAAGAAATGGATAAAAAGAGCTGAGAATGTAACTCAGTGGTAGAGCACCTCTGGGTTCAACCCCCAACTGTGAAAAAAATAGAAAAGAAACAAAAGACATGTTCTCTAAACATACCGATGCTGGCTGAGACACACCGATATGCAAGATGACAAAAGCATAATGTAAAACTATTTCAAGATTTTGGAAAGAATGGCACACATAGGTCTCTAGAAAAAGATCCTTTCTAAATCTAAGTCTTCATTAACTGTGTCTTCTTGCTGCATCTGCTGAATTATCATCGTAACTACTTCTCGTCTTTTCTTACCATATATTCACTGCATTAACCTATCTATGATTTAATATAGCACTCTTTCTTTTACCACATATTGTTATACTGATCATAAAAATCAAAGTGTAACCACATTACCTGGTGAATAAATATAGAGAATAGGCCATCCTGGACATGTTCCGTCCATATCGAACAATCTCGTTCTCCTGATCTTCCCACTTCTCAATTTCGCAGTCGGCATCGGAAGTAAGCAAGCCCAGCTTCAGTCCAAGCTTTGCAATCTTGGCTTGCTCCTGCAGATGTACATCATATTCACAACTTTGTCAGGACTGACACGAAAGGAAGGTTAGATGTAAGACGATCAGAAAGGAAGAGGTCTTACCTCAGAGTCAGGCTTGTCTGGCTTCAGTGATTTGTTTACGTTGTTCTTCTGTGACAAGAGAAAGATTGCGGTATCTTAGAAGGCAGTCCATTTAAATGTAAGGGAATTCTACAGTAATAGTGTAACTTGTAGTAAAGTCTAATTTTAACATATCTAGTATATAGTTAAATTATATTAAGTAGTTTAATTAAACAACCAACCAATTGCAAATACTCGACTAGTAGCTGAGTCCAGCTTTGAGTGGGTTGCTGGTGGAGTGAAGTCTGGGGCTGGCCAGGAAGAAAGATCACTGTCCTCTGCTGCTCTTGTCCTCTGCTTGCAGCTGCACTCTTCTTTTTGTATGGGCTTCAGTGGCTTCAGGACAACTTCTGCAATACTCTCCTATCCAGTACTAACGTCCCCCACAAGCCTCCCTGGCATCTCTGTTGCAACAAGTTTATAATGCTTCAGTTCTTCTTATATTAAAATCACCACTATAAGTATTTTTCTATTCTTTCCTAATAGTTTGGACTCTGGGATTCAATTCCTTTATCTCCTGTGCCCTTAGATGGCTAAATTCCAACACTGTACTTTGACGTCACAGTTGCTAATTCTGTATCTCGCAATGTAAAGAAATTATACTGCGAACTTAAGATTTAGTATGTGAACCATTGTTTAACCATTTCCTATTTTTGAAAATCAAGGCTGGGGATTTAGGTCAGTGGCACAGCACTTGCCTGGTAAGTGTGAGTTCCTGAGTTCAATTCCCAATACAAAAAAAAAAGAAAAAGAAAAAAAAAAATATATATATATATATTGCCTAGGAGGGATAAATTTGTACACATTAGGTTATCAGGATAGTCCACAGGTATTTACTTGAAGAAGAGAGTACCAGGATAGATCCTACCACTACCAACAGCAATATTTCTTTGAAAATATATTCAAAGGTTCTCTGGAGATGATAGCCCAAATGGAGGATCCCTCCAAGTCTGAGATCCAGTGGTAGCTACCACAGTGGAGGCAGGAATTCCAGAAGAGCCAGAGCCAAAAAGTGGCCAGCAGATGGATAAAGCCATTTTAAAAATAGAAACATATTTAAGTTATATATGCACACAAAGACAAATTGGGTATGTAATCACATACATGCACATAAAGTGTAAATTACAATGAAATGAAACACTCAGGTCTTGTTTAGCTTAAGAAAAACATCATTAGCAATAATACCTCTCAGCTGCAAATACAGATGCTCCTCAACTTACAGCGGGGTTATGTATGGATAAACCTGTCATACACTGAAACTGTCATAAGCCAAAAATGAATTGAATACCCTAACCTACAGACCATTATGGCTCACCCATACAGTACACTGTCAATCATCAGGTTTTTTTCCCTTCAAGATCCCACGGCCCAGGCTGTGGCTCATGGCACCTGCCCAGCGTCATAAGAAAGGATCCTACCACTGACCACAAGCTTGGGAAGAGGCTGAAATTCAAACTTCAAAGCACAATTTCTATCACAGTGTGCACTGTTTTCGCAGCACTGTAAAGTGAAACAATTCTAAGTGAGGGACCATCTGTGCGTGCATGTGTCTGTGCATGCGTGTGTGCATAGAGTCAGACACCACAAAGCAGTCTGGCCAACAACAAACTACATATAGCATCGTGTTTCCATAAGAGTGTATTACCTAGCCATCTTGGTCAGTGTAAGTATACGCTTAGGATGTTCTCACAATGATAAATTCTTTTTTTTTTTTTGTTTTTCTCTGGTACCGGGAACCGAACTCACGACCTTGCGCTTGCCAGGCAGGCGCTTTGCCTCTGAGCTAAATCCCCAGCCCCTGATAAATTCTCCTAATGACACATTTCTCAGAATGAGTCCTCACAGTTAAGTGATATGTGCCTGTGTGTGTGTGTGTCTGTGTCCCTTTTATAATCTGTAACCATGATTGTTACTTCTGACCAGCTATTCTGTCTTCAGTTTCACTGCAAAATAAATCTGCCTCAGCTTTTCCCTTTTCCTAGCCTATAGTTTAGATCTCATTGAACAAAGATTTTTGAGATTTCCTAATGATATTTACTATTGAAGACATAATTGAAGCTGAAGAACAGAAAATAAATATATAGAAAGAAACTATAGTTATATACATGCAACATACACATAAATATGAGCTGTCTCCCATCTCCTGAGAAAATAAGTGAGTGTGATCATGATGTCCCTGGCTCCTCCTTGGACAGCTGCATCATGCTTATTTCTTGGTCTGGTAGACTGTCATGCAGCTGATGAAGAAGTCAAGAAATTTATGGACAGTCTCAAGGTTTTTAGGTTTTGTTTTATTTAGAATTTTATATCCCATCTCTTTTTTTTTTTTTTTTTTTTTTGGTATGAGGAATCAAACTCAGGACCTCACACTTGCCAGGCAGTCATTCTTTAATATTAGTTTTATTTTTATTTTTTTTTACTTTAATTTTACAAATCAGTATTATTAAAGTAGTTAATGAAGGCAGGGAGGGGACCGCCACAAAAGGAAAATACTGTAAATGGTCTTAATGACGTGACCAAGCTTGCCTGCCATCTAGTGGATGCTACTTTGGAATGCAGTCAGATGCATCCGTGTCGGTTATGTAAAGCTAAGATTCTGAACCTCTCAAATAGCACCAGCCTCCAAATTTGCTTCCTAAAAATCATGGCTACAATTTTTTAGGAATATAATTAGATGCTCAACTAAAGGAATGGCTCATGATCCTAAATTGTTACTAAAAACTTAAAAAACAGCAATTCAATAAAATCTTGCACCACTGAACCGTTTAAAAGCTCTGTGATATTTTTTCTTATCCTCAGAAAATTATTTTGGGAGTTGGATGGTGGCACAGGCCTGTAATCCCAGCACTCAGGAGGCTGAGGTGAGAGGATCTCAAGGTGAAGGCCGGCCTGGACCACATGACAAGATCCTATCTCAAAGAAAAAAAAAATTTTTTGTAGTAGCTCCAAGTAATAGCACTTACAAAAATCTCTTATCTTCATATGCTTAAACTCAGTAGGATATTAGCTATGGTGCAACCTGTTGGGGTTAAGTTGTATTAAAGCACAAAACAAACTTCTATCCATACTTTCAAACTATTCTGATAGCTTAATACAGAGAATCTGTCTTTCAAAAAATGCCACAGAACTCTTTTGCAGTTTAAAGTATAATAATGATTTATAAAAAGTAAAAATAATAAAAATATAAGTAAAACAGTAAGATGGGGTACTGAAGTGTTACGATTGCCTCTTCACTAGCTACATTCAGTTTTCTAATGTATTTGAGTAGTAAATGTCAGTCTCAGTTCAGAAAATACATTAGTTAGCTATATGCCCTTTTATAAAACCTGGAATTTGCCATCTGTCCTTCCTTTACACATCAGCCATCCCCACCATCCCTCCTATCTTCCCATCCCTTGTTGCCAGTTCTCTCTTCTGACAGTCTGCTCTTCACCAGTGTTAGTATAATCACCAAGAAATTCTCTATTTTCTTAACCTTGTAGCCTCCAGTATAGTAGCCACTAACCACACGTGGCCATGGCACACCTGACGTGTGGCTCTTGTGTGTGTGAAACATACAAAGAAGTGTGGCTCTCATGTGTGTGAAACATACAAAGAGTGGAAGGGCTCAAGGTGCCAGGAAGACTAAGAGACTTCCACCACTACATGGTGGTGACTTGCTGGCATGATAGTATCTGGCACAGGCTGGATTAAACAAAATGAAATCCTACAACCTTCTTTTTAAAAACATGGTGACTGTACCATTTTAAATTGTGTATGTGCTTTGAACCACATTTCTGCTAAGAAGCCTGAGCTAGGCTGTTAGAGAACATCCTGTCTTTTTCATTGACTCAACAAATTACCAAATTATTTTCTGAGTGTTAAACTTGTGCCAGGCAGTTCTTGGCAACAAGAATACCACAGTGAACAGAATATTCTCGTAAATCCCTACCTGTGGAAGGTGTATTTGAGCATCTTTTTCAACATTACTGCCCCGGGGCCCAGCATAGTCCCTGGCATATAGTAGGTGATCAGGGAGTACTGAATGATTGAATGAATAAAATCATTTTTTGTCTGTCTCACTTAAAACATGTGACCTTTATCAATACTGTGAACCGTTGAAGTACTCAAATAAGCGATTGGGGAATTAGTTCTAATTTTACCTGGGGTATGATTTCCAAATCTTTGATTTTCTCATTTACCATCATGGTTTCTTCCTCCTCAGAAGCTATTTCTAGACAGTCCATTGTGTTTCCTCTACTTGAAGGTTTTAGAATCATGATAACTGATTCTTTTTATTACCATTTCTGTTTTTTCTTTTTTTTTTGAGACAGGGTCTCATGCTGTAGTTCAGGCTGACCTTGAACTCACTATGTAGCCCAGGCTGGCCTAAAACTCATGGTGATCCTCCTGCCTCAGCCTCTGGAGTGCTGGGATCCCAGGCATGTACCACCATGCCTGGCCACTTCTGTTTTTCATTGCCTGCATTTCAATAAAAATTACAATTTTCTACAGAATGCTCACTTCAAATGAATTGCTCAAGTCATCAAAATATCACCTATTTAACATAACTGATGTTAAAATGCTATCAGCCAGAAGACAGGAATTTTCACTTTCAAAGGGCTCTTAGGGTCACTGTCTACCTAATTTATCCCTCTATATCTCTTTCCCATATACATGGCATGTTTTCATTTGGGAGAAAGCATATAAAACTTAGTTTATAGAAAACAATTTTGACATTGCAAATTAGACTCAAGACACAGAGAACAAAATGAGTTACTGTTCTGCTGAATTAATCACAAATTCTGTTACCTGTTCCCTTAAATCGCCAACCCTGACACAAACATTCAGAGGATAGGCCTTGCATAGTTTGCTACATAGACCTAGAGTTAAAAGCTGCACAACCAACATTTAACATGTTCCCACCAGCATGAGCTACCAGTGGTATAAGCCTGATTGTTCCATTTTATTGTATCACTGGTAGTACAAATGCATGTAATCACTTTTATTGGTCTTTTTACTAATAAAATTAATAAAAAGCCACCCAATGGGCCAGCCATGCCAGTGATTACTACCAGTGATTCAAGCCACTCGGCTGAGAGACATACAAATTACAGCCCTGTTATGAATGTGTTAAGAGCCTAACTTTATTCTGTAGTGGAGGAAGTGTAGGAACAACAGGCAGTTAGAGCATGATCTGTTGGCCATGGTATAATCCCAGCACTTGGGAGGCTAAGGCAGGACAACTGCTCATTCAAGACCAGCCTGGGCTACACAGTGTGCTCAACATAAGACCCTGTCTTAAAATCAATCAATCAACCCCCACAAAGCATAATTTAAATTCGGAACTCCTACACACATATGCAAACACTCTGAAATGTCCATAATGCTACTTACCATTGGCTTTGGCAGTGAAAGGTAGCCATACTTCTCTCCTACAAATAACATATATAACTTAAAAACTTTTTCTATTATTCACATTTGACTGTTAAAATATTACATGGGAAAGTTAGTACATTATTTTGACAATTCAGTCTATTCCTTATTTGCGGTTGAGAAATAAACTCCTGATTCGGTGACAAACATGAAGACAACACCCACATCTCTGATGGCCAGTCTCTCCCGACATAAAGGGACAAAAGCTAGACATCTCACTGATATTGACCTCCATTTAAAATTGGCTTCACACATTGACCCCTTTTTTTGGGCAGAAATCTGCCTCTGTTGAAGCCAGAGACTTTTTAAAAAATTAGTACTAGCATCAGTGCTGCTTCCTTCTGCACATACCAGACCAAACCATTTACAACTCCTTCATACTATATTCTCAGTCAGGGAAGAGGACAACCCCAGTAAACCAGACAGGAAGTGAAAGCACGCAAGTAACAAGTTGCTTAGGCTATGATACAGGGCATGAAACATAAACAGTTAAGGAAAGGAAGCAGATGGCAAAGCCCACTTCATCCCTGCCACATTTATAGTATTTCTGGTTTCCAGATCATGGACAGTCCGGTTACAGATGACACATGCTTTTTCAATGCTAGGCTGTGATATCTAGGTTAAGAACTTAAGTAATCTTGTTTTAGGTAACTCAGTGATCCTCTGTACTGCTCAGGACCCTGAACGCTCCGCATTTACTCTCCAAAAAAGAGAGTGGGAGGAAACCAACAGTTTGGGCCTGTAGCATCTCTAAGACAACAGAGTTCTACAAACTAGAATTTAATGCAATGAAAAGAGAGCCTTTATACAATCTGGTTTGCTGCCATTACCATCTACCTGGTAGCAGTTATCGCTTAGCAGTTCTAATCCCTGTGGTCCTCTTGCAAGTACTTATTTGTTTTGCTCTCTGTTCCCATCCACTTTACAAGTACAAGAAACCACAGTGACCATAGTGTCCAAAAACCATGTAGTTTCAATTCTGGTCTGTCTACAGGGGATGGTAGACACTGTGCTGAGGAAGAGTACAAGTCCACATGTGAGCTCAGTGGAAAAGAAAAAGCCCAAGATCAATCAACGACTACTGTCTTGGAGCAAGAATCAGGAACTGCAACACCATGTATATTTGCCTACTCTGATCTAATCTAACTCTCTTGTTTCACAGATGGGAATTGAGGGATAGAAGTGAAAGGACTTAGTTCAAGGTCACACAGTGGTAAAAACAAAATTAAAACATGTTACCATTTATTATATGGCAAGCACCATGACAAAGAATTTCATAAAAAAACTGAAATTCAGAGGGCCAGCTAATGTGCCCAGGCTCCAGTTACTAATAGATTATCATACCCACTTATCTCCTGTATAATTTAGCTAGCTCCATTCTCAGCTAACAGAAGAAGTCTCCTGGCTCTCCACTGCTTGTTCCTGGCTTGACACCTTTTGAAATGCCTAGAATTGGGATCTTCCAGTCATTTCTGGAATGGACTTGGAGGAGAAAAGAGCAAAACTCAAACTGGGAGCTGCAGTTAGGTGCATTTTTTTACAGAATTGCTTCACTCACATCAGAATGCTTAGGGCTGGGTTAAGAGAGTGAGCGGTTGATAAACTTCATTGTTGGCATCAGTCAGATTCAGTAACTCTCCCTGCTGTCTCTAGCCTACTTACTGGGGGACCACTGGCATAAATGTCTTTAAACTTCACATACATTTGGGTTTTTTTGTTTTGTGTTTTTGAGACAGGGTCTCACTATACAGTTCAGGCTGATCTTGAGCTCACTTTATAGCCCAGGCTGGTCTCGAACTTGCAATGATCCTCCTGCCTCAGCCTAGCCTCGCATACATTTGGAAATGCAACTTATGTCACAAGGTCACTGAGGTTTAAATAAGATAATACAGGTCTAGTACTTACCAAAGTAAGTTCTCGGTACATGGCACCTATTATTATTCGTATGGCTGCATTATTATACCAGTAGACTTATGAATGAGTATTTTTATAATCTTACCCATGCAGACACTAGAAGCTTTTTTTTTTAATTTTTCACTGAACCTCTTCCTGCTTTTTTAATAGAAGCTAACTTGGTAGGAGAAAGATGACTCAGAAGAAAGCAAGGACTGAACCAGTGTTGCCCAGTGAGAGAGATCTTTCAGAGGGCGTCAGCTCTTCCCTGGAAAAAGTGTGAGCTTCTTTTGTACAGACCAACAAGGTTAGGCTCTTTTCCACTAGCTGCAGGTCAAGAGACTTTCTACAGCCAGGACTGAAGGCACACACATCTAATCTCAGCACTCTAGGAGGCTGAGTCAAGAGGATCACAAGTTTGAGCCCTGCCTGAGCAACTCAGCAAGTAGCAAGAGTCTGTCTAAAAACAGGTCTGGAGATGTAACTCAGCATGAAGGCCTTGAGTTCCACCCCGAGAGAGAGACAGAGAGAGAGAAAGAGAGAGAGAGAGAGAGAGAAAGAGAGAGAGAGAGAGAGAGTGTGTGTGTGTGTGTGTGTGTGTGTGGAGGGGTCTTCAATAGTGGAGTCAGACAAGCTAGTCCCGAAGCCCTCAAAAGTGAAAAAGAGATCGTAGAAGACGAACATCAGAAAATGGGAGAGAGAATGATTAAAGGAGAAAAACTGGGCCTGGTATTTTTTCGTAAGCTACTTATTTAGCTTTACTATAAGAATTCTCATGGTCAGGATGCTGATGAGAACAGAAATAATTGTTCAGAGCTTACAGGAATGAATTTCTAAGTCTTCACACCCACCATGTGAGGTAGTTATGTCATTATTATCCCTGAATTACAGGCATAAAACTCGAAGACAGACGTAAGTTAGTGAGTGACCAGGGCAGGGTGGGAACCCAGGCAGTCTTGGTTCAGAAGCTGGTTTTCAAATTCTGCCCAACTCTGTCCTTCAGCATGAGACCATCACTCCAATCCCTGCACAAGGAAGCAACACCTTGACGGGAAATGGAACCTGGCTTTGCTTCTTCTCAAGCTTATCAGCCTCCACTTGCTATGTTAATTGCTACTCAAAAGGAGGTCCAGGATTAAGGGAGGGAATAATTTAAAGGGTGGCTTTCTGGCCAGACATAGTGGTGCACACCTGTAATCCCAGCACTTGGGAGGCTGAAGCAGGAGGAATGTTGTGAGTTCGAGACCAGCCTGGGCTACAAAGTGAGCTCAAGGCCAGCCTGAACTGCACAGTGAGACCCTGTCTCAAAAAGACAAAAAAAAAAAAGGGTGGCTTTCTTGATGGGAAAAAGCATATTATAAATCCTTTTCAATAGAAATAAAAGGGGAAGATAGACCCAAAAACTGATCAAACAGCCTGGCTTAGAAAGAGGGAGGATCCCAGACACAAAGAGGAAGGCACCTGAGGCCCTGGTCGAGGGACTAGGACAAGGAGAGAAAGCCAGTTCTATTCCAGGTTCACAGTGGCGAACTCACTAGCCCAGAACAGGACAAATGCTGACCACTCCGCCACACCCTGCTTCTGTGGGAGAAGACGACACCCAGCACAGCAGTGTGAGAGGAGCCCGTCCCAAGCCCGATGGCCCACTGGGAGAGAAGAGTCTGCTGGCTGGGCTTGGAACCACATCCTTTTCGGGCCATAGCTACTAGTAACACTTTCCACCGTGCACTTGGAAGGTGCTGACAAATGCATCGAACCCATCACCTCCCAGAAAAATAGCCAGCCAGTCACTGGCACTTTCATGGGCCAGTGTCACTGGATGCAAGAGGGGAAAACACAATGTTCCTCGGGGCTGTAATGTGAGGCCAGCAAGAAGAAGACACATTGAGGGAAAACTTCTCCTCCAAAACTCAAAATTACACCCACTTTAGTTTGTGCTCGTACAAGGTTTTCACAGCTGGCAGGAGCCTCTGAATCTGCGCGGCCTAGGCCTTCCTTACTGCACAAAGGACACTCACACTCACACCTGGGGCGAGGAGGGCTCCTCTGACACCAGCCAGAGAGGGACTGGGCCCGCCAGACACTGGCTTCCCCGGACCAGACACCCTCTCACCTCGCTTCACTTCCTAACAATCCCTACGGTGAGGCGCCCATGCTTCCTTAGATGTGGAGCAGTTATGTCACCTTTCACTGTGTGAGAACTTGCTTCATAGGAAAATCCCTGTGAGTAAGAACACTTCAAAGCTTCAACATGGTACACCCTTCACACTAACCATCAGAGAGTTCTTTAAGTGTGGAAGCATAGTAAACATTTATTTTACTTACAAATGATATTACATCTACAAATTGATATGTATCATAAATGGATATTTTAATATGAATTGTTTAAATATTCAGTAAAAAGAGATACGTAATTTGATTTTATGAGTTTAATAATTTTTTTTAAAGAAATCATGCTTTGACACTAACGGAAACCATTTGCAGGCAAAAAAATATTTTTAAAAAACAAATAAAAGGACATACAGTACAATGGGAAATAAACAAAACTCCCAGTGGATATAAAAATAAAGAGTAAAAACAATGTCTTCCTATACATTGTATGGTGCTATTCTACATGTTGTAGAAATAGCAAGGAACTTACCCACCACAGGCAATATTCCAAGTTTAGGTAGTCATCAAGGAAACAGATTTCATCCAAGTGGAAGGAAAGCAATTCAAAAATCAAATAACTACATTCATTTCATTATGAAGAGAGTAGAATTAAATCAGAGAATGTCTATATTATAGAAGAGCTTTGTACTAAAATAACAGTTTACGGGAAATAAAAAATTGCTTAATTTCATTAGGAAAACAAATGTTAATTCAAAAAAATCTACTTACACTATAGTACAATAAATCTTACTGCTTAGATACTATAATAAAGAAAAACAAAATGTTATCATTTTTCTGTGAAAAATACGTTATTCTAAAATTTCAGGTAGGCTATAACAAGATAATTAATTTTGCAGCCAAGGATTAACACTAAAAAACTGGTAGAGTTACTAACAGTTAATAATATATAAAGACAAATAAATACATCGCACTATGTGGACAGTTTCTCACCTCGTCTTCCTTCAAACACATCGCTGATTTCTCTTAGCAGCGTAGACATGTCACTAATTTGAGATTCCCAAGCTTCACAAAATACTTCCAGGTTTTCTTTAGCAATTTTACTAGATGGATGCAATGTCAATGTTTCAGCAGCTGAAATTATCTAAGGAAACACAACACACAGAGGTCTAAATTTTAAAATCTTACACCTTGAAATCACACTGGAGATCAAGTTTAAGTCTGTATAGTTCACTCAAAAACAGCCAGGCAGGGTAGCATAAACCTATAATCCCTGCTACTCAGGAGGCTGAAGCAGGAGGATTAAGAATTCACGAACTACCTGGACAATTTAGTGTGACACTGTCTCAAAATAAAAGATTTCAGAGAAGCTGAGGATGTAGCTATGTGGTACCATGCCCCTGGGTTTGATCCCCAGAATAGGAAAAAAAGAAGAAAAAAAAAGACAACCATGAAAACTATGAAGTAGTTTTGACACAGAAACCCTATCTTGAACAATATGGTGACACATCATAGAACAAGTCTGCTATTTTTTTTTATAATGTGATCTATAGAAAATGATAAGTTATTACAGGGAAATTAACATGATAATGTGATAAAGCTGAATCAACACGACTAACAAGTTATGTTGGTGTTCCATGGAATTTTATAGGATTATTCTCACACTGGTAAACAGGAATATGTAAATCATTAACATGACTGTTCATTCTCCTACTATGTGACAGCACTGTGCCCATCTTCTAGGTGCTGGGAAAACACCTGTGAGTGAGAGATAAATGTCCCTGTCTTCATTGGGCTCACATTACAATAAAAGATACAAGATTTTTGACAGATCAAAAAGATACAAGATTTTTCAAGAAACAAATAACATGCATAAAAAGGGTAGGGACCATGGAGGGGCATTAGGTGCTTACAGCAGTATTTTAAGTTGGTTTATCATTGAAAACGTGAGGGAGTCACAGGGAGATACCGGGAAAATCCCTTGAATGAGGTTTCCAGTAAGTTTGCAGTGCCGGCGGAACAGCAAGTGGACCAGACTGAAATGAACAAAAAGGCTGCCTACGCAATGGAGAAACACACATGGCAAGAACTGGGTTTCCTTCTGAGTGGAAAGGTAGTCATTGGAGAGTTTGCAGAAGACTGATAGGGTCAAAGCCAGGCTAGCTGGTAAGGTCAGCACCTTGAAAGAATCAAAACCAGGTGCCTGTGGGAGTGGGGTGGGCACAGTCTCCTAGGCTCGGGCTTGCCAAGCAGATGGCACCTTGCTGGGAGGGACAAGGGTCCTCTTCTAGAGGAAGAGGGTGCAGAGCTTGCCAGGGAACTAAAGGCTAGATGTCAGCACTGCTGTCCTCTCAACGAGGGGCCTTTGTACGAACACAGGCTGTTCAGTTATGCCCTGAATGTGACTTAATATCTTAAAGGAAATATAAAAATGACGTTGCTAAGGCAGAGATACTTTGAAATAAATATAAATGATCCCAGAGGCATGCTGTACTTCCTTAAATCAGAGACAGGTGGCAAAGACCAGAAAACAGGCCATGGGAACCAAAAAGTCTTCTCAAGAAACAGAAGTTACTGACAGGCTCCACCATCATTCCAGGGAAGAAAATATGGCCATTCCTTCCTAACTGTCTGCTGCAGTGGAAGCAGTCAACCCCAAACTGAAAGACAGTAAGCAGGGTCTGGGCCCAGGCACAAGAGCTGACTGTGTAGGGCAGGAGAGTCAAACCCTCTGATTCTACTAAAATACACTGGTGCCAAAGCTTTAAGGAGATGCCCACGTGGACAGGTAAATACTGAAGGGAGACTGTCTGTCTCCCAGTAAAGAGGAGTCTTCCATTTGCAGCAGTGCTCAGCAGAGGACCACTTTGGAAGCTGACTCAGAGCTCCTGCCTCCATAGTAAGCCTGCACAGTTCTTCACAGGGAAGCACATGGTCATTCCTCCAGTGTCCAACATGCTGGAGGGCACACACCGCCACTGTGCCTAGGTCACTGTCACTATCTCAGAAACCCAGGGCTCAGCATCTCTCATCCACTATTCCAACTCAAGAGCAAGTCCTTTGGTTGACCATAATAAATAAAATAAGGACACCTAGAAAACTGCCTTTTAGAGCTTCAGACTCTAAAAAAGAAAGGAAGATCTGTCCTTTATTTTTTTCCTTGGATATAACATTGGACAGGGATGGTAGTAAATGGAATATCGGGGCTGGGGATTTAGCTCAGCGGCAAAAGCGCCTGCCTGGCAAGCGCAAGGTCGTGAGTTCGGTTCCTGGTACCGGAACAAAAAAAAAAAAAAAAAAAAAAAAAAAGTAAATGGAATATCAACTTTAAAAGGATTTTGAAAATTATAAAGACAAAGTAATATTATAGAAAATTCATATAAAGTAACTCAGTCTACTGAACTAGCAGAATATTCGTTTCTGCGGACTCTCATGTAGTCATTTTCAAATGTACACACATTTTATAAAATAGCAATTATGGTATATGCACAAATTTGCATACTGCTATTTTGCTTACATTTTAACAAAACATTTTTTGACGCTGCTATCTGTGGTTATTATAATTACTATATTATCATCAAATATATTATTTACCTAATTTAAGATAATTATTTTGCTTCCAATTGAATCTTATTATAAATGATGTTGTAGAAAACCTTGTTTTGTTTTGTTTTGAAGTCTCCTATGTCCTTAAGAATTATTAAGTTGAAATGAGCAAGTATTTTTATACCTTACCATATAAGGAAAGCTTACCTTCCAAACATGCTGTAACAATGTACATTGTAAACAGCTTAAAAATATATACTAAATTAGGATTTCTTTCTTTTTGAGACAGGGTTTCACTATGCAGTACAGTCTGGCCTTGAACTCACTTTGTACCCCAAGCTGGCCAAGAACTCATGGCAATCCTCCTGCCTCAGCCTCCTGAGTGCTGCGACTACAGGAGTGCGCCAGCACATCAAGCCTTAGTATTTCATTTAAATGAGCCAATCAGCTATCTGTCAAGATGACTAGCTAATCCAATGCAGTCAGTCTCATTGAAGCACACTACCCATAGAAATTCCCTTATCTTTCTTTTGGTAGATTTGACCTCTAGTTCTACAGAATCCTTTATACCTTCCTTCTACACAACTTGTTATGATGCTCAGGTAAGACATAATAGAGAAGGAACAGTCTGCTGTTATCCTACCTGCTGGCCAGTCACCTGAAATGTCTCTTCTGCGTGTATACAAGTTATCTCAAGAGGTTCTGTCCCAGATACATGTCTCAGCAATCGACAGGTCTACAAGAAAATATGTGTACAGTTCAACTTTCACACTCTCGTCCGTGGTTATCACTTCATAATTAAAAAGAACACTAAATTTCACAAATAAAATTTATTAAAACCTATAACCCTGAATTTGGACATTACTGAAATTATCACTATATTGGTCATCAACAGATTCTCTGAGGTCAAAGCAGGAACCAATGAAGGCCCAGCATACTGTTTCTGCTTCCTATCAGATCATAGCAGAGTGTTCTGGGAATTATGAAAGCATCTAGTAGTGTCCATACATCTTCTGTACAAAGAAATTTAGCTCAGCTAAACTGTCAGTTACCATAGCTACACATTCTTTCCATCAACAGCACTTCCCATCATGATCAATTAAGCCCACCTTTTTTCTTCTTAGAGATAGCAATGAATCAGGCAGATTGATGTCATGAGCAGAAAGTCTGCATTAGAGGAAATTATTACCCACTATTGCAACTCAAAGCAAGTCCTTTGGTTGACCATAATAAATGAAGTAAGGACGCCTGGAAAACTGCCTTTTAGAGAGTAGACTCTAAAAAAAGAAAGGAAGATCTGTCCTTTATTTTTCCTTGGATATAACACTGGACAGGGACAGTAGTAAATGGAATATTAATTTTAAAAGGCTTTTGAAAATTATCAAGACAAAGTAATATTACAGAAAATTCATATAAAATAACTCAATCTCCTCAATCTCCTGAATATCTCCTAACAGAATATTCATTTGTGCAGATTCTCATGTCATCATTTTCAAATGTACACACATATTTTATAAAATAGCAATTATGGTATATGCACAAACTTCTGAATGTCTTGAAGCTTAAAACAGAAAAAATTTTAAATTTTGACTATTAAAAATTATTTGCTTCAGGATTTCTAAAATTAGCAAGTTTTTCTATAGTCAAAATATTTGGTTTATAAACAACAGCATCAAATGTATTAAATTACAGAAATAAATCTCTAGTCATTTTAAGAATGTTCCTTAGAGGTTTCTAGGCTGCTCTGTGAACGAGTGCAGGAGAAGACGCTGACCTCACTCATCTAAAGCTCCTTTTAACCATGAGTCTTGAGGTTTGCTGAGCAGGGTATGTTAACATGAAGACAGGTAGGCGTGCCTATCTGCGTCTATATCCGTGTTGCCTAGGACATGCCTCGTGCACAGAGTACACAGGTTCAGACTTGTTCTGACATTTTCCTTAGGCGGAAGCCTTGCTCACCACCTCAAATGATGAGCCCACTTGGTATTGTAACAAAAGTAGCAGGTGAGGTACCAGTAACACACGACAGAGACTGACTGGGGCACAGAAGGAGAGGGTCAGAGGACAAATCCTGTGCAAGATGTCCCCTCTTCGTCCCTCCTCATCCTCTCTCCTCCCTTCTCAAATCTGCTTTTCGCCGCGGGAGACTGAGGTCGTCTACTGCTGTGTCTGGCCAGTGGGAAGCCCAGCTACAGAAGAGCCGAGGCAGGAGGGAAAGGCTTTTACTCCCATGGCCCTTCCCTGCAGGGGCTCCTTGGGCCGTCTGCGTGCCTGGTCCAAACACCACCACCCTTCAAGGGGCTCTCAGAGAACCTTCCAGGTTCCACCCCAGCAATCTGGGCCAGGTGGTACCAGCCCTGCCATCACTCACCCCGATCACTGCAGTCTCACTGGTTTCCCCACAGTCCATCTACAAGGTGCCAAACGGCTCCCTTACGAAACCCTCTCTCAATGATCTTGGAGTGGGTCATCTCTTTCCTGCTGAAGCCCTAACAGATTCAGTCAGAAGCAGACTCACAATGGCCCTCTAGTGCCCTACTCCAAGGTGTAATCCCCCGAGAGAAAGAGGGAAAAGATTAAGCAGTGCGCTTGGCTTCTAGTGCTTTTTGTTGCTTTGTTTAGATGCCAGGCTGTTAAGAACAGAGCAAACGTACACTATACCTTCAAGATTCCAAGGGAGAGACACAGAAAATGCTCAGAGAAATTAACCAAAGCTGTATTCATGTTAATATTCTCTCAACAGTTTAGTTACTGAATTGTAAACTACATTTTCTTTAGCACACAACCTATTACTCACCTCAACAAGCTGTTCTTTCTGTTCAGAGAGTTTACAGGCATATTCAGCCAAAGCTTCTAAATTTCCTTCTGCTCCAGTGAGTTTTAACGCTTTTAGAACCACATGATCTGCATGGTATTTTAAGAGTTCTGCCGCCAGCTGCATTGCTGTGCTATGAAGCTGTAGGTGTTGGGGGTGAAGGGTGATGAAGGAAAGAAAACAAACAAGGTTTTATGCCCAAGCACCTGACAAGTACTTTAAGAACTAAAGACTACAAACCTCAAAAGTGGCCCCTCTTGATCCCCCAAGGGAAAGTTCCCCTCATAATAGCAGAAGCTGGGTAGCACTAGTGAGAGTATATGTCCTCCTGAGGGCAGGGTAGCATCTGTTCATCTGTATCCCTGATGCTAGCACTTTTGCTGTTCATGGAAGATGACCTGGTCATCCAGAGGTTGAGAAGCCCAGGACCTTGTCCATCCTATTATCAACTAGCTCTTTCCACACAGCTTCTCAGTGACAAAGGCTTCTGCTGCTTTTTGTTCTGTTTTGTTTTGTTTTATTCTGGACAAGGTCTCACTAAGTTGCCCAGGCTGTCCTTCACCTTGCAATCCTCCCACGTATCTGAGATTACAGATGTACATCATGGCACCCAGAGCTTTTGCCACTCTTAAAGTTAGTGAGCAGCCAGGTGCAGTGGCACATGCCTATACTCCCAGCTATCAAAGAGCCTGAGGTGGGAGGATTGCAAATTTAAGGCCAGCCCGAACAATTTGGCAAGATCTGTCTCAAAATGAAGGGAAGGAGGAGAGTTAGATTTGTAGCTCAGAGATAGAACACTTGCCAAGCATGAACAAGGCCCTGGGTGCAATCCATGATACCATTCAGGGCTCGAGAGGAGTTGAAAAGGTGGAACTGTATTGAGAATATGGCATTCAGAGCATTAAGAGGCATCAAATAGTTCATAATCATTCGTAAGCTTCTTAGCATGCTTCTGAAGTACCAATGTGAAATTCATTCAACCAGGTATTCAATAAAATGTTACTAAATACCAGCATCACAGCAGACACTGTACTGGAGGCTGGACAAACCTCCATGACAAGACAGACCCAACCCCTGCCCTCGGTGTTACAGTCTATGATAGTCTGCTATCCAGAACAAACTGCACCAGGCATAATGACACATGCCTGTCATCCCAGCACTCAGGAGGCTGAAGCAGGAGAATTATCATAAGTTTGAGGCCAAGCTGGGCTACCTAGTGAGTTCAAGGCTCACCTGAATTACACAGAAAAACCCTGTCTCAGAAAGAAAAGAAAAAAGAAGAGGGAAAAAATCCCTAGTTCCCAGCAGAAACAAAGATAAAGAAAAAACAAAGATAAAGGATAACAAAAACCTAAAGGCTTTATTTCATTTGGCGGCATGGATTGGAAGCACAGCTTACTCTCACTGGATAATTTTTGATATTATTAACTCCAAAATCTTTCCTTCTTGCCCACCCTCCTTTAAGCTGCAGGTGTTTTGCCCCTGCCATGGGAAAGTAACTAATACAAAAATCCTACAATTGAATGGAGACTAAAATACTGGTGAATACACCAGAGTGACAGGTGATTTTGGATTTTTCCAGCAAGAGATCTGAAAATATCGTTCTAAGGAAAATTTGACTTTGAGCTAAGCCTATTTGAATGAAGAAATTTCTTTTTTCTGAAAGTAATCCAACGTCGATTCAAATTACAGGACTTTTACAAAATTAACAAGAGGGTTGCCTGCATTCAGGCAACTAAGTGAAAATAATTATAGCCAAAACCAAAAACATTAAAATTCCTCTTCCTTTGAAAATTAAATGCCATGTAAGAACTTAAAAAGATTATGTTTACCCAGAAGGGCCCAGGGAATACCCCACACTAAGCCTTTATCTTACAGACTATGAGAGAGGTCCATAGAGACTGCATGGCTTGCCAGGGTCATATAACTCCTATAAATGGTTCTAGGGACAGTTTCACTACCAACTGTAAGGGAAGAAAAGAGTACAAACATGAAGCTCCTGCTCTGTGCAATATCCTGAGAGTGGCTCTACATACATCCTCCTCCTCCGTCCTCGTGAGAATTCTCCAAGGGTGATGTGGTTATACCCACTGAAGGGCTACGAAAATGAAGTCTATCTTGAAACGATTTTATGCTGTACGGAAAGTTCGGGACTCAGCAACAGTTCAGCTAAAATTGAATAGGTAGGTTTTTTAAAGAACAGAAAGCTATGTCCTTTTATGTTTATCAGGATGTTGAAACAGATGTTTCAACAGAGGTGTCAGTACCACACACGATGTGAAGGAGATCACTGTACATAATACATAAAAGAAACATCCAAAACCTATTTCATTCTCCTGAGCCTTTACTGCTTCAAAGACATAAAAGTAGAGATAGGGAAGGGGAGAGGTTTCTGTGAGGAGGAGCTGCCTGGAGAGCTGATGGGTGACCACTGTGACTGCTCCAGCAGCCCCCAAAGTGGAGGGAGTAGTGACCCGGGAGGGTGACAGAAGGAGAGCCTCTGAGAAACATCCTAGAGCATCCACGAAGGAGAAAGTCAGTTTTCAATGTCTACTGAGCCCAAAGTCGTCATATAAGGGAAACTATCTCCAAGAATCTTCTATTCTCAACCCTCTTTCCTCTCCCTTTGCACAGCCTGGCACATGTCAGTAACAGCAGTGACATCACGGAGAACAACAGTAATGAAAAAGAGAGGAGAGACCACATCTTTCACCCAAAAGCTGTAGGAGGGGGATAAGAAGTGCAGGTGACTGCAAAGTGTGTTATGTTTAGATCTGCCATGTCCCTCGAGACTCACACATTCAGATGTGGGGCTTCGGGAAAGTGACCGGCTCATGGGGGTGCTGTCCTCATCAGTGGGTTCATCGACTGAAGGGTTCATAGCTCAATGCACTGCTCTTAGGAGGTGTGGCCTGCTGGAGGGGCTGGCTCACTGTTGGTGTGACCTGGAAGGACAACTCCTCCTTTCTCCTTCTGCTTCCTGGCTGCCATGGTTGACCAGCTTCCCTTTGTCATACCCATCCACCATGCTGTCTCTGCTTTATAACCAGCTACCCAGAGACTGAACCTCTAAAACCGTGAGCCAACATAAACCTCGCCTCCATTAAGCTGCAGGTGTTTATCCCTGCCATGGGAAGGTAACTAATACAAAAGTCCTACAGCTGAATGGAGACTAAAATACTGATGAATACACCAGAGTGAACATTCTTATTTTTGGACTGAGATTGTATCTCACAACTGAAAGCAGAGTTGTAAAAAGCCTGGCAACAAATACCTTAGGCTTTTCAGGACACAGAGGCTTCACAACAACTACCCACTGTGCTGCTACAGACAGAAAGAGAAGCCAGTGTCTAGACAAATGGCAGAACTGTGTCCCCAGACATGATTTACAGAAACAGCCCCACAGTAGTGTGTGAATGAAGAGTGATCACAAGACTCCAGTGGACCAGAAGTCAAAAGATGACCAAATTTTATCTGGAAACTCGGAAATCTTTTCAGCCCAAGTGATACTTTAAAAAAATCTACTTTAGTGATGCATAATCTTAGTACAACAAAATCACCCAGTTTAAAGGTACAGTTAGATGAGTTTTGCAAACACAACAGCTGTGTAACCATCACCACAATCACTATTTTGAGTGTTTGCATTACCCCAAAAAGGCCCTCTATGCCCTACACACTGGGACTGTGTAGTAAACACTCCCAGTTTCTGACCCCAGGCAACCACTGATCTGATTTTTATCATTTGCAATTAATTTTGCCATGTCTAGAATTTTTCCTAAGTGGAAATACACACACACACACACACACACACACACACACACTTGCACATACTTTTGCATCTGGCTTCTTTCATTCAGTAAAATGCCTTAGTGATTCACGGATATTACTGCACGCACTGAAATTGTTCCTTTTTTGCTAAATAGTATTTAGTAGAGTTATAACAAAAGTCATTTATCAACACCACTATTGAAAGAAATTTAGGTTGCTTCCAGTCTTGGCCATTATAAATAAAGCTGCTATGAGCGATTCATGTACACAAATTTTGAGAATGGCAGCACCACTAAATGGTAGCTTCAAACTAACAATGACAAAAAGAAACTCTTAAATCATTTTCTAGTCACAGGGACACTGTAATATACATTTATGTCCTACATCTCATGTAACATGAAAACTAGCAAAGAATTATAAAAGGCTAAATTTTCCACTATACTTACTTCCTTCTTGAGCTCATTGAGACTGTGACTGATTTTCAAAATCGTGAGCTCCAGTTCTTCAGCAATGCTTTTGGTCTTCTTGCTTTGCTAAAAATTGCAAGAATAATTGGTGTTACCGCATCTCTTTATTACAATTTCATTTGAACTATAAATTAGAATAAATATTAATACCACGTTACTATAATAAAAGTATAGTTAAAAATTTTACATGTTTAAGGTTAGAGTGAAAAATAGAAGTTTAGTTATTTGATTATATTTCTCCACACTAACTATAAACAGGTGATTTTTAAACCAACTTTTCTTTAATAAATTCATCATGTCTAACATTAATCTTTTTATATTAGTTCATGTCATAATACAAAAATACTGATGTTCATTTTTTGGAACTGGTGCATGCATGAAATACTCAATCCTTTACTCTTAAGCAAAATCCAATTCATCTTGCATAAATATCTGCACCTGGCTTTCATTCAGTATAATGCTTTTGTAATTTATCCATATTACTGTACTATTAAAATTGCTCCTTTTTATTGCTAAATAGTATTCAACTTACATAATTTCCAGTTCATCTTACATAAAAATCTATTACCTTACATAAATATCTCCTTCTCAGATAGTCCTTATCAAATCACCCAATCTAAATTAGGCCCTTTTCATCACCCACTCTAATCTTTTCTCTAAGTAACCATCCCAGTTTGCAATCACATTGTCTTACATTTCGGTTTACTTAAAAGTCTGTGTTACCATGTAAGGCCCATGAAGGCTGGGACCACTACTGAACCCACAGCTCCTGGCGGATCATAGGTGCTGGATTTTTTTGAAAACTAAGTTAAAGTTAAATGTTAGTACCTTCATGGAGCCTTCTTGATTTCTCTCCATAAGTAAGAATTAATCCTCCTTCAAACCTTTTCACATGTCTATACCGTCTTTGGGGTATTGATAGTTTTGGTTTTTCATTTTTCCCTTGACTGACCTTTTCCCACTTCTTTCTATATTGTAAAATCAAGACAGTATAGGCAAAGCTTTTATCTCATTCATCTTTAGATTTCTGGTGCCTAGAATATAAAAGGTACTCAGTAATAACTGCAAAGAAAAAGAAAGTAAAGGAGTAAAAAGTACATCTGGTGAAGAATCAGTGTCTGAATGCTTGTGAAATACATGAAGGGTGTTATCTGTACTTGTAAGAACTGACAGAATCAGATTCTCAACACTGAGCAAAAAAAAAGCTAATGTTCAACTTAAGATTTAACACAGAAGCAATTTACAGTGTTGATATAACACAAATAACTCAAATTAAACATAAATAGTGCTCAAATCTTTTATACTACCATAGGGGAAGATTCCCTGTTAATAAGACAATTTGCACAGCTGTGATGGCAAGAAAATACCCAGAAAACCTGTGATTCCTATCTAGTCTTCATGTATTAATCAATCTAGTTACCAAGAAGCAAACTTCTGCTCCGTTCTGCACAATCTCAGCCATGCTCACCCTCCTTCTTCACCCTGACTGACAAAGCTTCTGTTCACAACGCCCATTTGTTCTCTCCCTGCTGTGTCTTGCAAGCCATATGAAATACTATTTTGACACCATCTGGGTCTAAGGAATAAACGCATGGTGCCAGACACGTCTCAGGTCTCTGTCTCTTCCTTTTATAATCTCCTTGCTGGAAACACATATGTTGGCCATTTCCATTGTGCTCCTGCCGCAATAGTCTCCCATGTTTTAAGCACACCAGGGCCTATCTAAAGCCTACAATCAGAGGTCCACCAGTGTAGATCAGAAATCTGCAAGGGTAAAAGTTCTGTTACCTGCCAGCTGGATCTACCTAGTCTTCATTGCCCCCAGATCTCAGTAAATGTGTTAAAAGCTCTGTGTCTATAAATCAGCTGGCCTCAGAGTTAAGAACTGTGCACATCTAAATGGCTCCCAAACTTAAGACTCAGGTCCCAGGGACCTCTGGTAGGGGTCTACCCTCTGCTCTTCACCTGAAGAAGTATTTTGGGGCAGAATCTTCCAGAGGTGCAAGGGTAAGCTAAAAATGGTGACAGTGGCACAGAATCCAGAAGGGCCAGGAGGAGAACCAACAGGCCTAGGAATGTCACATCCTGTGAGTGCTGGAAGGGAGGGACAGTTTGCTGAACTAGGAGGGAGAAAAGAGATGAGACATCCTTGTCCCATGCTAACCAAGTTCATACTGATTACGACAGCTGCCACATCTCTTAAAACATTAGACAAATGCCACTACAGAAGAGGTACTTCCTGAGAAGAGTTCTTACAGCTTGCATCCACACAGAGAGGAACTGCTGCAGTTCCACCCTCGCCTGAGTGGACAGCTCCAAGATGTGTTCTCTGTGCTCATGGCTGGTGTACGCAGAATCAGTGAAGTCCTCCGTCTGCTCCAAGATGACTTCCAGTGTTGCAGAGAAGTTCTCTTTGGACTGAAAATAAGGATTCTCCCGAAGAGCTTCAATACTCATCTGAGAACAAAAAGGATATGGATCCATGTGAGTTGGGATTCCCACCTAACCGAGCAGGCCAGCAAAAAACACCAACGAGTTCTGTCCCAGGCTGAGGGGAGATACAAACTCTAATGATAACTATATCCTCTGCTAACCCAGGAGGACCCATTCAAGAGTTATCAATGGCCTGGCACATGCCTGTGAACCCAGCTACCCAGGAGTCTGAGGTAGAAAGATCACAAGTTCAAGTTCAGCTCAGGCTGAACTTAGTAAGATCCTGTCTTATCAACTTAATAAGATCCTGTCTCAAAGGTCTCTAAGGTGAGGATGTAGCTCAGGGAAGGGCCCTGAGTTCTATCTGCAATAGCACCACAAGTAAAAAAAATCACCAATGGTCATGCAAAGCCTCATTCCTGGAACTGTTAATAAAAAGACAGGAGGTCAGTGAATATAGAGAAAGAGCACCATCACATAGCAAGTAGTAGGAAAAATGAAGCAACCTCCAGATAAAGGAACTGCCTCTGAGAAAATGCCTGGGGAAAGTCATGGAAGATGTGTTAAGCCCAAATACGAACACATACTGGCCTCAAAGGATGAGTGCGGAAGGGGTGGAACGTGAGAGGGACTGGGAAAGGGCTCAATTCTTCTCTCACTAATTCAGCAAAAGCTCTGCTAGTCACCTGTCTCCCTGCCTTTTGTTTTATGTCCCCAACAGCACTTCACTGAACTAAACATCCTCTACCAAAAGGGAAGGGTTGTATAGTCTTTCTGAAATGTGAACCTTCTGAGACTGCCACATCCCTATAATCACTGCTCACCATTTAGAGTATAGCATACAATCCTCTATGGTCCTGTATTTACCTATCTCAAATGGCTTATCTCACCTCCCCAGCCCCTAAACAATTCCCTGCAGCTCTGTGTCCTGAGCTTTGTGAATGTGTGATGAACACTGCTTCCCCTGTGTCATCTTCCTCTCAGCTCTAAAAGACACACTACCCCATTTCAACTTTAACCTCTGACCCAGGAACAATGTCACAGGGACAGCTTGGGCCAACAGGCAAAAAGGAACGAGGTCCACAACAGTGGTCACAATGAATGTGCTGATAAGAGTGGCTGATACTTGCCTTGCACTTGAGGTGTTGTCACGAATATTTCAAGTTAAACATCATACATAACCTATTTTACCATGAGCCACAGAAATACCCAACTTTGGGAAAGTCACAAGGTCATAGAGGGGTATGTACATCCCCCTTCCCTGCTGGGCCCAGGAGGTACCCAGTAATCATCCCAGCTAAGGTAGACAAAGTATTTTAAGAAAGGACATGGTAACAGTATGGTACAGAATGGACAGTAAGGACCTGAGAGTTTGAGAATTTAAATAATTAAAATAGGAATTTTTATATTTCTCATCACTTATGTTAATGTTTCTCTTTTAGAACAAAAAGATATTTTTAGATAGCAAGTTAGTAGTTTTGTGGATCTTTTGCAAGGCTATTCATTTATACATTTTCATAAGATTTGTCCACTTATTTACAATACCAAACACCACAAATGTATCCAGTTTCCCTGAACAGATTGCACTATCCATCAGAAGAAAATAAGATACCAAAAAGAAACCAGTAACAGTGAGCTTGAGTCTGTTCACTTTGGCTCTGCCTCCAAAGCCTCAGCACAGAAGGTGGACAGCTGTGGGCAGAGCACAGCTCCTGCTCACCCTGGACAGAAAGTCAGAGGAAGGGGCAAAACATCTACTTCCAGTCCTGCCCACTTCTCTAGTTACTGCCTGACCTCACACTTTTCTCCTTCACATTTATAAAAGCATGAGGTCAGAAAATGACCTCTGACTTTGGCAATAAGATTCTGTTGTAGTCAGAGTTTGCAAGGAAAACAATACAATACAGGACACATAATTTATACAATTATTTTATAATAGTCACCCAAAGTGGGGCTGAGGATGTAGCTCAGTGGCACAGCACCTGCCTGGCAAATGCAAGGTCCTGAGTTCAACTCCCAGTAACAAAAAAGAAAGAAAAAAATAGTCACCCAAAGAATCATATACAAAGAGTGCAAGAAATCTTTCCACACACTAAAGACCCAAAGAATCCAGCTGAGAGCCTGGATCCCATGGAAATGTCCTACATGGGTCCAGCTGAAGACCTAGAGCCCATGACAATGCCTCATGCAAGTCTGTTTCATGGATTTGTGCTGGGAAGGCCCAAAAGGCCACTGGTGGAAGCTAGAAAGTCTGTGCCAGTGGGATGAAGGATTTGTGCCAGCAGACTGAGGAAGCTGCATTGGAGCCAGAAAGCAATGCTCAAAGTAAGAACCACAGCTCCCCTGAAAGCCATCCTCAATGACAATGAGGTCCCCAGCTCCTCTGGTGATGAGAACAGCCAAGTCCATATCAGGAAAGCCAGTAAGATAAGCTTCTACTATGACACTGAACAGTACAGAATCTTCCCCCTCTGAAGCCAGGAAGTGATGCTCAAAGTAAGGACCACAGCTCCCCCAAAGTGAACCGTAGCCATTCTCAGCAACAACAAGGTCCAGAGCCCCTCCGATGATGCAAACAGCAGAGTCCATGTCAGGTAAAGCCAGCATGACAAGCTCCTCAGGAGAACCAACAGTGCCAGGAGAACCAACAGCACCTTAACAGCACCTAAACTTCTTCCCCTCCAGTTCTGCCTCTTATGCTGCCAGCAACAACCATCAGGTGGGCCCCCCACACCCAGCGCCATGCTGATTCAGTTCAGCTGAATGTTACAAATTGACCACCAGCTGTCAATCCACCACAGATTTTTTTCTTTCTTTCCCTCCTCCTCCTTTTCTTCCCAACCCCTTTGTATTTGTGGCAGAGCCAGGGATAGCCCAGGGCCTTGATGCATGCTAGGCAAGCACTCTATCAATGAACATTCATCATCAACCTTTTTCATTTTTTAAATTCTGAGACAGGGTCTCACTAAGTTGCCTAGGCTGGCCTCCAACTTGTGACCCTCCTGTCTCAGCCTCCTGAGTAGCTAGATTACAGGTGTGTACCAAAGCGCCTCAAAAGCCTTCTATTATATGTTAAAGTTTTTCATTTCCCTCTTAGAGCATATATGAGGTCTTACCACTAAAAGAGAAACAAGACCAGAGATATAAGCAGAAAAGCTATGGACTTTGACACTACAGAGTTTCAGGTCTACAGAAGGTTTTCACCACTTATTAGCTTTCTTCCTCAAGAGAAAGGTATAATTATATCCACCTCAAAGGGCAGTTAAGGATCAAAAAAGATTTAAGGGCACGGTCCCTAAAAAAGAAAAAGAGCATCGTCCCTTAAAAAAAGTTCTTATGACTTTCTTTCATCTGATGTTCCTACTTAGACCTTCACCCAGTTAGGAGTCAGAATGCAGCAAGACAGAACACACCATCCCCATGTCACGCCTGTTTATTAAGAGTGGTGACCCTTAGCATATTAGATAACTTCTGAGGGCCTTGGTTTCCCCATCTATGACAGCACTGTACAGTAAGTCCCCAACTTATGAATGAGTTCTGTTCCAGGAAAACTGTTCACAAGCCAGATTCATTCCTATCTGACAAAGTGAGTCTACTACAGTACACCTGTGAAAGTTCGCAACTTGAGTACATCTAAGTCAGGGATTACCGTACTAGATTGTCTTGGGCCTTTCCAACCTCAGAGCAGCTTCACCATCTCTCAGACTCTGGCAAGAAGGCAGACTGCCTGGAGTCACATGATACTTTTAAATCCCAACTCTGCCACTCCCTGGCCCGCAAGCCAGGCTCATCTCTTTCTCAGTCTTCTCAGCCGTTCAGTGCGGAGAATAACAATAGTTTTTGTGAGGGTCATAGGAGCTCATACCTTCAAAGCGCTCAACCCAGGCTGGTACAGAGTACAGGCTTAATAAACGTTAGTGCACACTATCATCTTAGATCATTAACTATCGGTAACACTCGCTACAGTCTCAAAGTAACAAGCCTAACAGCACAAGGAAGGGGATACATCCTAGAAGTAAAGTTTAGCTGTTTGTCATCAGGAATGGCATGGCACTGCTTAAAAAATGGAGGGCAACCTCCTTGCAAACAGGGGCTACAACTAGACCTGCTAAAGCTCAGCAGATCTGGAGTAGCTACTACAAGCAAAAATCAAGCTGGGTATGGTGGTGCACGCCTGGAATTCCAGCACTCTGGGAGCCGGAGGCAGTTTGAGCCCAGCTTGGGCAACTTAGTAAGACCATACTTCAAAAAAGGTTGGGAATGTAGCTAAGAGCAAAGTCCCTGGGTTCAATACCCAGGAAAAAAGAGAGAGAGAGAGACAGAGAGAGAGAGACAGAGAGAGAGAGAGAGAGACAGAGAGAGAGAGAGAGAAGACAAGGCCAGTGTCTTCAGTAAATATAACGCTAAGCGAAATACTACTGAACATTAGGTTTCTAAGTGGCAGCATTGCTTTAAGGTGACAGATTTGCTTTTGTGAAGTGTCATCCTAAATCATTACACAACAATAAGGACATGTACATGACCATGCTCCCTTAAAATGGAAAGAAAGAATCAAAATATTCTCTCTTCTTACCTTGAATTCTTTAATTGCACGAAAAATACTGATAGATGAAATGTCGGTCTCTCCGTGTGGCTTACAGTCAGTCACAATTTCAATGACCTTATCCAGCGCCACTTTCATTCGGTTAAACACTCCTCCTTTGTTTTTATGGGCTGATTCACAGTTAGGATGCCTGAGACAGGTCTTCAAAACAATTGAAAATGTTTATTTTACTAGGTGACCCACCTCCCAACACATGAAATCTTACAGAGAACGTGTCATGCTAATAAAAATGGTTCTTTACCCAAGTCTCCTGGGTCCCTGGCTCCCCCAGCTGCCTCTCCTCACTAAAGTGGAAGCAGGATGAGTAAAAAGCGATAGCAAGGTTAAGTGAAAAACGCAGAGTGCAAAACTACATCTTTGTACTTCAACGACAAGTTCACCTAAAATTGTTGGGAAAAAAATATTCTTTACCATGATTAAAACTATTTTCAAATGCAGGCTTATACACACAAGAACTAAAAGGAATGAGGAAAATGGACGCGATGACACGTGACGGTGATGGCGTCTTCGATTCTGAAAAGATGATACCAATGAAAACTACTCTAGGGCCTCGAGATCAATTGAGCTTTCCGAGAGGGCTCTGTGGAGTGTATTGTTATGGAGTCAAGGATCCCAGCATGGCGCAAGTACGCTCAGAAGAAAAGGTAATTCTAAACAAACTCTTCATGAGATATTTACTAGTCTTTTTTTTTTTTTTTTTTCTTTCAGTAAGGGGGATTAAGCCCAGGGCCTTCACACTTAGCTACATTCCCGCAGCATTTTGTTTTATTTTTTATTTTATGACAGGGTCTCACTAAATCACTAAGTTGCCCAGGTGAGGCTCAAATTTATGATCCTCCTGCCTCTGCCTCCCAGACAGCAGGGATTACAGGCATGTGCCACCATGCCCAGCTTATGCATTCTTGAAATGTACCAATTTGCTGGCCAGTTACTCTCTGAAAATAGAAGCTCTTGACTGATAAATGTGCTAAAGTAGAAAAAAGAAATTAGACATATTAAGTTACATAATAAATAAACTAAGGGCTGACTCCTACTCCCTATTATGAACCGATCCCAACATGCCCAGCTTTCTCGAGAGCACAGTTGGCGGGGTCCTCAGTGGACAGGCGCAGCCTGCAGAAGCACTGGGCACAGGGCTGACTCACACACCTGATTTCTCTTCTGCTTAGCAGCCAATCAAGCTCGACTCAGATTCTGACTGTCTGAAGCTGCGGAAGAAGGTTAGCACCCTTGTACACAGTAACTGAGATGGAACTATTCCGGCCTACAGTCTCAGGTACCCCTTTAACCTTTTCAAAAAAGTAAACTACATAAGTTAGATTCACTTAATCAAGTTTTCTCATTATTCATCTACAACAAAGTGAAACAAAAACCTTCTTACCTTTGATGCTGTGAGAAGCATCATCGTACACTTCTCAAGCACCGCCCGAGCTGCCGCCATTTTTGCCTTTTTCTTTTCATCTTTCAAATCCTAAAAATGAAATAAAAATCACTGAGCCGTCCAAGTGCATATAAACAACCTAATGTTTTTGAAAAGTTGTTTTCTCAACAGTCACAAAACTCAAAACTTCAGTAATGCTATTGGTCATAAAAGAACCTAGGACAAATTTTTGTAAGCTGTCGTCATTCAATCTAAACACGGCCCCTCCCACTTAGTCATAGTTTCACCCCTGACGTTTCAGTTACCAGTAGTCAGTGACTGTTTTATTACCTGTCTCCTCACAGTTCTACTAAAATGCAAGCTCCAGGAGGACAGGAGTTTTGTCCCTTTTATTTACTGTTGTATCCCCAGTACCTAGACTGGTACCTGATTTACAGTAAGCACCTAATGAATATCTGTTCAGTGAACTGAATGAATGAATCTGGCTGGCAGCGATAGTCCGCATATTCTGACCTACTAAGGAAGAACATATGTGAACCCTGGAGGCATATTTCATCAAAGTGAACATTTATCAAACACAAAGATGCCAAAATTGCTGCTCACAAGTTTCAGAGCCCCACATGGAATTAATTAAATTTTTAAAATAGGTATTCCTTCAGCCAAAACGTGCAAGTTTTTAAAATGTTGGGCCATAGTCTTACTCTACTTCAGGTGGGGGGAGCATTATGCACACCAAATTTTTAACTACTGCAAATCAAAATACTGGTGAATGTTTCCCAGTTATGTCCAGAGGCAGAAGAGGATGAGGTAGGAAATGTAACTTTGAAAAGAGGGCTTTGGAACCATGAACCACAACGCGCTTGCTCAAGTGCTCAAGGAAATGCTAGATGATAAGCTGTTATTATTACTGTAAAAATATTCAGGCTAATGATTTTTAGAGGGAAAGAGGAGAAGGGAGAAGAAGGCAGACAAGGAAAAAAGAGAAGAATATTATAAAGAATAATGATGGTGAAACAAAATGAAACAGTTTTATTAGAGACAGATGTCATTAATCTGTCTCCCACTTTCCAGCCAGTACCTGTATCTCAACACTATCTGCACAGAGACGCTCATGTTCAAAATGACGGGAGTCACCTACAGGACTGTTACAGCCAAGAGACCCAAGATGTTCCCGCAAAAGGACCCGTGGCTGAAGGGTTGGTTGCTGGTGGGATTTTGGGCAAGTGATGGTAATGGAGGGCTAACTTCATCAGTGGGTTAATCTCCTGCTGAGATCATAATTTGACAGCATTACTGGGAGGTGATGGAAAGAGGAAGCGGAGCCTAGGTACATGGAGCAGATCATGGGCCATGACCCTGGGCTCTGTATCTGGTCCCCAGCGCCTTCCTCTCAGGCTTTCACTCCTCTCTGCTTCCTGGCTCCCATGAGGTGAGCAGCTTTGCACTGCCATACTCTTCCATTATAACAATTCTGCCTCAACACATACCAAAGAGGAATAAAGCCACTTGACCATGCACTGCAGCCTCAGAAACTGTGAGCCAAAAACCCAAACAATAAAAAGCTTTCCTCCTTTATTTATATCAGCTGTGCTGTCACAGTAATGGAAGTCTGACTTTTACAGGGACTATACCCAGAAACAGCTCAAAAAAGTCAAGTAATACACATTTAACCTGCTGGCAAGATAAAGTCATGTACCAATAGCCCAACAGAGAATCCCAATCCTGGAAATAACATGGTTTTCCATCTCCCTAAACTTAGGAGCTTATGGTCTGAATTGGGGAACAGACCCATGAAAAACTGGTATGATGCTGCAGTTTGAGAATGATAGGCTTTAGAATCAGGTACAACTGAGCTAAGAGCAACCTTGGAAAAGTTTATCATCACAGGTTCAGTTCCCTTATATATGAAACAGTAATCACAGTCCCTGATCTCAGAGGGATGTATTGAGAATTAAATGAGATAATGTATATTAAGTTCCTAATACATGATTCAGCCAGTGCAAATAAAGTAATGGCATGGGCATTACTATTAATCTAATGTGGTAAGGAAAACAAAAATACATAACAAAGTATGTTAAGAAGACAATGACTGGATTACTTTCCTGATCCCCGTAGAGGAATCAGATGCAAAATTTCATAAAGACAAAGTACTCAAGTCAGGTCTTGCAGGCAAGTATGACTGTCTCCGGTGGGGAGACAGATATTCAACTGTTATATGTGTGCAAAAAATATATACTAATCTATTAGTTGTATCCTGGCTTATTTATGAAAAGCCTTAAAGACCAAAGTTTAACAAGCAAAGAAACCAACTCAAGTGATTGCAAAGATCACACTTTTATTCAAACTAAAAAGTAGTGTGCATTTATCTGAAGATGTTAAGATGTAAACACATACATTTTGTCTATCTCCGGTTAGGTGTGCAAACTCCACCATTTCATTTCCAAACTGGCTGAATATTTGGACAAACTCTTGAAAGCTATGCACTTTCTCCAGTCTTTCCATAGTTGCAAGAACCTGCAAACAAAGAAAATTTTATTCTCAGCTGATACACATGAAAGAGTCAGAGACTACCAAGGCTGAGTTAGGAAAAAAGGGGAAATTCTAAATCCTAGGAGAGTGACGGCAAACCTTTTAGAGCTTTCAATGATAACAAACACCCAGCTGTGCACCCATGTGCTCTAGGTTTGCCACCTCTGTCCAACAGGGAAGCTGGAGGAGGCAAAAAAGGAGACAAGAAGGGGTATCACAGCCAGGTGTGGCAGTTCACACCTGTAACCCCCACTACCTGGGAGGCCAAGGCAGGAAGACAGCAAGTTCAAGGCCAGCCTGAGCAACTTAGTAAGACCTTATTTTTAAAAAATAAAGAGCTTGGGGTGAAGTTCAGTGGTAGGGCACTTGGCTAGCATGTATGAGGCCTGGGTTTTGATTCTCAATAAGGAAAAGGGGGCAGGTTCCAAATTAGAATAGAAGAATAGAATAGATTAGAATAGTAGAAGCCGATTCCAAGTTAGAATAATTTAGGGAATGATTTGTTTTTAAGGGGAGACAGGCTTACTTGAAAATTGAAAGAAACAGAAATGTTTGGAAATACTAGATATACCAAAACAAGATTCATTTATGTCGCCTAGTCTGGAGGAGGCTGGAGCAGACAAGATGATGATCACTGCCATGGTTTGGCCTGGTCTGAGAGTGCCCTTGTGGATTCCTGTGCTGCAAGCTGGGTCCCAGTGTGTCAAGGTGAGAGGTGGCAGAGCCTAGTGAAAGGTGATAGGTCACTGGTGGCACTGCCCTGGGACGGGGATAATGCAGCCCCCGTGGTTCTTATAAAAAGAAAATCCTGGCCCCTCCCTGACCTCTGCTTCCTGTCTTGCCCTGTGATCTCTCTCACATGTGCTCCCATTGGTTGGAACATCAACCTCCAAAACTGGAGCCAAATAAACCTACTTGTATCTCTCTCTCTCCTTTGTGTGGTGCTGCACCTCAAACCCATGCAAGGCCTCATGTACAGTACGCAAGTGCTCTACCACTGAGCTATATACCAGCCCACCCTCTTTTCTTTATAGAATACCTAACACTAGCATAAGGTATTTGTTATAGCAACAGAAAATGGATAAATGCACTAATCAGCTCTTCAAGAGCTAAGAAGGCAATGAGGATAAAAGACAACACACAGAGCTGTGTGATTCACTGAACCGAACTGGAGGAGTCACAGTCTTCCCAGGAAAGGGAAAAGAAGGTCATCTCAAAGTGGAGTGGAAAGGGAGGTTAGGGACCTCAGAGTAGAAAAACAGTTTAGATCAGTCTGGAATTGTCTGGAATAAATTAATTGCCAAGAAGCTTCAGGCAGTCAGGAGTGAAGAAAGCATGAATCCACAGTAGAACCAACAGATCGTGCTGTGTTTTCTTGACATGAGAAGTAAAAACACAGATTTCCTGTGTTTCCTTCTTTTTAATGAGGATATGATGGATATTTGGCATGCTAACCTGCCCTGGCAGCTGAGGAAGCACAGGCAACCAACACACACAAGCCAAAGGCCACAGCCGAGCAGAGCCCCCGTTTCTCAGAGATAAAGGTGGATTCTGTTCCTTTAGCACTGCCTGATCCACCTCCTCCACTTCTTTTTCTCTTTAAATTTATACTTTTTGATTCACTGAACTCCCACCAATTAGTTTTGTCTCAAACCCTACTTGGGACAACCCCTTCCATGGTTGACTGCTCTTCTCCCTGCCTAGGGCACTCATCCCGGGAAAGAAGTCAAAACACACGCCTGGGTTCCCGGATGATCGAGGAGCATGACCAGCGCTAGAAGACTGTACCAGTTCTGGAAGAGTTCAAATCCATTCTTGAAGTTTTACAGTTATTCAGAACTTTTAAGGTCTCTGCATCCAGAAATTTTATAGCTATGGTTAAGTATGGCTTTTGGATTAATTTTGCTTAAGTTTATAACTTGTTACTCTCTGACTTGGAAAAAATTAAAAACTGAAGAATTTGGCACTTTTCTCAACTAGGTTTCTGCCAATACAGTACCATGGTGCCCAGCTTTGTTTCCTGAATTGTAAACATTTAAAACTTTTATCTTGTTTTGAAATTCTGTATCGTTCTTATTGTTTCTTCCCTTTAAAATTAAATAAATAAATAAAAGCATGCATTGATTCCTCTTTAAAAAATAAATGAAAAACAATTTTGCTCCATACAGAGATAATGATTTTCAGAGGAGAAACATTATTTGCATTCAAAATCTTAGGTCCAAGCCAGATACAGTGGTACAGACTTGTAATCCCTGCATTTTAGAAGGCTGAGACAGGAGGATCACAAGTTCAAGTCTACCCTGGACAACTTAGCAAGCCTTTGTCTCAAGAAATAAAAAAAAGGCTGAGGGTACAGCTCACTGTGATTTCCCCAGGCTCAACCCCAGTACCAGTTGGAGTAGGGGGGTCAGACCCAGATACACATGGCTAAGTAATTTCAGGCATAGAAGAAAACTATTTTTAGACTATAGACAATAGCATTATACACAGTTATAAGGGAGAGGAATTACTGAATTAACTGTAGTTAACCTAAAAAACACTCTGAACAACCTGGCAAGACAAATGGCAGAAAAGCAGGTACCTTATTTCTTGATGTTATTATCTGTTTGATAACTACTCGGTCTGCCAGCAGCAACACCTTTGTCACTGAGGAAAGAAGTAATCTTGCCGCCTTTATGACTCCTGTTTTATCTGTAAAAATGGTGATCTGGCCATCAGATTCTGGATGATTCAAGCTGGTTACATCTGTAAGCGCCGCAATTGTTTCCCCTAACAAGAAAGGGGGAAAAGTTAAAATGGGACTCAGACACTTAAATAAGAATCTATTCTCACCTTTGATCTTGAATATAACAAAGGAAAAACTCAGCTGTGGAGTCTTACATCAGGAACAAGGAACCATTCCACCTTGATAACTGGAGGGATTACCATATGAAGCTTTCTAGCGACAAAATAATGGCATGCTTTGCAGAACTGTGACAAACTTTTGCCTCCAGTCAGTTAGAATTTTCAGTGGTATGGCAAACACAACAAACTAAAAGTCTCTCTACTAAACGGAAAGAGAAAACTTTTTTAAAGCCTCTTATTCTGCAAAACAGTAAAAGTCTCAGGACACAAAACCCAAAGCAGAAACCCAATCAGAGCATAACAAGTGCCCCACCTCGGGCTTGCAGGGAGGGGAAGGGAAGGTGGGGAGGGGTGTTCCAGTCACCACAACCTCAAAGAACTTGAGTTTGTAGGGACATCCAAGCGGGTCAGAAGGACAGACTTTGGGCCTCCAGGGATGACACTGTCAAGAAGGTACGGCTGGAGAGAATGATGGTTTGGCACAAACAATAAGCAGGTCTCTTGGCTGGTCAGTCTGGACACAGGGCAGGGGAATAAACAAAACCCCCTCCCCCACCACCCAAGGCCCAAACCCAGGGCTGCCCCCAGCTCAGGCTTGCCACTGAAACTCATGCTTCTGCGGCCCAGAGCAGGCCACTCTACCAAATAAATTTCCAAACCGCCAGAAAAATTCTCCGCTGATGTTCTCAAACATTCTGATGTCTATAATAGCAATTATTCATCAAAAAAAATATAATAGTTTGGCTTCCTCAAAGATGAAATCAGGCTATGACATTCTCCAAAACACCTTGCTGTTAATGTCAACAAAGATTTTTTTAAGACTTTCAATCATCCTTTTTTTTTTTTTTTTTTTTTATCTTTTTGAGACAAGGTCTCGCTATGCAGATCAGACTGGCCTTGAGCTCACTTTGTAGCCCAGCCTGGCCTCAAAGTCGCAATGATCCTCCTGTCTCAGCCTCCCAAGTGCTGGGATTACAGGTGTGTGCCACCACATCCAGCTCTTTGAATCCTCTTGTATTATCTAAGATTCACTAATCTGTAAGTACTCAACAAATGTGTGTACGGAATGACTGATTCTCTCAGGGAAGCCCTCTTGTCAGTTTTGTCACAATAACACACAATAATGTCTCCAGCATTAGGCTGAAGACCTAGAGTAAAAAGTACTTGAGACTTAATGGACAAACCTCAGGTGTGAAAGGATTAAGTCAGTACTTCTAGGATCAGCCTGGCTGAAGCACATAAAGTAGACTGGAAAGGGGAGACGAAGCCAGGCTCCCATTTCAGTTGTGGATGTGAGATAATAAGGACTTCAAGCATGGTGGCCACAGGAATACAAAGACGACGATTTCAAAGATACTCAGGAAAGGACGCATAAAATCAGTACCTGACCAGTGAGAAGATGGCCCGGAAGAATGAAAAACAATGGCTTCATGGTTGTTAACACAAGTCACTTAAAGAAAATCAGAAGGGCGTAGGAAGGAGATGATGACTCTAGTTTCAGATAATCTGAGTTTAAAATGATACAAGAGCACACAAAATGTCAGCCACTGCATATGGAGCGGCAGTGAAGACTTGGATGGCATGTGCATAGTGGCAGCAGCTGCCCTTGTGCCCCCTCCGTCATCAGACTAAGGTTGGTATGGCAGAGTGTAGTATGTCCCTTCTGTGATTAGGTTATGCAATTGGAAGGAGCCATCTTGTTCTCTCTGAGGGAAGCTAGCTTTTATGGTGTAAGCCACCCTGGTACACAGAGGCTCAAGCAATGAGGAACTCACAGCCATGGGAGGGCACTCGGGAGAAGATCCCGCAGTCAGGGAAGCCTCTGGGTAACCGAGGCACAGCAGACACCTTGACCTAGCACACTCTCCCTCTCCCTCCCTCCCTCCTTCTGTCTCTCCCTCTCCCTCCCTCTCTCCCTCTCCCTCTCCCTCTCCCTCTCCCTCTCACACACACACACACACACACACACACACACACACACACACACACAGAGCCAGTGCCCTGATTACTGGTTCTCAGAAGCTGCCTGAGATAATAAACGCCTGGGGCTTTGCATGGATACATTTTGGTTAATTTGTTAGACAGGAATATAAAGTTTTGTGTTACAAAGTTTTTATGGGAAGATATACAGAGAACAAAAGTGCTTAGAACTGAAACTTCATGCACACAGAAAGGGGAAGGAGGAAAAGTATCCGTCTGTATTCTATTAGCAATAGCTCAAAGGATAAAAATGTTTCCTCCGTAACTCTGGAAATTGTTAATTTTTCCTGTAGCTCTTAATCACCACAGAAATTACACATAAGCCTGCATATATGGCATTATTTAGACTCTTGTTTTCCAAGTGGAACCCTAAGCGTTTAACTCATAAGCACAGGGCTGGTAACATTCGGCCAGCTCTGCCCAGTATGGTCAAATGATTTCTTAACATCAGGAAGTTGCTAAGAGCGTGGATGTTCAGAAATTAGTTCGTTGAGAAAGCACAAAGCTGCCTTAGGGCTTCAGCGTGGTCATTTCTAATTTATTACATGCAGTTCGCTGGTATTGTTTCTTAAAGTACAAACCTAAGGCCACCCATACACAAACATTTGTAGCATTCCCATACAAAATATAAACTTTGTCTGGTGGCCAAGTAAAAAGTAAAAATACACAGCAAGAGTACCACACAGGGAAAGAAGAACGATAATGATAACGACAGTAATACCTGTTGAATACTTCATATGTGCCAAATGCATACATGTATCATATCAAGATACCTCTATAAGCATTAATAGCCCCATTTTGTAGATGAGAACACTGCAGATTTTTAATGTTAAACAGCTTGCCCAGTGTCGCTCTACTAGCATGTGGAAGAGGTGGGATTGGCATCTGGGCATCGGGCTCTACAGCTCTAGTTACCTTATCACTACTCATATTATTCCCCTTGGATGAATGCTACATTGTCTGGTGGAAGACATGGTGAGGATGGGCTTATTGGGCAGAAATACACCCATCCCCAGATCTATTTAGCCTGAAGCTGGAGTGTGTCAAGGAACAAGGGGTGTTCCCTGTCCTGTAACTCCAGGGGGGCTGCGCTCATCCCCTCACCTGAGGGATGGTGAGAGGCCACTCCCAAGAGTGGACGCACAGAGCCCATGACACCTCGCATCTTCTAAAGGACTCTGCCCACACAGCTGCTTGGGTGACAGCCCTCCCAGAAAGCTGTGGAGTACTGGTGCATATCGCTACGCCAGCCCTCCTCTCTCCCCCAGTGCTGAGCACACAGCCCGCTACCGGGCCCTGGGGAAAGGGAGACTCAGGCTGCCCTTTCAGTTAAAAAGTGAAACATCCTCCTCTTGCTCTGACCAAGGGCTGTTCTGAGCAACAGTGTGAAGCACATGTGTACGTTCTCTGCTGCACGGTCCACGGCTTTATGTCAGGTCCCTTTAGAAGTGTCGGCATCAGAATTCAGAGCCAGGAAAATGCCTCTCTCTCCTCTTACAAGCTGGTTTGTTTCCTTTCGGCAAACAATGGGAATTATATAACACTTTGTTTCTCACATTTTTGTCTTGCCTTTCAGGAAGTACAGAGATAAATTTCATGCCTAATTAAAATAATCATGTTTGCCAAATTTTCCAGTATGTTTATTTTCATCTCATGTTTTAATGGGCTCATTGAACATGTCTTTTATTTATTTATTTATTTATTTTATTTTATTTTATTTATTTATTTATTTATTTATTTATTTATTTTGGTCTTTTTGAGACAGGATCTCACTATGCAGTTCAGGCTGGCCTTGAGCTCACTTTGTAGCCCAGGGTGGTCTCGAACTCACAGTGATCCTCCTGCCTCAGCCTTCCGGGTGCTGAGATTACAGTCATGTACCATGACGCACAGCTTAATGTGTCTTTTACTGTAAGCTATTTCAAATCCTTTTCAAAAGCAGAAAAATATAAATTGAGAGTGAAATAAGGCTATCTCCCCTGCTTCCCACAGGAAAACTGTTCTCTAATCTAGCAAATGGATAGAAGTCTGAGTCAACCCAGAATCTTCTGTTTCTGTTACTCAATAACCTCATTCTATTTTACCACCTAAATGAGTATTCTGTGTGTATTTCCTCCAGCCAGGTGCAGTGGTACCCACCTGTAACTCAGCTACTCAGGAGGCTGAGGCAGGGGATTGCAAATCTGTGGCCAGCCTGGTGATCTTAGCAAGATGCTATCTCAAAAATAAAATAAGCTGGGCATGCTGACACATGCCTATAATCCCAGCACTTGGGAGGCTGAGGCAGGAGAATCATTGCAAGTTTGAGACCAGCCTTGGCTACACAGTGAGCTCAAGGCCAGTCTGAACTGCACAGCGAGACTCTGTCTCAAAAAGACCAAAAAATAAAATAAAATAAAAAGGGCTGATGGCGTAGCTCAGTGGTAGACATCTCGCCTTGTGTGCATAAGGTACTAGGTTCAGAGGGGGAAAGGGTGTCTAGTACATGTCTTGGTCTAACTGCTCTTAATCTGTGTACCTTCATTGTCAACCCTCTCTCAATCTGCTCTCATTTATCCATTTCCTGCATACTATCAAAAAGATTTCTACTGCAAAACAATATCTTTCATCTGGCTCAAAATTCCTCAGTGACTCCCCATTTCCTCCAAAACAATACCAGAAGTCATTCACACAACACACAGGACCGTGTGATCTGGTTGGCCCCTCCATCATACTCCACCTCATCAACCCACTGCCTTCCCCCAAAGGTCTTCCAAAAACACCTGCTCCTCGGTCAGGGCTGCTCATCTCAGGAAGCAGCAGGACCGGTTACCCAGCTATTCATCCCAAACCTTGGAATTCTCCGTGACTCCTCTTCACATCTCCGCACACATCCCATCAGCTCTGTCTTGACAACACATCCAAAGGCAGCTACCTCGCACCACCTCCAATGCCAGCACCCAGCTTAGGTCACCACTGTCTATGGCAGCAGCCTCCTAACTGGCCTCTCTGATCCCACCCTCACACTCCCTACAATCAACTTTTCGGTGTAAGAACCACCCGTTGTAGTTTTAAAATATAAATGAGGCTCTGTCACAACAAAGAATTATCCAGAGCAAAATGTCAGTAGGGTTGAAGCTGAGAAACAGCACCTCCACTGCTCTTCTCACACTTACCCTGCTTTATTTTTTGATCATGATAACACTTTTCTATGGTCTATCTCCATCACTAGAATTCAAGTTCCATGAGGGCAGACTTTTCACTGATTTGGACACAGCTATACCTATACAGCCTAGGACAACGGCTGGTATAATGCAGCACTCAGTAAATATTTAATGAGAGATGTTATGGTTTGTGTCTGGGTGTCCCCCCAAAGCCTCATGCGGTCATGGGGCAGGCTTTTAGAGTTTGACTGATTATGGGTGTGAGAGCTACACCCGCCCTGGGGTGGATAGTTTGCATATGTAAGGGAGAGGAAGAGGCTCCTTGTGGCCATTCCTCGCTTTTGTGCTTGTTGCTTTTGCTGTGTTCTGCCTCTGTGAGCTGTAGCCCTCTGCCATGTGCCACTCTGCCTTGTAATTTGCCAAATATGGACTGAAACCTCCACAAACTGTAAGCAAAATAAACCTTTCCTTCCTTCATTTTGGGCGTCAAGTATTTTGTCCCAGCAACGAGAGAAAAGTAACCAAGACAAGAGAATAAACGGATAAAAATACTTCAGCAAGTCTGAACTATTTGTAGTTCTCAAAACACTACAGGTTCTAAAATGCGACATGCCACCAACTGTGGAGAACTGTAACAACATGAAGTTTGACGTCACAACCGGGCGTAGTGGCACACACCTGTAATCCCAGCACTCAGGAGGCTGAGGCAGGAGAACTGTTGTGATTTTGAAGCCAGCCTGGGCTATCTAAGTGAGTTCAAGGCCAGCCTGCATTACACAGTGAGACCCTGTCTCAAGATAAACAAAAACAAAACAAAGTCAAAACGATTTGCTGAGGAGCACTGCCTCATGCTATGCCCCTCTCCAGTGCCCACGTGGTCCTTGGCACCCAGTATCAGAAGACTAAGGCACAGGACATGTTTTTGCTCAAAATAAAGCAGTAATTTTGCATCATCTCCAGAGCAATAAAATTGGTATAAACGAACTTCAAAATCAATATCCACGTACCTGCTTGTTTAGCTTCAATACAGGCAATATTTATTTCTTCTTTCAAATCCCAGTTTTCGTTGGCTATAGCTTCCCCTACTTTAACAAATCTTCCAACTGCCAAGTTGACAGCTTGCCCCACACGCTGAATTGCTTGCAGAGTTTTATCCGACTTTTTGGTATTATCTTTATGATTAATAAGTGTGGTGATCTAAAAATAAAAGAGAAAAGTAACTTGCTTAAATTTTACTTCACTGCTTAAAAAAAAAAAAAAAGCTGCATCACGAACGCCAAAATATTAAGCTCAGCATACTGAACTAGCCTAGGAGACTAAATCAATAGTTTTAGATATTTCAACCTAAGGACAACTGGCAAAGTATCTTACATCATTCCTAAGACAATACTTCCATTAATTACAATTCCAAGTTCACTTAAGGGCAGTTATCTGGGGCATATAATGCTCTCGAGATCTCACAACAAATAAAGATATCAGAAAAGTAGGAGAGGGCAGATCACACATTCACAGAATCCACAGAAAACCAGAGTACTCTGGGTATAGTTTTCTAGACCATGGTAAAAACATCTTCTTCCGCTGCCCACCATGGTCAGTGGGTTGTACCAAAATAGTACTGGTGTCTTACATGTTTACTGAGTTAACTAGATACTTTAGAATGACCACTGTATCTGTGTTTCCCATTGTTGTAAATTTTCTTGTATCAACCTCAAAGTAAATGAAATACCAAGAATTTTAACATTTGGTTCTTATCCCTGAAATACAAAAGATGACAAGTTCAGTTCATTGAAACAAATATCAATCTTCAAGATACCTTAGAAAACTAATACATGAACTACACTGACATATGAAAATATTTATGAAAGAATGCTGCTAGGTGTGGTGGCGTACACCTGTAACCCCAGTTGAGGAGGCTGAGGAAGGATGATCACAAGTTTGAAGCCAGCCTGGTCTGCACAGCGAGAACCTGTCTCAAAGCGAACACACAAAAATATCACATGAAAAACACAAATCCCAACTAGTAAATGTATGCTGAGTTTACTGGGTTTTTTTTTTTGGAGACAGGATCTCATTGTGCAGTTTAGGCTGGCCTTGAACTCACTATGTAGCCCAGGTTGGCCTCCTACTCATGGCAATCCTGCCTCACCACCACTCCAGTTATGAATTTAACTTTTAAATAATTTACATGGCATATTAACAAAGACGAGAATAGAGAACCAAAAGGAGAAGGGACTCACTCTTATGCCTTTAGAAAATACTATGTGCAGCTGGGGATACAGCTCAGCCACACAGCACCTGCCTGGCAAGCCTGAGGTCATGAGTTTAATTCCCAATACAAAAAAAAAAAAATTAGTATGTGCCAAGTACTTCTTTTAGAATTAAGAAGCCTAAATTTGAGTCCTTCCTGAGTTCAATTCCTGGTACCAAAAATAAATGAATGAATGAATGAATGAATGAATGAATGAATAAATAAATAAATAAATAAATAAATTTGGGTCTTGGGTCTGTCATTATTAGCAAGGTAATCTACAGTACTGTTTTTCAATAAAATTTTTGCATCTAGTAGATATCAGCTCCTGAAGACAGAACAGTAAATAACACTCTTAAAATCCTGCCTCCATTATGTTTATAATACAGAGGGCCGGGGATATAGCTCAGTGGCATAAGCGCCTGCCTGGCAAGCACAAGGTCCTGAGTTTGATTCCCAGTACTTAAAAAAAAAAAAACAAAAAACAGGAAAAAAAAAAAAAAAAAAACAGGTTTACAGTACAGAATAATGATAGTCATAAAAATAGATTTGTTGGGCACTATCATGTGTCAACTAAAATTCTAGACAATGATTTAACAGCACTGAACAAAAAAGCCCACATTCTCCTAGAACTCATAGTTTATGAGGGAGTTGGGGAGGTACAATAATCACAGAAACAGATCAACCAAAAAACACATGAATGTAAATGCTATGCAAAATGTAAAACAGAATAAAGTCATATAAAGTCTGGGCAGCTACATGAGATTGGCTGTTCTTCCTTCTGTGAGAAAGTGATATTTAAGCTGAGCTCTGATAGCAAGAAGCCAGGCTGGCCAAACATCAGGGAAATAAAGCATTCTAGGGAGCAGAAACAGCTGCGGGGGCATCGTGGGGATGAGCCGCCAGTCAAGGAATGAGGAAAGGCCAGAAGCAGGTGAAGCCACCATAGGGCAAAGGTAAATCCCACACCCAGGAACTAGCCAGCAAGGTTGTGCTTGGAGTAGAGAATTTATGTTTTATTCCATCTTACAGGAAGTCACTAAAAGATTTTTAAGAAGAAAAATGATATAATCTCTTTAGTGGTTTTAAAATATGTTGACAAATTTTTTCATATATTTCCCTTCAAGAGGCAGAGCCTGGTTCTTCTTCCTGGAGTAGGGGCTGGACTCACTGCTGAGGAAGAGACGGGAATGGAAGGGCTGGAGTACTCCTGAGGGCAGGACTCGGGAAAGAAGGCGACCCCCGTCCCACTCACCCTCTTTTGGGGTCAGTCTCAGGGGAAGAGCGCCAGCTGCCACATAAGGGAGGACATTCAAACAACCCTGTGGAGACCCTCACCCCAGGAGAAGAAAGTGAGAGCTCTGGTGACAGTGTGAAGAGCTGAGGCCTCCTGCCCACAGCCAGCTGAGTGAACCGGGAAGAGATTCTCCAGCCCCAGCCCAGCAACTTTATTTCAATCTTCTGACAGACAGACCTTAACCCGGAACCACCAAGGAAACCACTCCAGAATGCTTGGCCTGGAGTGCAATAAATGTTTGTTGTTTTAGGGGACTGAATTTGGGGTCATTTGTTCTGTATCAATACATAATTCATTCAGATTTTGGTACACTTGGATCTGGAGTGGTACTGTAACAAAACCCAAGACCTGGAAGTGGCTTTGAAATCAGCCTAGAAGTTGAATGGAGTAAGGGGTGAGTAAAAGCTAAGCAGCTGAAGAAACTTTGTAGCTAGCTAGCTCAGTGAGTGTGGAAGACCTCAAGCTAGGTCATTTATATAAATGGAAACACCTGGCTTACAGTTCTGATGGGTTAGTAGTCCAAGGTAATGGTTCCCTAAAGTCAGTGTCTGCTGAGGGCCAAGTCCTCCAGATAGTGCCTTCTAGGTCCACCTACGTCATGCAGAATGAGCAAACAGGTTCTCTCAGCCTCTTTTATAGGCATTAGTGGTCATTCATGTCTAATCAATTCTCAAAGGCCTCTTCTGTTAATAATATCACCATGAGAGTTAAATTCCAACATACAGATTTGGGGAGGATACTGACATTCAGATAATACCAGAAGCTATGTGTGAAGCTTAAAGGAAAGTGAAAACTGTCTCACTGAAAAATGGGGAAAAGGGTTGCCTTATTACACAGTGGCAGAAAAAGACAAAAAAAAAAAAAAAAAAAAAAAAAAAAAGGAAATGTCAGTAAATAAAAACAAGCCAGAACTTTCCAGTTTTGAAAATTCCTAACCAGGTGGCACACCATGTTAAAATTTTTTTGTGTGTGTCTTTTTGAGACAGGGTCTTGCTACACAGTTCAGGCTGGCCTTAAGCTCATTTTGGCAGGTCTCGAACTCACAACGATCCTCCTGCCTCAGCCTCCCGAGTGCTGGGGTTACAGGTGTGAGCCACCACACCTGGCATCATGTTAACATTAACAGTGGCTCCAAGGCAAGAATAAAATCTAGAACACTGTCAGGAGAGCATGACCTATTGTCAGGTATTCTGTCATACAACTGTAATCCCAGCACTCAGGAGGCTGAGGCAGAAGGATTGTGAATTCCAGGCCAGCCTGGGCTACAAAGCAAGTTCAAGGCTGGCTTAGACCTTGTCTCAAAACTAAAAAACAAAACAACAAACACTGGTAGTGTGACTATAAAATCTTAGTAAAGATTCCAAAATATCCAAAGTGTTGCTCCAGACAACCACATAGTTAAACAAATTTTCTAAGTGCTTAGGGGTGCTGTCCCTCAGCAGTGCCAGCAAAAGCCCAAGTTAGAGAAGAGCTTATCTTAGAGACTTGTGTGTGAGGATGGCTTTGTTTAATAGACTGAGCCCAATATGAGTCAAAGGAAACCAACATAATTAATGTAATTATGTTGGCAGCAACAACACCAGCTTGGACTGAGGCAGATCAACACAGAATGAAAGGAAGCTTTATACCGCCAAGCTTCCATAAGCAGGGGCAGGCTTAGAAAAATATGCAGCTGCAAACCAGGGCTAAAGATTTGTGAAAAAGGACAATTTTGTGAAAAATTTTTGTGAAAAAGGACAATTCAGAAGGCAACGCCAAGGGCAATGAAGAAGCCCAGGGCTTAAGTTTTAATGAAGAAACTGCCAACTTGTGTCCAGGTGGATTTCAGAATGTGCACACCTGTAATTCCAGCAGTCTATAAGCTAGGGTAGGAGGATGGCAAGTTCAAGCCCAGCCCAGACAACTTAGCGACTTAGTGAGTGAGACCCTGCCTCAAGATTTTAAAAATAAGTTTTTAAAAATTGTAAAGGGCTAGAGATGTAGCTCAGTGCAAAAGCCCTGGGTTCGATCCCAGTACCACCAGAACATTATAAACCAGCAAGTTGAGCATAGATGCTCCTAACTGACAGAATAAAGCAGAAGTGACAGTGTGTTCCTTTTGAAGGCAAGTCATGAAGTCACTGTGCTCTGCATCTTTCTCTCTAACGTTAATGACTCGGGAAAGCCAGCTGCTATGTCATGAACACCCTTGAGCAGCCCAAAGGAAAGGCTCACATGATGCGGAACTGAGGCTTCTCAACAACAAGGAAGACTCTGAGGCCTCTTGAGAACAGACGTGAGTGATTCTGAACTACCCAGGGAGGCTACTCCCAGATAGCTAATTCATAAAAACAGACTACGATAATAAATGTTCGCCATTTTAAACTACTAAGTTTGGGGTACTTTGTAACACAGGAGAAAATAACCAATGCAGTCACAAATGTATGTTTGTTAAAGGTTCCTACGAAAAGAGTAGATCGCTAAAGCTGCAAAAGTAGAAGCAGAAAGACCAGCCTGAAAGTTGTTGCAGTAGTCTTGGCGAAGGATGATGCTGGTTTGGTATAAAGGGGCAACAGTCAGAAGGGAGGAAAAAGAACAAACTGGGACTGTTTTAAACATGACTTGCTTGGTAGGTTAAGTTAATGATATCAGGATGGCCACTAAATCTGTGGCATAACGAACAGTGGATTGGCATAAAACTACTATATCTATGTGACAGTCACATAGAACCGTTTTGCATATCCTACTCTAATCCTCGTAAGAATCTTGGGACATAGGCATACCCTATTCCCCTTTCACAAATAAGGAAACTGATGTTAAAAGATGCCTAGTTAAAGGTCACACAATTAACAAATGATAGAGCCAGATTTAGAGACAGACATTTTGATGCAAGACGCCAAATTCTTGGGTCGGGGATGTAGCTCAGTGGCACAAGTGCCTGCCTGGCAAGTGCAAGGTCCTGAGTTTGATTCCTGGTACCAAAAAAAGAAAAAAGAAACCATACTCTTGCACACTACCTCATAGTTCTGCCCAACCACCCAGTGAAATGGCTGCTGTTATCATCTCCACTTTACAAAGAGAAAACTGTCCGGACCTCAGGGAGAGTAGACAAGTTAGGATTTAAATATCTGTGCTCTGACTACAGATCCCAGCCTTCTGCCACTTAGCCATAGTATCCTTCAATGAATGGATTGAATACAACGATGAAAGCATTGTGTGTAACGTAACACCCAGCGTATGGTGATCATGGAAAGATATATTAGATTAACAACTGTCTCTAAGCCTCAGGTATTATTAAACACTTTTTTAAAAAACAGGCTGAGTGCAATTGGCTGGCACAAAAAATAAGCAGCCTAGTTTAGAATCTGAATCCAGATTTAACTGACCCCAGTGCCCACCCAGTACCTTTCCCTTATTGGAAGTTTTCAATTTTACTTATTTAGGACAGAATACTTTCTTCAAAATAAAATGGTACCTAAAATTCCAGCAGGTTATCACATCAGTGAACTGCCACAGCTGAATGCTGATGATGACTGCGGGCCTGGAGCTGGGAAGCAGGACCACGGATATGAAACCTGTCTGCACCAGCCTAGCACCGCTGCACACACAGTAAACTGTAGGGAACTTCAGTACCACACAGAAAACAGGGAACTCAACCCCCACTGCCTGCTTCAAGTTACCATCTTGGGGGAGATTCTGCAGTGAGGAGAAGTATAAGTTGGTGCTCAGATTGAGGGTGCTCCCTCATCCCCCAAGTTCACATTTTGAAATCCCAGTCCCCTGGGTGACGGCAGCTGGAGGTGGGGACTTGTCAGCTGATTAGTCATGAGTGTGGGGTCCTCATGAGTGCAATGAGTATCCTCGTAAAACAGACCCCCGAAAGATCCTTGTTCTTCTCTATGCCATGAGGACAATGTGATCCAGAGAGCAGACCTCACCAGACACTAGACCATCTGGCGTCTTGATCTTAGGCCAACCAATCTCTGGGACTATGAGAAAAAAAATCTGTTGTCTAAGACATTTTGTCTGTGGGATTTTTTTTGTGTGTGTATATGGAATCTCCATTAAGAAGCCCAGAGTAAAACAGTTGTGTTCATTAAATCATTTATCTTCACGAAGTTTTAAAAATTCAATTATAAAGATCTGCTATTAAGCTAAAATACCAACTATTGTTCAGTTCCCGAACATGCTTTCTGCTCTCACTACAAGCATCCTCCCCAGTGCATAATTAGGTGTGGCTGTCTTCCTCTTACTCGAAGAGGTCTGGAAAATGTTCAGTCCAAATGCAGATATGCCTTTAAAACTGCCACTTGGAAGAGCTAAGTCAGCACATAAAATCCCTTATTAGAAGATCTATTTTTGTTCTAAAATTATTTTCTGACCTTTAAAAGGGGAGTTTCAAAAGTTAAACATGTTTATGGAGAATATCGGAAAGCCTCAGGAGATGAAAATTTGACGTAGCTGTTTCCAGAAAATTGAGATTAAACTTCAGCTTCCTTAACATGCAAAAAAAGAAATGACTAGCTAATATTTTTTAAGAACAAGAATATTAGGCATTAGAATATATTTTACATGTATTCCTTCATGTCATGTCATCCCAATACCTAATTACTACAAACTATTATTACCGCATGTCACAGGTAAAGATCCTGAAAGATCTGAAGAGGTTAGGAAAAGCCCAAGGTCACAAAGCCAAGACACTGCCCCAACGTGGTTTTTTTTTTGGTTTTTCTGTTTTTTCTCCAGTACCGGGAACCGAACTCACGACCTTGCGCTTGCCAGGCAAACACTTTTGCCGCTGAGCTAAATCCCTGGCCCTACCCCAACCTTTAATCAATGTCCCTCTTATCTCTTAGGACTGTGTAAAGGATCAAGTGAAAAACAAGGACTAGAATGCTTTTCAAATTATGATAGGCAAAAAAATTAGCTAAAACACTTGAAAAATAAAGGGCATATTACTGCGAGTCACAACTTGGAGTTGCCCGGACAAACAACTCGAGAGAATGTTCTAGAAAATCCTTCACTGAATCACAGAAGGGGGCAGTTCAGAAGCCATCCCATGGGGGAAGAAAAAGGAGCTGAGGTACTGAAGACCTCTACTGTGGAATAGTAGAATAAAAACGAAGGCTTAATTAATACCTTGTCATAAATGGCAGTGTAAAGTACAAACTGGCCAAATGCGTGCTAGTAGTTACCAGCATAGACTCTGCTGCCTGGGTGGTGAGTCCTGCTGTTCACATGAGCACGTGGCCAGTCAGCTAACCTTTCTGTGACTCTTCTCATCTGTAAAAATGAGGATAATAATAGTATCCATCTCATAAACTCATTGTGGGAACAAACAAATGAGTAATAAAATACCATAAAATACCTTACTGTTACACAGTAAGCACTACATAGTTGCCAGATATTACACTGCTTAGATTTCTATAATCTCTGTTCGTTCCTCCTGTGTGTGAACTTATTTTGTAGAATAACTAACAGTAGATCCTTGAGTAAAATGGACTTTCATAGTTTATTTACTTTGTGGGGAAGCAAGAAAGCAAATGGAGGAAGTGATTAAAAAAGAAAAAGCTGAACTAAACCTAATTCCTGAAGAATGAGAATGAAACCTGAAGAATGATCTAGATGCCAGTCTGGGACAGAGGTGTTCATCCCAGGGCTTAA